CAGGCTTTTATTGGGGTTCCGCTCCTGGGAGAGGTTCCCCGGTCCCAACAGAGCAACAGAGCGGGGGCCAGGAAAGTCGCACGTCAGAGATTGGGAGAGCTCCTTTTATAGATTCAGGGCATGGGAGTTAAAGGTTGAGGCGGGTCTGATCCTCATTGGTTGACCTTTAGGCACCCGCAGGGACCTTGACAAGGACTTTCTTCCCTGGAAGTAGGCCTCTCCATTCCCGGATGTGTAGGCCTTCCCTCCTTGCAGATCCCAAAGCTACCACCTTCTATAAGTTTCAGGACAAGAATACGTGTATTTGGAAACATCGCTTAAATATCCAACACAAGTGTAACTTGTTTGGCCAGCAAACCCAAGTACTGTTAGGGTTGAGAAGCATCTGCCGCCCAAGGAACGACTCCAAGAGATACTCTCATGCAATCAGCAAGGGGTTTATTGATCCAGCATGCTGGGGCTCTCTGAACTCAGGAATAGAGCAGCCCTGAGAAGTCAAGGGTCAGGGTTGATCCAGCATGCTGGGGCTCTCTGAACACGCAGGAACAGAGCAGCCCCGAGAAGTCAAGGGTCAGGGTTTTTATAGGGTTTTCAGAGACTAGCAAATCATCTCACACCATGGGAAGCTCATTAGCAAATCAACTCACACCTCGGGAAACTCAAAGCATGTGCGGGGAGTTCAAAGGCCATCTCCTAGAATTGATTGATGCATTAATGGCGGGTGAGGCAAGGGTTACACAGCTTTGGCTGCTTATCCTCACACAGGTGCAGCTGTAAAGATAAGGAACTGAAACTATACAACCCCTGCCCCACAGGGTTTCAGCTTTGGGGAAGGAGGTTTGGGCCTGCAATTTTCTAGCTCAATTCTTCATATAAACATGTCAATGACTTAAGCATTTTTAGTTTCTTTCTACCAACAAATTTAAAACATCTGGTACAGAGATTTAGGTCACATGAACCAAAAAACATATCTTTGATTAATTTAGCAGTTTAAATTTGAGAAATCTTTTATCTATAAGCCAATTAAAACAGAGCCCTTAATAAATAAATTTTCCATGTAGACATACAATATGTACACACGTGTAACTAACATACAAAGTAGAACAATACAGCAGTTTCCTCCGTAATAGCTTCTTTTTTTTCTTTTTCTTTTTTTTTCTTTTTTTTTTTTTTTGACAGGCAAAGTGGACAGTGAGAGAGAGAGACAGAGAGAAAGGTCTTCCTTTGCCGTTGGTTCACCCTCCAATGGCCGCCGCGGCCGGCATGCTGCGGCCGGCACACCACGCTAATCCGAAGGCAGGAGCCAGGTGCTTCTCCTGGTCTCCCATGGGGTGCAGGGCCCAAGGACTTGGGCCATCCTCCACTGCACTCCCTGGCCACAGCAGAGAGCTGGCCTGGAAGAGGGGCAACCGGGAAAGAATCCGGCGCCCCGACTGGGACTAAAACCCGGTGTGCCGGTGCTGCTAGGTGGAGGATTAGCCTAGTGAGCCACAGCGCCGGCCCCATAATAGCTTCTTAAAATCTTTAGCTGTATTTTCTGCCACAATCTTTTAATGACCTAATCTTGGAAGTGGCATTCAATCCTTTCCTCCATATTCCATTCATTGGAAGCTAAGCACTCAATTCAGCTCCCACCCAAGGGAGGGGCTTACATAAAGGCATAAATGCCAAGAGGTGAGGCTGCTGACCACAAATGGCTAATCCTCCATTTGAGAAAGCAGCCCCCTAATGTAAGCCCTGTGATGCAAAAGCTTAATTTATATGCCTTATAACTGTGTAACTGACAAGTTTGAAAATGTCATATTACAGGACTAAGCATGTTTTTCCTTTGGGTTACCTCCTCCACCCAAGGCATTTTCAAGAAAAAAATTTTTTAATAAAGTTTGCCTCCTACCCCTGACCTATTCTTGCTCAAGACAATCAAAAGCTATTCTTTTTTAAAGATATGTTCTACTTTCTAGCTTCCGTTTCTTAATTCCCATTTTTTCAATCTTTTCCTTTTTTTAAAGATTTATTTATTTATTTATTTGAAAGGCAGAGCTACAGAGAGCAGAGAGGTAGGAAGAGAGAGAGAGAGAATCTTTTATCCACTGCTTCACTCCCCAGATGGCTGCATTGGCTGGAACTAAGTCGATCTGAAACCAGGAGCCAGGAGTCTCTTCCAGGTCTCCCATGTGAGTACAGGAGCCCAAGGACTTGGACCATTTTCTGCTGCCTTCCCAAGCCATAGAAGAGAACTAGATTAAAAGTGGAGCAACTGGGACTCAAACTGGCGCCCATATGAGATGCTGGCACTGCAGGTGGTGGCTTTACCCACTACACCAGAGCGCCAGCCCTTCAATTTTTTCAATATTGGCTTCTGTCTTTAACATTCCATTGAAACTATTTTCTGATCTTTTTTATTGATAGTTTTTGTCCCCCTTGATATCTGCCTTTTTGAAACTTTCTCTTCATTTGGCTAGCACTGTGCTGCTTTCATGTTAGTCCTGCTTTCTGGCTACTCATTGGATTTTCATTTCGGTTCCTAATTCTCTCAGAGTAAAGTTTACTAGGCCATGCCTTAACTAACCTTTGATTTTCTCCTAAGATTTAGTTTTTGTTGCCTTCTAATTTTATCCCTATATTCAAGCATCCTGATATTCTCTTAGGCCCTGCATGCCACTCTGTATTCTCTCTCTCTGACCTTTAACACCTGTTCTTCCCTCTCCTTGTCTCTCTCTATCTCCCATTCACTTTCCAGGCTAACTCTCACAAACCCTGAAAGTTCTCTAGACTGGGGCTTTAGTGGGCACACTTGAACGTGAGGCTGAGAAGCTATTATCAAAATCAGATTCTGGTTGAGCAGGTCTGGGTAGATCCCAAGATTTTGCATTTCTTTATTTTCTTTATTTATTTATTGACAGGCAGAGTAGACAGTGAGAGAGAGAGACAGAGAGAAAGGTCTTCCTTTTGCCGTTGGTTCACCCTCCAATGGCCGCCGCGGCTGGCGGGCTGTGGCTGGCACACCGCGCTGATCCAATGGCAGGAGCCAGGTACTTATCCTGGTCTCCCATGGGGTGCAGGGCCCAAGGACTTGGGCCATCCTCCACTGCACTCCCTGGCCATAGCAGAGAGCTGGCCTGGAAGAGGGGCAACCGGGACAGAATCCAGTGCCCCGACCGTGACTAGAACCCGGTGTGCCGGTGCCGCAAGGTGGAGGATTAGCCTAGTGAGCCAGGGCGCTGGCAAGATTTTGCATTTCTAACAGTCTCCCATGTGATGTCAATGCTGCTGCTCTGTGGGCCACTTTTTTTTTTTATTTTTTGACAGGCAGAGTTAGACAGTGAGAGAGAGAGAAAGGTCTTCCTTTGCCGTTGGTTCACCCCTCAATGGCCGCTATGGCTGGCACACTGCGCTGCACCAGTCCGAAGCCAGGAGCCGGGTACTTCCTCCCAGTCTCCCATGCGGGGGCAGGGATCCAAGCACTTGGGCCATCCTCCACTGCCTTCCCTGGCCACAGCAGAGAGCTGGATTGGAAGAGGAGCAGCCGGGACTAGTACCCAGCACCCTAACCGGGACTAGAACCCCGGGGTGCCGGCGCCGCAGGCGGAGGATTAGCCAAGTGAGCCATGGCGCTGGCCCGTGGGCCACATTTTAAATCAGGATGTACTAGAAAATACCCTGACACCAGCTTTCTTCATGTGTAATCCTTCCTCCAGCCCATCAAATCCAGGCCAGATGCCCCTCTAACAGAGTCTCATAGCCGCCAGTATTCCTCTGCCCGTCCATGTATCCATCCAACCAACCATCCATCCATCCATCCATGCCAGGTACTGTTTTCAGTGGTAGGGTATAGAAATGAACAAAACAATAAAAGTTCTTGCCTTAGAGAGCCTTTTCTTCTGACAGAAGCAGACAATGAACAAGATAAATAAAATATGTATATATGTATTATGTTAGATATGAATAAGTTAAGACTAAAATAAGTAGGGGCTGGCATTTTGGCACAGTAGTTAAGCCACTACCTGCAGTTCCAGCGTCCCATATGGGTACTGGCTTGATTCCTGGCTGCTCCACTTCTCATCCAGCTCCTTGCTAATGTTCCTGGGAAAGCAGCAGAATAAGGCCCAGGTGCACAGGCCTCTGCACCCACATGGGAGACCTGGAAGAAGCTGCTGGCTCCTGGCTTCGAATAGGCCCAGCCCCAACCCTTTTGGCCACTGGGGAGTGAACCAGCAGATGGGAGACCTCTGTCTGTCACTCCGTCTCTCTGTCTGTAACTCTGCCTCTCAAATAAATAAATAAATCTTTAAAAGAAGAAGAAGAAAATAAGTTAAGAGTGGTTATACTTTTAAATAGGGTGCCAAGTAAAACCTGTAGGATACTAAGGGGAAGTCATAGTGGGATTTCCTAGTGGAAAGAATTTCTAATAGGTCCTGATTGAGACATAACTGCTAGATTCAAAGAATAGAAAGAAGACTAATGGGGCTAAAGCAGAGTGAAAAAGGAGGCAACAGAAGGTGTGGTTAAAAGGAAAGAGAGGGGGAGTGGGGCAGACATTCTAGGGCTACAGGATCATTATGAAGACCAGCTTTTCCACGGAACTGGAAAGTCACTGAGGCTAAGTAGAAGAGTGAAGGAGTCTGACTTCCATTTTAACAGCATCTTTCTCTTCTCATTATTACCACCAGCACCACTTCTACCTCCATCACAGTCAAACAATAATCCAGCACCTATAACATGTCATGTACTACTTTAAGCAGTTCCATATATTAACTGGCTTAATTCTTAACAGTAATCCCATGAGGTAAGTACCACTATAATTTCTTTTTTACACATGAGAAAAATAGCACTTGCCACATTATACTGTGATTTTATTTATTTATTTATTTATGTTACTGCTCTGTCTCCCCAGCAAAACAGTAAAATCTGTGTGTCTGTCCCCAGTGCTGGGCTCATAGAAGGTGCTTAGTCTATGTTAGTGAAATGAACACTGAGTGGAAACTTTTCTTCTTCTGCAGCCCAGGATTCCAGATCCATTCATGTGGGAGATGGTAATGTGAAGGGAATGATGGGTCCTGGTAAGTGACTCTTCTGTGAGTTTTTTCCTTCCAGCAATTCAATCCTTCTCTCATCTGCCTTCCCTGCTTCTACTCCACAAGTCCCAAATCAGGCATGAAAGAACTCAGGCAAGATAAATCCTGTGCTTACTGAGACTCCACGATGTGCATAAGAGTAGGTCAATGACTCATTCAAACCCAAGGAGAGAGAAGGGCTGGAGAAGTTTAAACCAGAACCAGTATTCTCCATTCTTTCTTGCTCTTTCAATTACTAATGATTTGACATTTGCTGAAAATTCATGGGCAAATGTAGTATGTCGTATGATTTTCATGGGTCACACACTTGATGATTTAATTCAAAAGTTACTTCCTTAAGAAACAATTTGCAGAAACTGATGAGCATCTCCACAAATGCTGAATAATAAATGCACTGAAAAACACTGTTGGGAATCTACAGGATACTATCAAATGACCCAACATATGGGTTCTAGGAGTTCCTCAAGGCATGGAAAGAGGGAAAGGATTAGAAGGCCTTTGTAGTGAAATAATAACAGAAAACTTCCTAAATTGGAGTAAGAAAGGGACATTCAAGTGTAGGAAGCACACAGAACTCCTAATAGACATGACCAGAAAAGATTTTCACAGGGCCGGTACTGTGTCGTAGCAGGTAAAGCTGCCGCCTGCTGTACCGGCATCCCATATGGGCTCTTGTTGGAGTCCTAGCTGTTCCACTTCCAATCCAGCTCTCTGCTGTGGCCTAGGAGAGCAGTAGAATATGGCCCAAGCCCTTGGAACCCTACACCCATGCAGGAGACCCAGACGAAGCTCCTGGCTTCGGATCAGCACAGCTCCAGCTGTTGCAGCCAGTTGGGGAGTGAACCAGTGCATGGAAGACCTCTCTCTCTCTCCCTTTCTGCCTCTGCCTCTCCTTCTCTCTGTGTAACTCTGATTTTCAAATAAATAAATATATTGTTGTTTTTTTAATTATTTATTTATTTATTTGAGAGAGAGAGTTACAGACAGTGAGAGGGAGAGACAAGGAGAAAGGTCTTCCGTCCACTGGTTCACTCCCCAATGGCCACAATAGCCGGAGCTGCACCGATCTGAAGCCAGGAGCCAGGTGCTTCCTCCGGGTCTCCCACGTGGGTGCAGGGGCCCAAGGACTTGGGCCATCTTCTACTGCTTTCCCAGGTCATAGTAGAGAGATTGATGGGAAGAGGAGCAGCCGGGACTAGAACTGGCACCCATATGGGATGCCGGTGCCGCAGGCAGAGGATTAACCCACTGTGCCACAGTGCCGTCCCCAATAAATAAATCTTAAAAAAAAGAAAAGATCTTTGCCACAATGCATTGTAATTAATCCCTCCACAGTAAAACATAAAGAAAATATTCTAAAATGTGTACAACAGAAACACCAGATTACTTTCAGAATATCTTCAATTAGACTCATAGCCGTCTTCTGATCAGAAACCCTATAGGCTAGGAGAGAATGGTGAGATATATTCCAAGTCTTAGAAGAACACTGTCAACCCAGAACTGTACCCCACAAAGCTCTCATTTATGAATGAATGTGAAATAAAGACCTTCCACAACAAACACAAATTGAAAGAATGTATCCCACCCGTCTAGCCTTGCAAAAGATGCTTAAGGATGTGCTGCACACAGAAATACAGAAACATGGTCATCACTACAAAAGAAGATAAAGGAAGAAAGTCACCCAGTAATAGTACAAAGGAAATCCAAAGTAAAAAAATAGGAATATTTAGGGAAAAATGGCATGGCAAAATCATTATCTATCATTAGTCACTTTGAATGTAAATGGTGTCAACTCTCCAGTTAAAAGACACATACTAGCTGAATGGATTAAAAACAAAACCCATCTATTTGCTGCCTGCAGTAAACACGTCTGACCAACAAAGATGCATGCAGACAAAATGAAAGGATAGAAAAAGATATTCCATGCTAACAGAAACAAAAAAAGAGCTGGTGTAGCCATCCTAATATCAGACAAAATAGACTTTAACACAAAAACTGTTAAAAGAGACAAAGAAGGGCACTATGTAAAGATTAAGGGATCAATTCAACAGGAAAATGTAACTTTATAAACATATATGCACCTAATTGCAGGGCACCTGGCTATTTAAAATAAATGTTAAGGGATTTAAAGGGAGACATAGACTCAAATACAGTAGTGATTGGGAACTTCAATACCCCACTTTTTGCAATGGACATATCTATCAGACAGAAAATCAGCAAGGAAACAACAGAGTTAAGTGACACTGTAGACCAAATGGGTTTAACAGAAATCTACAGAACTTTCCATCCTACAGTTGCAGAATACACAATCTTCTCACCAATGCATGCAACCTTCTCTAGGATTTACCACATGCTAGGCCATAAAACAAGTCTCAGCAAATTAAAAAAAAATCAAAATCATACCATGCATCTTCTTGGACCACAATGGAATGAAGCTGGAAATCAGCAACTCAGGAATCTCTAGAGCATATGCAAACATATGGAGACTGAACAACACACTCCTGAATGAACAGTGGGTCATTGAAGAAATTGAAAGAGAAATCAAGGGGGCTGGTGCTGTGGCACAGAGGATTAAAGCCCCCAGCTGACAGTGCCAGCATCCCATTTTAGGGCCAGTTTGTGTCCTGGCTGCTCCACTTCCAATCCAGTTCTCTGCTATGGCCTGGGAAAGTGGTAGAAGATGGCCCAAGTCTTTGGGCTCCTGCACCCATGTGGGAGACCCAGTAAAAGCTCTTGGCTCCAGGCTTCAGATCAGCTCAGCTCTGGCCATTGCAGCCATTTGGGGAATGAACCAGCGAATGAAAACCTCTCTCTCTGGCTGTACCTCTCTCTGTAACTCTGTCTTTCAAATAAATAAAATAAATCTTTTTTTAATTTATTTTTTTTTTGACAGGCAGAGTGGACAGTGAGAGAGAGAGAGACAGAGAGAAAGGTCTTCCTTTGCCGTTGGTTCACCCTCCAATGGCCGCCGCGGCCAGCATGCTGCGGTTGGCGCACCACGCTGATCCAATGGCAGGAGCCAGGTGTTTCTCCTGGTCTCCCATGGGGTGCAGGGCCCAAGTACTTGGGCCATCCTCCACTGCACTCCCTGGCCATAGCAGAGAGCTGGCCTGGAAGAGGGGCAACCGGGACAGAATCTGGCACCCCACCCGGGACTAGAACCTGGTGTGCCGGCGCCGCAAGGCGGAGGATTAGCCTAGTGAGCCGCAGTGCCAGCCAATAAAATAAATCTTTAAAGAAAGAGAAATCACAAAATTTCTGGAAGCAATTGAAGATTATAATACAACATATCAAAACTTATGGAATACAGGAAAAGCACTATTAAAAGGAAAGTTTATAGCAATTGGTGCCTACATCAAGAAATTGGAAAGGCATCAAATAAATGAGCTATCAATGTATCTCAAGGGCCTAGAAAAACAACAGCAAATGAAACCAAAAACTAATAGGAGAAAAGAAATTATTAAAGTTAGAGAAGAAATCAACAAAATGGAAACAAAAAATGCAAAAAAGTCAGCAAGATGAACTATTTAAAAAATAAACAAAATTGACACACCAATGTCCCACCGAACCAAAAAAAAGAGAGAGAAGACCCAAATTGATAAAATTAGAGATGAAAAAAGAAATGTAACAACAGACATCACAGACATAAAAAGAATCATCAGAAATTACTACAATGAGCAGTATGCCAATAAACCGGGAAACCTAGAAGAATAGATTCCTGGACACATAGAACCCACCTAAACTGAGCTTTGAAGACATAGAAAACCTAAACAGAGCAATAACCAAGACAAAAATCAAATGAGTAGTAAAGGCTCTCCCAACAAAGAAAAGCCCAGGAACAGATGACTTCACTGCTGAATTCTACCAGGCATTTAAAGAAGAACTAACTCCAATTCTTCTCAAGCTATTCGAAACAATTGAGAGGGAGGGAATCCTCCCGAATTCTTTCTATGAAGCCAGCATCACCTTAATTTCTAAACCTGAAAAAGACACAACAGAGAATGAGAACTACAGACCAATATCCCTGATGAACATAGACACAAAAATCCTCAACAAAATTTCAGCTAATAGAATCCAACAACACATCTAAAGATCATTCACCTGTATCCCTGGTATGCAGAGATGGTTCAGTATTCACAAATCAATCTGTGTGACATATCACATTAACAAACTGCAGAACAAAAACCTTATGATTATCTCAATAGATGCAGAGAAAGCATTTGATAACATACATCACCCTTTCATGATGAAAAATCTAAGCAAATTGGGTTTGGAAAGAACATTTCTCAACACAATCAAAACCATTTATAACAAACCCACAGCCAGCATCTTATTGAATGGGGAAAAGTTGGAAGCATTCTCACCAAGACCTGGAACCAGACAAGGATGCCCACTGTTACCATCACTGATATTCATTGTAGTTCTGGAGGGTTTAACCAGAGCCATTAGGCAAGAAAAAAAAATCAAACAGATACAAATTGGGAAGGAGGAAGTCAAACTATCCCTATTTTGCAGATGACATGATTCTATATATAGGGGATCCAAAGACTCCACTAAGAGACTACAGGAACTCTTTAGAAGAGTTTGGTAAAGTCAGAGGATATAAAATCAATACACAAAAATCAACAGCCTTTGTATACACAGACAATGCCAAGGCAGAGAAAGAACTTCTAAGATCAATCCCATTCACAATAGCTACCAAAAAAAAAATCTTGGAATAAATTTAACCAAGGATGTCAAAGATCTCTACAATGAGAATTAAAAAACATTAAAGAAAGAAATAGAAGAAGAAACAAAAAATGGAAAATATCTTCCATGTTCATGGATTGAAAGAATCAATATCATCAAATTGTCCATACTTTCAAAAGCAATTTACAGATTCAGTGCAATACCAATCAAAATACCAAGGACATTCTCCTCAGATATAAAACAATGATGTTGAAATTCATATGGAAACACAGGAGACCTTGAATAGATAAATCAATCATATGCAACAAAAGCAAAGATGGAGGCATCACAATACCATAACTCAAGACATACTATAGGGCAGTTATAATCAAAACAGCCTGGTACTAAGTTTCTAAAAAAAAAAAGGAAGAAAGAAATGAAATTAACTTCAAGATGCAATGATTTTGAATAGCCCTTGTCTCGACTGTTGAGGTACAGTTTTTTTGTTTTATTTTGTTTTTAACCATGCAAATTGTTGAACTCTTTACTTAGTAAAGAGTTGGTCTTCTGTGTATAAAGTTAATAAAAAATGGATCTTAGTGGAGAATGGGACTGGGAATGGGAGAGGGCGGAGGAGGAGGGGTGGGAGAGTGGGTATAGTGAGAAGAATCTATATTCATAAAGTTGAACTTATGAAACGCATGACATCTGTATTCCTTAAATAAAAGGTTTCTTTGGGGGAAAAAAAGAATTTGCCAGAATTTTAGACATTATTTCAGCTTCCCTGCTTCCATCCTTCCCTTCCTCATTACTTTCTGCGTCTTACTATTATCAAGGTCAAGGGGATGAATTGCAAAGGAAGACATTGTCTTCAATACCCTTCCTCCTCCTCTTTTTGTACTTTCCTTCTAATAGTGCTCCAAGTACCTGGTGTGCTCACCTGAAAGGAAGCAGATACGAAGAGACAATACATGCTACTATAAACTTATCTTATTTTATAAGTTTATTTTTAAAAACTCCTTAATTAGGAGAGTATGTCCAAAGAGGAGTGAATGTACAGACCAGAAATGGAGAAGGAAACTTTTGACTATTAACAGATATATTTAATCCTCAAGGGACAGTTGTACCCTAACACAAACATATTAGTAAAAAATTAGTACCGAGCACAATGTTTTAGAAAGTCAGCTCTTGAAAGCAGGTGTTATTTTTCAGGAGTGAACCCAACAACTCCAGAAGCTGACGAAAACCTCAAGACTTGCCTCTCGACTGATATCCCATCCAAGGGCCATCTCTCATCTGGCGTGTGGAGGCAGCCCAAGGATGGCAAAGAGTGGGGGGAGGAATATGTCACGAAAGACCACCCGGATAAACTCAAGGAAGCTGGCCAGGGTAGACACAGCTCCTTGGAAAATGTTTTATGTGAAACTTCTTTGGCTGGTAAGTTCCAAGGGGGAAGGCAGGTTGAAATTGTAAGGAACAGAATGGAACCAGCACTTAGAACCTAAGTCCTGGCAGTTTAGGTACAGTAGGCAACTAAAGCCGGGAGAGGTGACAGCACTCACTGTGGCTACAGTTGGGACTCTTCTGGGGGAATGAGATTTAGTATCGCAGTACTTCGGGCAGGGTGGGGTGGGGGTGGGGGTGGAGGTGAGGGAGTGGGTGCGGCATAAGGTTGCTGAAGAAGAGGGCAGGATTTTGTAAACTATCCACTCAGTGATGTGGAGTCCTCAATTTGCCAGATTTTTAATAGTCTCCCACCTAAACAGCACCTGCACCAGATTCTGTTCTCCTCGCTCCTCTTCTCCTTCCTTCCTTTCCTTCATAGCATAAATTCATACTGAACCTTCTTGTTTGTCAGATAGTGACATTTCCCTCCAATTAATTTTGATTATGAAATATATGAAAAATTAAACAGTATTACAATCATCTTTATGAAGAATAGCAGCCGCCAATTTAAACTCTTTTGACAGTTTCTACTGATATTGACTTCCACATTTAAAAAAAAAATTATGCTGCTTTTTTTTTTTAAAGCAGAACTTCATTGAGAGTTAGTTTACAGAGTAGAAGTCACAGTGCTTAAACTTAAGGTCACTGATTTTTCACCATGTATATCCCCCTGGATCACTACACAGATCATGATACACGGTATGTACTTATATCACCCTAGAAAGTTCTCTGATGCACCTTTCCAGTCAAGACTCATCTAAAGAACCACTATTGTAACTTCTACTACCATAAATAGATTTTGTCTGTTTTTAAGCTTCATGTAAATAGAATAATACGGTATGTATTTTTGTTCATGGCCTCTTTCTCTCACCATAATTTTTAAAAGATTTATTTGTTTATTTATTTGAAAAGCAATAGAGAAAGGGAAAGAGAATCTGTCATCTACTGATTCACTCCTTGAAATGCCTGCACGAGCCTAAGCTGGCCAGGTTGAAGCCAAGAGCCCAGAAATCCATCTGGGTCTCCCACAAAGGTGTAGAAACCTGCGTCCTTGGGCTGTCATTTTTTGACATCTGGGCACATTTGCAGGAAGCGGCACTGAAAGTGGAGTAGCCAGGACATGACCCAGGCACTCTGCTGGATTGGAAGTGGAGCAGCCTGGTCTCGAACTGGCGCCCATGTAGGATGCTGGCACTTCAGGCCAGAGCGTTAACCCACTGCGCCACAATGCCGGCCCCTTGCCGTCTTTTAAGCTGGGTTGTTTGTCTTTTTATTACCTATTTGTAGAATTTTTAAATATATTCTGAATGTGAGTTCTTTGTTAGAAATATGTGTTGAGAATAGTTTATTCCAGTCTGTGAAGCCATTTTTTTTTTTTTGCCTTTTCACTTTCTTAATGGTCTTTCAAGATAAGACATTTATGCCAGTGCCGTGGCTCAATAGGCTAATCCTCCGCCTTGCAACGCCGGCACACCGGGTTCTTGTCCTGGTCGGGGCGCCAGATTCTGTCCCAGTTGCCCCTCTTTCAGGCCAGCTCTCTGCTATGGCCAGGGAGTGCAGTGGAGGATGGCCCAAGTGCTTGGGCCCTGTACCCCATGGGAGACCAGGAGAAACACCTGGCTCCTGGCTTTGGATCAGCGCAGTGCGCTGGCCGCGGCGGCCGTTGGAGGGTGAACCAACGGCAAAAGGAAGACCTTTCTCTCTGTCTCTCTCTCTCACTGTCCACGCTGCCTGTCAAAAAAAAAAAAAAAAAAAAGATAAGACATTTACAATTTTCATGAGGCCCAATTTATCAATTTTCAACTTTGTTAATAGTTTGTGACTTTTGTTTCCTCCTCAAAAATCTTTACTTACATGAGGGTTTTAGAGATATTCTCATGTTTTCTTCTAAAGTCTTAATAGTTTTAGTTTTCACTTTCAGGTCTGTGACTTATCTTGAATAAACTTTGATGTATGCAGTGAGGAAGGGTTCCAAATTCATTTTTCCTGGATGGCTGTCCAGTTGCTTCAGCACCATTAGTGAGAGTGTCTCCCTCCACTGTTGAGTTATATGGAAGAAGTCACGTGATCATATATGAGTGGATCTAATCCCGGACTCTCTTTGTATATTTTAAAATTCCAATTATATGAGCCTTGATATCTTGCTGTTATTGAGTCTTCCACCCAAAGAACATGGTTTTTATGTCCTTCTTACCTTCTTATCTGTTGACACAGATCTCAAATTTTTCTTGCTAATGTAAAAGAAACTCTATCATCTACATTATCTAAAGCATTTGCCCTACAGACTCTTGTGGTCCTACTCCATTTTGGCCTATTGCACTCACTGACCCTGATACTTCCAAGTTTTCATAGGAATTCCTTTCATACTTCTCATATGTTAGATCCTTATTTGTTTGTTTTCGACATTAATATTTTCATTTTGTGTGCCCTTGGTTTCTTGGTTTACTCCTTCTTTTTCTGGAGTGAATCATTTAGTAACTTCCACATACCTGATGGATAATTTGGCTGACTATAAAACCTTCTATCTGGGCTGGCATTGTGGCATAGCAGGTAAAGTTCTGGCTTCTCCACTTCTGATCCAGCATCTTTGCTGATGTGCCTGGGAAAGCAGCGGAGGATGGTCCAAGTGCTTGGGCCACTGCACCCATGTGGGAGACCTTGAGGAAGCTCCAGGCTCCTGGCTTCAGACTGGTCCAGTTTTGGCCATTTCAGCCTTTGGGGAACAAAGCAGTGGATGGAAGATATCTCTCTCCCTCTCTCCCTCTCTCCCTCTCTCCCTCTCTCCCTCTCTCCCTCTCTCCCTCTCTCCCTCTCCCTCCATCTTTGACTCTGCCTTTCAAATAAATATACATCTTAAAAAAATAAACCTCTCCCCTCATTATTTATTTTTTAAGATGTATTTATTTGACAGGCAGAGTTACATAGAGAGAGAGAGAGAGAGAGAGAGAGAGATCTTCCATCTGCTCATTCACTCCCCAAATGGCCACCTTGGCAAGAACTAGACCAGGCTGAAGTCAGGAACTTCGTCCAGGTTTCCCACATGGGTTCAGGGCTCTAGTACCTGCGCCATTTTCTGCACATTAGCAGGGACCTGGGTCAGGACCCAAACCAGTGCCCAGATGGGATGCCAGCATTGCAAGAGGCAGCTTAACCTGTTATGCCACAATGCCTGGCCCTTCTCATTATTTTAAAACAATTGTTCCATTGTCTTTTTTTTTTTTTTTTTTTTGACAGGCAGAGTGGATAGTGAGAGAGAGAGAGACAGAGAGAAAGGTCTTCCTTTGCCATTGGTTCACCCTCCAATGGCCGCCGCGGCCAGCGTGCTGCGGCTGGCGCACCGCGCTGATCCGAAGGCAGGAGCCAGGTGCTTCTCCTGGTCTCCCATGGGGTGCAGGGCCCAAGGACTTGAGCCATCCTCTACTGCACTCCCTGGCCACAGCAGAGAGCTGGCTTGGAAGAGGGGCAACCGGGACAGAATCCGGCGCCCTGACCGGGACTAGAACCAGGTGTGCTGGCGCCGCTAGGTGGAGGATTAGCCTATTGAGCCACGGCGCTGGCCCCATTGTCTTCTAGTTTCTAATGTTGCTACTGGAAAATATAATACCTTTCTGATCCTCATTCCTTTGTATGTTTCCTGATTTTTCTGTCTGATCACTTTTAGGAGTTTCATTTTATCCTTGGTATGCTAAGAATTCATAGTAATGAGGTATGCTTAACAAAGATTTAAGTCTTTTTCATTAATTATGAACAACTGTATAACAAAAGGCCCTTTCCTCCAGAAATACGTATCCTGGGATTTTTTTCTCCTACTAATAATTTGATGTCCTCTCAATTCATTTTCTTTTTTTCTCTGAAACTTCTTTTAAAAAAAGATTTATTTATTTATTTGAAAGGCAGAGTTACAGAGAGGCAGAAGTGGAGAGAGAGAGAGGGGTCTTCCATCTACTGGTTCACTCCCAAATGGCCACAATGGTTGGAGCTGTGCAAATCCGAAGCCAGAAGCCAGGAGCTTCTTCCAGGTCTCTCACATTGGTGCAGGGGCCCAAGGACTTGGGCCATCTTCTACTGCTTTCCCAGGCCATAGCAGAGAGCTGGATCAGAAGAGGAGCAGCCAGGACTCAAACTGGTGCCTGTATGGGATGCCAGCACTGCAGGTGGTGGCTTTACCTGCTATGCCACAGAGCTGGCCCCCCCGTTTTTTTTTGAAGACCCCTCATATTCTTATTTGGCAGGGAGAGAGATACTTGAATTTATCTTCTTCCTTTTTAATATTTGCTATCTTAAAAAGTGTCAAAAATTCCTATTTTTAAAATTCTGTTTTTAAAAGTAGCATCTTGTGGAGCCAGCATTATGATACAGCAGGCTAAGCAGCTGCTTGTGACACTGGCATCACATATCTGAGAACCAGTGGAAGTCCCAGCTGCTCTGCTTCTGAGCTCGTTCCCCAGTGTCATGCCTGGGAAATGCAATAATGGTTTAGAAGTAAGTGCTTAGGCCCCTGCCACCCACATGGAAGACCTGAATGGAGCTCTAGGCTCCTTGCCTCAGCCTGGACTAACCCTGGCTGTTGTGGCCATTTGAAGAGTGAACCAGCAGAAAGAAGATCTCTCTCTCTCTCTCTCTCTCTCTCTACTTCTGCCTCTCTGTAACTCTGTTTTTCAAATAAATAAATAAATCTTTTTTTTAAAAGAAAGCATCTTGTAATTGTAAAATGGCTGGAATATTTTTCTTGTATCTCTGAGAAGATTAATTGTAAGATTTTTTTTTAAAGTTTCCTTTTGGATCCTGCATTGTCTCTGTTTCTTCATTGTTGGCCCTCCTTTAAAAAAATGTAATTTTTTTCTTCTCTTTATTTTATGGTAATTACTTCATTCAAAAGTCTAAGAATCCTTGACTAATTATTTGTATTTAAGAGCAAGACCCTGAGAAAATTAGTCAGGCTTGTCAATAAGTAGGCTGAGGTATAGCTACACTAATCAATTGACAAACTACGTTTTTGACAAGTGACCTCTTCTGCCGGTGTCTGTAGGCCTGCTGGTTTTGGGTAGTTCAGTGGCTCAAGTGGAAGATCCTTCAATCTCCTGCCTGGAAAGGTTAAGCGTGGCTTCTGCCACTTTCAGATCTGTAGGAGAAAGAAGCTGAAGAGAGTCTCATTATTCAGGCTACAAGCCTTCTCTGATTCCCTTTATTTTCATTTTTGGTATCTCAATACCACTTTCTTCTGTGTCTTAAGTATTTATCCCAGAGACCAGGGCTTCTCTCTCTCTCTCTCTCTCTCTCTCTCTCTCTCTCTCTCTCTCTTTCTCTCTCTCTCTTTTTTCATTTTCCCCATTTTCCATGGGTAGAAGTGGGAACTCTGTCAAGGGGTGGGATCTGGGTGTTTGTGCCTTATGTGGACTTTCAAGTGTTTCTCCTGTTCTCAGCATTGCCTCTTATTTGCAAGTTCTGAGGTGACTGATGTGTCCAATTCTTGAGTTCCTGCTGACTCTCTGCAGATGCGAGCACCAGTACTGCATTCCCTTTGACTGCTGAACAAAGCACGGCCTCCGTTCTGCCATCTGTCTTCCAAAGACCTGCTGATGTCTCTTGTTACTGCTTGCAATACCCTTCTATGGCTTTCTACCATTTCATAGGATTTTGAGAATGAATAGCTAACCATGCTTCCCTCTTTTATTTGTTTTTAAAGCCAAAAGACAAACTGTGGCTCTAGAACTGCTTGAATCTGAAAGAAAATATGTCATCAACATCTCTCTGATCCTGAAGATAAAGGCAACATTCCAGGGGTCAGATGGAAAGAGGAATTCCAAAGAGAGAAGGTATCCATGTATTCATTGCCTTTGCTTTTCAGATTGATTAGGATTTAAGGTAAGTTCTTTATTGTTTCCACTTTGGGAATTCTGGGGTCTAAACAGAGATTCAGAAATGATTTTTGGAAAAAAAATGGGAAGTGATGGTAGGTGATCCCAGGCAAGCCTGGAACTGTATAGTGTCCTGGGCCACCAGCGTCCCTGCCACATATGTTGAGAAATTCCAGGGAGAGTCAGTGCCACACTGAGGGAGGCATTGCTCTGTTTCCACCTGCATTTCCCCTGGGTCATTTTTCTCATAGAGAGAAAGGTACAAGGGGCAGATGTGGTGAAGGTCTGAAGCACTCAGTGGCCACTCGATGAATGATAAGGGGTAGTAGCATCCTGGACTGGAGCTTTCCTTGTTTGCCCAGGTGATCCTCTAGTACCGGGTAACAGGAGAAATGTATCCCTATGTTGTGGACCGTGCAGGGGAGGCAATACACGGTAACAGCATGCCAGGCCCAGTGTTACAATACTTCCTTGGGCCATATCTATTCATAGTCTTTAGCTTTTTCCCTCCATGTTAGGAGAAATTAGGAAGGAGGAAAGTAAAACATGGTAACAAACAAAACTAATGTAATGAAGATGTAATAATCCAAAATAACTGAGGAAAAGACCAATCCAAATGAATGGAAAGTCTGGATTATGGACTATTGTGGATAAGATGTATTATTAGTTAGTATTTCCATCAGGTAACCGACACTGGTGATTCATAAATTATGACTGTACCTGGGGAAGCCTCTAGTTATAATTTCCTGCTCCTTAACAAAACCCCAATTTTACTTGACTTTGCTGCTGCCAGCAATATACTCAGTCACTTAAACATCCTGTTCCTTCTACCTAAATGACTGAGGTGAGGATTTATTCCCTGACAAACCCACAGTGGCTTGGCTATTTTCAAGAACTGTTTTACTGCAAAGCCAAAGCAAACAAAATACAAAGCGACAAAAACCCGCAAAGGGTAATAGGGTAACACAGTGAAAGCTGTGACCAGTAGAGGCTCTCATTTGGGCTTCACCGCCTCCCAGTGGCCACCCAGATTCCTCCTCTTGAACCTGCCCCCACCTCCTTTTACCCTCCTGGCCGCCCTGCCCCTTCAGGCCTCTGAAGCCTCTGTGGTCTTCTCCAGCCCCCTTGCTATTGCTAAAGACCTACTCAGTTTACAGTCATCAAGCCTAAAGCCATTCTACCTCTTGCTCTTGCTTTGATTCCACATCTAAGATTCTAGACCAGCAGCATGTCTTTCTGAAAAGTGTGGCAAGGGGTTAAATGACAATTTGAGACTAGGAGATCTCTGAAATGAAAGGGCTTACTGAGAGGCTAGCCTGAAAGAAAGGATCCATCCTGGGACACGGTCCCCGAGTCGCCAGCAGCAAGGCTGGGTAGCAACTGGAAAAGTGTCTGCCAGATCTAATGAACTATCTGTGATGAAAAGCTTGAGGACAGAAAGCGTGAATTGCTTCCACCGATCCCGCACTAGCCATGGATGAGAGGGACAGGACCAGGCAGAAACAGACAACGCTTTGGGATGGGAGGGTGGTCTATACAGAGGAGCACTTGCTAGTTTTTGGTTGGAGTTCTAAGCAGAATGAGATGGCACCTTGATGACTGTCCTCGGAGTTTTGAGTGAAGGGATTCAGCATATGTTTAGGAATGTGGAGCAGGGTTTTATGTTGTTACTGTTGTTAGTGGTGGTGGTTTAGCCCAATTTTATTAGCTGAATGACTTCTCTTATCTCTCCTCCATTCTCTGGCCTTGTAACCAAATGTAGGGCATGTCAGAATATTTCTTTTTAAATTTCTTTTGGCAGGCAGAGTTAGTGAGAGAGAGAGAGAGACAGAGAGAAAGGTCTTCCTTCCGTTGGTTCACCCCACAAATGACTGCTATGGCTGGCGCACTGCACTGATCCGAAGCCAGGAGCCAGGTGCTTCCTCCTGGTCTCCCATGTGGGTGCAGGGCCCAAGCACTTGGGCCATCCTCCACTGCACTCCCAGGCCACAGCAGAGAGCTGGACTGGAAGAGGAGCAACCGGGACAGAATCCGGCGCCCCAACCGGAACTAGAACCCGGGGTGCCAGCACCACAGGCGGAGGATTAGCCTAGTGAGCCGCGGCGCCAGCAGAATATTTCTTTTATCCAGGGCAAGGGAGGGTGGAGAAAGAGAAAGTGGTTTACTCTGGAACTTAGTGACCAGGTCCTAGGGTTAAATGGTTGGTTTATAACTTCATGAAATGTTCATCAGAACCCTTGTGGATCCTGCCTTGCAGATGAAGAGACCCAGGTCCAGAGAAGTTTAAGTCCTTGTGCCATTTAGTGCCAGAATTCAAATGAGGGCCCATCTGGTTCCCTCCCCTGTGCTCCTTCTCTACACACAGCTTCTTGAATGACCTTGGGGCCTCAAGGACACCACCTTGATGAACAGTAACATATCAACTTCCCAGAGAGCCAGAGCATGAATTCTTTCTTCCTGTTTCAAAACTCAGACTTGCCTCTTGAACAGCCCACAAATTCTTTTTTTTTAAAGATATATTTATTTATTTGAAAGAGTTACACAGAGAGAGGAGAGGCAGAGAGAGAGAGGTCTTCCATCCGCTGGTTCACTCCCCAATTGGCCACAAAGGTCAGAGCTGCCCCAATCCAAAGCCATTAGCTAGGCGCTTTCTCTGGTCCCCCACGTGGGTGCAGGGGCCCAAGAACTTGAGCCATCTTCTGCTGCTTTCCCAGGCCATAGCAGAGAGCTGGATCAGAAGTGGAGCAGCCAGGACTCAAACTGGTGCCTATATGAGATGCCGGCACTGCAGGCGGTGGCTTTACCCTCTACACCACAACACTGCCCCCCCACAAATTCTTACTTCGTAACCTAGTTGGCTTGCCAAGTAAGGATGTTAAACAGCTACTTATCTCATTAAAGAGTCTAGCCTTTTGTAACTTGCCGTCACTTTCTACTTACTTATTTATTTATTTGAAAGTCAGAGTTTACAGAGAGGAGGAGAGACAGAGAGAGAGGTCTTCCATACACTGGTTCACTCCCCAAAGGGCCACAATGGCTAGGGCTGGGCCAGGCTGAAGTCAGGAGCCAGGGGCTTCTTCCTGGTCTCACACATGGGTGCAGGGACCCAAGAACTGGGCCATACTCCATTGCTTTCCTGGGCACATTAGCAGGAACCTGGATTGAAAATGGAGTAGCCAGGTCTTGAACCAGCACCTATATAGGATGCTCTACCTTTCTAAGATGTTCTCTTAGTACCTATCATGGAGGAAAGAGTGGCTCTCTCTCTCCCAAATCCTATGAGATTAAAACAAATCTATCATACCAGTCCTCAATGAGAGTAAAATAATAGTTATCTTAGCACATCCATTATAATGCTACTCATGTTAGTTATTTGCTAAGCTAAATTTCTGTTTTTCTTCTCACAGATCAAGCAGAGAAAAAAACCCAATCCTCTTAGTACAGAGTATGAGTTCTCTGGTTCTGAGCTTCGCGGCGTTACCATCTTTCCACCTTAGTTTAGATTCTCATTATCCTTCACTCACTGTATTTCTTCTTCTTTTTTTTTTTTTCTGAGCTTTTCTGGAACCTCCATGTATACTTTATTTTTTTTCTAAGCATATTTCTTTTCTATTTTTTTAAAATATGGAATGTTTCACGAATTTGCATGTCATCCTTGCACAGGGGCCATGCTAATCTTCTCTGTATTGTTTCAATATGTGCTGCCGAAGTGAGCGCCCATGTATACTATAGACAGAACAGATGACTGAAATCCAGAACGGAATGAGATTGTTGCTTTTCTCATTCAAAGAAGAAAAATAAACTTACTAACATTTACAACCTTTCCTGCTATAAACCCCAGGCCTGTAGCACTTTCTACCCTGTTGGAAAGTAGCCTGTGCTTAAAATAACATCAAGTACAACTATAACTTGACACTCAAACCAGAGGTTGCTGTACCTTGTCAAACCTGTAAAATGAAACTTTGGATTTTTCCTTGATGAAAGTGAATTGCCGAAGAGCATCCTCAGCCCGTTTCAAGCTAGGCTTGATCCTGCATAGAAGGGCTGGAGGCTGCGGGCTCATGTGGCCTCCCGAAACCCGGGAGGAACTTGTAAGCTATTGTTCATTTGCTGGACAACCACAGAAATTGGCGTCCTGGGCTTTTGTTGTTGCGTCTCACACAGATACAGCCACAGCCTCAGGATCAGTCAGCCCTCTCTGAACATTTTGGGGAGGGACAAAGATGAGCTTGGCAGATTGGCCATGTAGTCTGATGAGCAAACTGTTGCTGCCACACCCACCAAGAAATTACTCCAGCTTTGTTCTCCGAATCACCACCGGGTGGCACATGTTTAATTGTCCAGATCTGGTGGCTCTGTTTGTAACCTGTGGCTGCTCAAGTTCAGGAGCTATGTTGGCCTTTAACATGAAGCTGGCAAGAGCTGATTTACTAATCTGAAATTATCAATGGATTTCCTTTGATTGCTTTTACTTGATTTCCCTCACTGATTACCTGCTATAATTACTAGGAGTAGAAATAACTTTGAAGGCTTTTAGAAGGAATAAACTACTCATGTTGCTATAAAGAATTTAAAAAAGAGAGAAAGTTAAAAAATACGGAGTGTACTTTTGCCTTCATGAAAATGAAGGTCTGAGGACCAGGTCTGGCACTAGGCAAAGCAGTGAAATAGTGTCTGTACTTTTTGCCTTCTTTCTCCCTCTTCTCTCCAACTTGTGGCTCAACTCCTCCTTGATTTCAAATAATATTCTTGTTAAATTAATAAAAAATTAGGGGCTGGCATTGTGGCATAATGGATTAAGCCACTGCCTGAGACAACAGCATCCTGTATGGGCACCTGTTCAAGTCCTGGCTGTTCTTCTTCTTCTTCTTTTTTTAAAGTTTTATTTATTTCCTTGAAAGGCAGAGTTACAGAAAGGCAGAGGCAGAGAGAGAGAAAGACACACACACACACACACACACACACACAGAGAGAGAGAGAGAGAGAGAGAGAGATCATCCATCCACTGCTCCCCAAATGGCTGCAACAGCCAGAGCTGGGCTGATTCAAAGCCAGGAACTGGGAGCTTCTTCTGGTTCTCCCACACTGGTGCAGGGGCCCAAGTACTTGGACCAACTTCTACTGCTTTTCCAGGCCATAGCAGAGAGCTGGATGGGAAGTAGAACAGCTGGGGCTCGAACTGCCATCCATTTGCAGGCAGTGGCTTTGTCCGCTGCACCACAGTGCCGGCCCCACTGTTCTACTTCTGATCCAGCTCCCTGCTAATGTGCCTGGGAAAGCAGCAGAAAATGGCCCAAGTCCTTGGTCCCTTGAAACCATGTGAGAGACCTAGATGAAGCTGGCTTTGGCTGGCCCATCCTTGGCTGTTGCAGCCTCTATTTATCTCTGTCTCTATCTCTATCTCTATCTCTATCTCTATCTCTATCTCTATCTCTCCCTCCTTCTCTGTAACTCTGCCTTTCACTAAAATAAAATAAAAGCCTAAAAAAATTTAAAGTATGTTTTCAATATTTGGTATAGAACTCACTCTAGGCCATTGCTCTTCATGTAATTTATGAATATCCACAATAGTTGATGGGAGTATTAGCCTTCTGCAACCCCGCTCTGAAATCTCACACACTTAATCCAGTGGACAATCTCACTCTCTAACTCTGCTAGTACATTGGTCACAGTGTTTCAGAAGACTCTACAAAGAGAGGGACAGGAAAATAGGTAATCCAAAGGATATTATAAAACCTGTGTGGACAACTCCTCATGAACTCAGATCTCACCATGGTGTCCTAGCATCATTTATGATCACAACAGAAATGTTACCCAAAATAATGTATAGCCTTTGGGTGGGTAGAAATCTTCCATACCTGGACCTTTTGCTAATAGAGCACTTTGCTCTTTCGGTATTATAACTTGTACTTCCTTTCTTCAGGTTGATGGTATTCTGTCTGTATGTCTCCTGACCACCTCTTGGAATGATCTTCCAAACCCACTGCCCCATCCCTAAGAGCTCCAGAATCCCCCCTCTTGTGTTTATGGACCCACAGGCAATGCAAACAGGGAGACTCATGGCATAGGAGGTGGAGGGGACAGAACAGAACATGGGAGTGGAAGGTTTCTTTCCATCTTTTCACAGGGGACTGGGTCCTCTGATCTTGTGTATCTTCCCTGACTACAGCCACAGGAGAGTCTGCCCTGCTTGGAAATGAGTTGAAAAGCCCTCCTCTCAATCTGGTATCCTTTGATCTGCTTCTTATCAAAGCACCATGTCTGTGAATTTACTCTCATTAGACCCCAAGGAAAAATTTAAGTAAACAAATTCAGCTCTCAGTGATGAAAAGGCCACCACTTTCATCTTTGTTAAACTTGTGATCTTTAAAGTACAAGGGGTCCTACCTTCAGTTCACCTAAGTCACCAGATTGGAGCTCAAATTCTTTCCCAGTAAAATCATTGTCTTCTGTTTCTTCCTTCCTCTTTTTTATAGGCCCCTGATCATCTCACCCTTCCATCTTTTCCCTGCATGATCCTCTGCCTCTCCTCTGTACTCCGCCATTCTCCGACTTCTCTCCTTCTCCCTTCATTTCCTCTGAAAATATGAGGCACACTGGGAGTTGTAAGAGAAGGGTGTGAGGCTAGGCAAGGCGTTCCATGAAATCTCAGGGGTGGCAGGTCAGGCCTAGTCTGTGTCCTGCTCGGGCCTTGCCCAGTAATCCTCCTTCAAATTCAAGGAAGGGGGGAAAGGAACCCTGTCATTCCCTCTACCCCACTAAGCTGCTGTCAGCTCTAAACCAATTTTTCTACTTACCTAAGTAGTGGTCTCATACCCAGTAGCTAAGTATGACCAGGTACCACTTTAAGTGCTGTCCTCCACAGCACTAATTAGAATAGATTATTCTGTATATCAAATGGTAATAACTTAAAAAAAAATTCCTATAGCATGTCCCAAGGAGTGTCATGTAAATGAGAGAGTACGGGGTTGGCTTTGCAAAGTCGAGATGATGTGTACTTTCTTTGTTCAGGACACAGCAATGTCAGTGCCATCAGGAAAGGGGTCTTTCATAGTCTGAGGATATCTGCTGTGAGGCCCACAATGACAAACTTGAAAAAAAAACAACCCTAAGTCCTCAATGCAGCCTTGCAAACGGGACGTGCTGCGTGCACTCTCAGGGGTCTGTCTCTCCGCACTTGCTTTGCGTGATTCTCTCCGTTCTGTTTCAAGCCTCTTCCCCGGCTCCTTACGGTACCTTGTTCAGCAGCACCTGGACTTGCTGCATGCCCTGCAGGAAAGGGTCCTGAAGTGGCCGCGCCAAGGAGTCCTCGGAGATTTATTCCTTAAACTGACAAACGACGAGGTAAGACGCGTCTTTTCCCTCTGTGCATCTTAATGCCGTGATTATGTGTCTCGCTCATCTGCTCTTCCTCACAGAGAATCTAGAATCAGTGAATTCCAGAGCTAAAGGAACTACTAAGGTCTAAACTAACCTCATTCTACAGATAAAGGAATAATATTCAGAGAGATTAGAAGACTTTGATGAAATCATCCAGCTAATAGGTAGTTGGAGATCTGTGATTAAAACCTTATTAGGTATTTTTTCTAAAGGATTTCTTTATTTGAGAGGTAGAGTTGCAGACAGTGAGAGGGAAAGACAGAGAAAAGTCTTCCACCCACTGGTTCACTCTTCAAATGGCTGCAATGACAGGAGCTGGGACGATCTGAAGCCAGGAGCCAGGAGCTTCTCCCATGCAGGTGCAGGGGCCCAAGTGCTTGGGCCATCTTCTACTGCTTTCCCAGGCCATAGCAGAGAGCTGGATCGGAAGAGGAGCAGCCAGGACTAGAACCAGCATGCCTATGGAATGCCAGTGCTGCAGGCAGAAGATTAACCTATTGTGTCACAGCGCCGGCCCCCTTATTAGGTCTTTTTTATTTTTTTAAGATTTTATTTATTTATTTGAGAGGTAGAGTTACAGAGAGTGAGAGAGAGAGACAGAGAGAAAGGTGTTCCTTCTGTTGGTTCACTCCCCAGATGGCCGCAACAGCCGGAGCTGCGCCGAGCCAAAGCCAGGAGCCAGGTGCTTCTTCCCCGTCTCCCACATGGGTGTAGGGGCCCAAGAACTTGGGCCATCTTCTACTGTTTTTACCAGGCCATAGCAGAGAGCTGGATTGGAAGAGGGGCAGCTGGGACTAGAACCGGCACCACAGGTGGAGGATTAACTTACTGCCCACGGAGCCACTCCCCTTATTAGGTGTTTTTTTTTGTTTGTTTGTTTGTTTGTTTGTTTTTGTTTTGTTTTGTTTTTTTTTGACAGGCAGAGTTAGACAGTGAAAGAGAGAGACAGAGAGCAAGGTGTTCCTTCCGTTGGTTCACCCCCCAGATGACCACCAGGGCCGGTGCTGCGCCGATCCAAAGCCAGGAGGAGCCAGGTGCCTCCCCCTGGTCTCCCATGTGGGTGCAGGGCCCAAGGACCTGGGCCATCCTCCACTGCCCTCCCAGGCCACAGCAGGGTGCTGGACTGGAAGAGGAGCAACCGGGACAGAATCCAGCGCCCCAGCCGGAACTAGAACCCGGGGTGCTGGTGCCGCAGGCGGAGGATTAACCAAGTGATCCATGGCGCCGGCCATCCCTGTTAGGTCTTATAACTCCAAGTTTATAACTTTACACTGTACTGTAACTGTCTCCATTAAATATGCACATGTTGTGTATATATGAGAGTACCTCAAAAAGCTTGTAGAAAAAGGAAATGAAAAAATATATTTGGGGTAAGCATTTGGTGAGGTGGGTTAAGACACCGCTTGGGATGCCTGTATCTGTATCAGAGTCCCTGGGTTCAAATCCTGACTCTGCTCCTGACTTCAGCTTCCTGCTACTGCTCACCTTCAGAAACAGCAGGTGACAGCTCAAGTGCTTGGGTCCTGCCACCCAGCTGGGAGACTTGGCTCAGCCCTGGCTGTTGTGGGCATTTGGGAAGTGAATCAGTAGATGGGAGATCATTCTTTACCCCCTTCCCTCTTTGTCTCTCTGCCTTTCAGAAAGTAAAATAAGTAGATCAAAAAGTTTTTAAAAGAAAATTGAAATCTATGCACCATTGTTTTAAAATATTTATTTATTTGAAAGGCAGAAATACAGAGAGAGGATCTTCCATTTGCTGGTTCACTTCCCAAATGGCTGCAGCAGCCACAGCTGGGCCAGGCAGAAACAGGAGCCTGGAGCCTCATCCAGGTCTCCAGGTGGGTGCAGGGCCGTCTTCTGCTTCTTTCCCAGGTGCATTATCAAGGAGCTGGATCAGAAGAGGAGCAGCCGGGATACAAACTAGCACCCATGTGGGATGCCAGTGTCACAGGCAGTGACTCAACATGCTACTACACCACAGTGCTAGCCCCCACGCACCATTTTTAAAAAAATATTTATTTATTTATTTATTTATTTGAATGGCAGAGTTACAGAGAGGGAGAGACAATGAGAAATCTTCCATTTGCTGGTTCACTCCCCACGTGACCACAATGGCCAGGGCAGGTCACATGGAAGCCAAGAACCAGGAACTTTATCCCTGTCTTCCATGTGGATGGCAAGGGCCCATCTACTTGAACCATCTTATGCTGCTTTCTCAGGCACATTAATAGGGAACTGGATTGGAAGCAGAACCGCCAGGACTTGAACTGGCACCCATATGAGGAATATCTATTTGATTTTATCCAGTTATTATCCAGAAAAAAGAAATAGGCCTTCTGATATTTTATTTTGGTTCCAAAAAATTGAAATTTATGGATAGTGGATTTAAGAGAAGCTGAGAATCCAAATTTTGTGTGAAATTTTCTTTTTCAAATATGTGTGCAGGGCAGGTGTCTGGCTCAGTGGTTAAGATGCTGTTTGTGGGGGCCGGCGCTGTGGCGTAGCGGGTAAAGCTGCTGCGTGCAGTGCTGGCATCCCATGTGGATGCTGGTTTGAGTCCCAGCTGCTCCACTTCCAATCCAACTCTCTGCTGTGGCCTGGGAAAGCAATAGAAGATGGCCCAAGTCTTTTGGCGCCTGCACCCACGTGAGAGACCCAGAAGAAGCTCCTGGCTCCTGGCTTTGGATCAGCACAGCTCTGGCCGTTGCGGCCAATTGGGGAGTGAACCAACAGATGGAAGACCTTTCTCTCTGCCTCTCTTTCTCTCTCTGTATAACTGACTTTCAAATAAACAAATGAATCTTTAAAAGAAAAAAAAAAAAAAGATGCTGCTTGTGATGCCAGCATGCCAGCATCAAACATGAAAGTGATTGAGTTTGAGTCCCAGCTCCGCTTTCAGTTCCACTTCCTGTTACTGCACACCCTGTTAGGCAGTAGGTGACGGCCCAAGTACTTGTGTCCCTGCCCTCCATGTAAGATTGAGTTCTGGGTTCCTGGTTCCTGGCTTTGGCCTAGTCTAACACTAGCTCTTGTAGGCATTTGGGAAGTCTCTCTCTCTCTCTCTCTCTCTGACTTTCAAATAAATATAAACAAATAAAAAAATCAATGAATATATTGTGTGAGCTAATTAAAGTAGGTCTGAAAGCCAGTTTTTGCCTGCAATCAACATTTATGTATCGATGAATATCAGTTTCTGGTATCAAGACAACATTTTTTTCCTTTTTATTATTTTGCAATACAGCATTTAAAAATTACTTGTATTAGAGTGGATGTAATGCTATCCCTCTAGTGTATCATTTCTAATCTCAATTCCTATCCTGGCATTTTCAGAAGGATTCCATCCATGATACAGGCAGCAGCTGTGGCTGCATTGAGATGGTTCACTTTTGGACTCACTCTGAACTCCCTTAAGAGCAATGCCTCTGTGTTGTTCTCTTTTTAAGCTGAGAATATCTGTCATTTAAGAGGTGTCTCAGTTTTACCAGGCGTTTCTTTCCATGTGGATAACAATGTCTTTATTCCTCTTTTCCTTTGGGCAAGCTACCTCTGTTCCTGGAACATCTTCTCACTCTGTTAGGCTGTTGAGGCAGATCTTCTGGGACAGGGGGAGGGAATTTGGCAGCAGGGTTGAGAGTCAAGTTTCTAAGGGCCTTTGTTACCATTTCTAAGCAAGTGGAAGAGAGACTGCTGAATCCCTCAAAATTTCCTTCAGTGGCCACCCAAAAAATTTTGGGATGAAGGTTGGGTTAGGCAATTTTTGATAACTCCATAGCAGTCTAGTTATAGTTCTTGGGTGTTTCAATTTTAGAGAAATTCGTGCTGGACTCTCTAGTTGCTCCAAAGTAGGCTGAAAATGAACTAGATAGCCCGGAAAGACTCTGCAAATCCAGTCTCCAACACAGAGGGTGAAATAAGCCAACCTCTTTCAAAAGATATTAAGAACACATTAAATGAATGATTAAGATAATAATCTCTGCACAGTACTCATTTTCAATATACATGGCTCTGTGAAAATATTATCTTCTCAGTTTCCAGGTTCTTACCATGCAATTTTCTGTTTGTTTTAAAGAATAACTTCTTGGATTATTATGTTGCCTACCTGAGGGATTTGCCTGAATGCATCTCATTGGTTCATGTGGTGGTTCTGAAGGAGGTAAGTTAATTCTGTGTGTGAGTACTGTCCTTCTTTTCACACACGTTACCTGTACCACGTTGCTCTTCTACGCAGCCAACAGAGCGCACGCACTCTGAGGAATGGCCTGAACAGTGTTACTGACATGCCTACTTAAAGTTAAAGCAGACACTCAAGGGTCAGTGCCATTGTTTTGATCATTGCTCTGCCTTACTGAGTGACCCTCTCCCATTGATTTATCCCAACGGACAAACTGTAGACAGATACATAGGCGTTCTAAGCAGAAATCTTCAGAGTGCAGCTTGTATGTTATATGTGCTGATGCTTCTTCAATCACAGAAAACATAAATCTGAGTATTAAACTCAAATCATCTTACAAGGTCATAAGTGGCTCTCATATGTTGCTGTATAAGGGTACTTCAAAAGTTAACGGAAAAATTGAATGAAAATATAAGGTTTTTTGGTGCCTAAGTTTATTTCTATGTATTTTTTCATAATATGCATTTCCTTGAAGTTTTTGAAGATTTCTCTTACATGTGGATTTCAAATTTTTTGCACCAAAATAAACCCATATTTAAATCCATTTTCCATGAACTTTTAAAACCCATTTATATTAGGTGCTCAGTAAGCATGTATACATATGTAACAATTCCAGGTAGCTCAGGTCAATAGGGGAAAAAAAAGCAATAAAAGTCAAAGGTGAGAGTAAATTAAGTCTCACCAATAGACAAGGGGCTTAGTCTTATTAACTTTCTACTTCAATCTCTCATTACTCCCAGCCCGGTATGATGCCTGGCATAAGGTAGCACTCAACAAATGTCTGGCAGAGGGAAATAAAGAGAAGGAAGGGGAAGGGACGTGGAGAAAGTCTAGCATGTTTTCTGTTTCCAGGCCAATAGATCACTTCCTGATCACACTCTGCCCCTCACTGTCAAGGGGCTCTAACCCAGCATCAGAGCCCATTAGTAAACCATTGTAATAATTACTTGCGGGAGCACCTTAATGAACTCATTTAACTCAAATACAATTTATGGAGTGCCCAGTCTGTCTAGCTAACATAGGGCAGGGGGCAAGTGTGGTTTGGAGAGCCGGGTGGGTTCAGAAGAAATACATGGTATGCTCCGTGCTGGAGAAGACTTGTCTCCCTGATCATGTGGCCTCTTGCATGAGAAGCCATGCTTCATGACAGACGCTGGGAAGAAAATGCCCTGGGAGGAAACTCTTCCTGCTCTGGTGGGACCAACTCTGGGGTCCTGCTGCCAGAGCTGGAGGGACAATGATGAACGATGCCACCTTTTTTTTCATTTAGGGTGATGAAGAGATTAAATCTGACATCTACACACTGTTTTTTCACATAGTCCAGCGCATCCCCGAATATCTGATACATCTGCAGGTAGGCATGGCTACAAAACTGACTTTTCATGTTGATCTATTGTTGGCTTTCAGGGGAGGAATACTGTAAGGAATTATGGAGTCATTAATATTCCAAAGAAGTATTTACATGGATCAGATTGTTATGATTATTCCAGACCACACAATGCTCTCTGGTAAAATCTCTACCTCCAGAAATGTTCAGCTCATGATGCCTGCCCCTGAAGTTCTGTCTTCATTCATGAGCAACCTCTGTCTCTGCTGATGCACGGTCTTTCTGTTATCACTAATTACCATTACTGCTAGATTCTGAACACTTTTTTTAGTCCCTTCCATTTTGGTTCTATATTCATCTAAATGCCACGCTTTGGTATCTCAAAATCTTTTTTTTTTAAGACAAGTTTCTTCTCTCTCTTTTTAAAGATTTATTTATTTTATTCGAAGTTACATAGAGCAGGAGAGACGTAGACAGAGAGAGAAAGATCTTCCATCCACTAGTTCACTTCCCAAATGGTCTCATCAACAGGGTCTGGGCCAGGCTGAAGCTGAGAGCCAGGAGCTTCATCCGGGTCTCCCACGTGCAGGGGCCCAAACACCCAGGCCATCCTCCACTGCTTACCTGGAGTATTAGTAGGGAGCTGGATCAGAAGTGGTGCAGCTGGGACTCGAACTAGCACCCATATGGGATGCCAGCGCTGCAAGCAGCAATTTAACCTGCTGCACCACAGCACTGACCCCAATATCTCAAAGTCTGACTTGCCCACCTGACAGCCATCTTAGCTACTTTTTGGCTTGGGTCCATTGTTCTATCATACAGTACTTATGCTTTGTGTCACAGAAGAAGCATAAAGAAGCTGATGAGCTGACTTTTCCACAAATCTTGTAGCATCTTAGAGGAAGTAAAGTTGAGAGAGAGGCTCACCAATCCCCTACCAGTCCCTCTTCTTCCCATCACCCACTTGTTCTGTTTTAATTGCTATCTAATCTTATTAAGCAATTCAGTGACAGCATTTTAGAAATGCAGGGGATTGGGCTGGCATTGTGGTGTAGCGGGTTAAGCTGACACCTGCAATGCTGGAATCCCATATGGGTGCTGGAATGGCCTGGGAAAAGCAACAGAAGATGTCCAAGAGTTTGAGCCCCTGCTAACCACATGAGAAATCCAGATGAAGCTCCTGGTTCCTGGTTTCGGCCTGGCCCAACGCTGACCATTGTGGCCATCTGGGGAATGAACGAACGGATGGAAGATCTTTCTCTGTGTTTCTCCCTCTCTCTCTGTAACTCTTTCTAAATAAATAAACAAATCTTAAAAAAAGAAGAAGAAAGAAAAAGAAAGGCATGGGATTAATATCAGATAGAAGTAGCCCAGTATCAATATTAAAAAGACTTTGTATATGGTTGTAGATGCAAAACCACTCATAATTATTTAATTCTTTCAACAATTCCATGAAATATATATCATTGTTGCCATGTTTTAGATAGAGAGCTAAGAAAATTAAGTAATTTTCCTAAGTTCACATGCCTAGTAGGTGAAAAACCTGGGACCAAAAAACAGGCCTTGCAAGTGGTGGAATATGGTAAATAAGCCCTAGTTTTGCTGTCTGATCTGAGTTCAAATCCTGCTGCATTATTCACTAGTGTGTACCTAATGAAGATCACTTAACTGTTCTGTATCTCAATTTCCTTTAAAAAAAAAAATGGAGGTCGAAACTGTACCTATCTAATTGAGTTGTGGTAAAAATTAAATGAGATAATATTGATAAGGGCTTAGTGCCTGTCAATGGGAAGTATTCAATAAATATTAGTTTTCCCAAATTCAAGTCGCATACATATTCACTTAGCATATTAGGCAATATACTAGGATGGGCCACGAGGCCAAGTTTGATCATAAATACCACCCCTCCCCCCATAGCTTGCCTTGAATGCCTGACATTTTCACCATTAATCTGACTTGTTTTAAGGCATTATTTATAGACAGCAATTGTTAGAATGCCTCCATTACATCAGAGATTTAATTAGTAGATCCTCCTAACTTTCCACATGGCATTATTTTATGTTCACATCCAACTCAAACAGGAACAACAATGACTCATTTTCCTTTGGCGTGATGGTGAGAGAGCAGCAAGTTTGACCTTTCAGCTTATAATAGATGAGCCATATGTTTTGTTGTTAGTTGTCTTGATTAAGTGGCTACCAAACCCTCACAACAGATCAAGATAAGGTACAGAAGAGACAAAACAATTTGTTATTCTAATTATGCAGTGCTGCTTCCTTTTTTTCTCCATCCAGAATGTCTTGAAGTTCACAGAGCAGGAACACCCTGACTATTATCTACTACTGGTGTGTGTTCAGCGCCTCCGAGTATTTATCTCCCACTACACCCTGCTATTTCAATGCAATGAGGATTTGCTTATTCAGAAACGGAAAAAGCTCAAGAAGTAAGGCTTCTGAGAACAGGGACGTGGATCAGTCATCATGGGTGTCTGTCACAAGTAGCAGGGGCTGAAATGCAGTGATGGGAGGCAGAAATGAAGAGAGAGGGCGGGAGGAGAGGGGGCTTGATTGGCTACAGGAGCCGGAAATCTGCTACCATCTGCTGGTTCACTCCCCAAATGCTGCAAAGGCTGGGGCTGGGCAAGGCCAAAGCCAGAAGCCAGGATCTTCCAGATCTCCTATGTGGGATTTGGGCCATTTTCTGCTGCTTTCCTGGGTGCATCAGCAGGGAGCTCAATCGGAACAGGGCGCTGACCCAAAAGTAGAATAGCCGGGACTCGAACAGATGCCCATATGGGATGCCAGCACTGCAGGTATCAGCTTTACCCACTACTATGCCCCCAGTTTACACCCTATCATGTAAGCTACCTAGTTTGTATACCCTGGAGACAGAGACCTTCAGAGCAAACTCCATATGATATAGTTCTTAATCTTTCTTGGTATTAAGCTGTGTGTTCAGAGAGCCAGTTTCCTGTTTTACAACCTGAAAATTATTACTTCCATTCTGTTAGGTCATCCATGGCAAAGCTGTACAAAGGGCTGGCTTCCCAGTGTGCAAATGCTGGCCAAGATGCTTCCCCCACTGCAGGTCCTGAGGCTGTCCGGGACAGTGGCATCCACTCAGAAGAGATTCTGCAGCCCTACCCTTCTGCTCCCAGTTCTGGTCCTGCTGTCACGTAAGCACCTATTGCTGTGGAAAAGTCAATGAGCCTCCCAGCCCACACAAACACACACAGTGTTTGTGTATGATCTACAGGGCTCTGTCTCCACTGTCCCCAGGCCCGTGTGACAGCCAAGATCAAATGCTTGGATCTGTAGAGGATAGGAGGAGAGGCAGAAAGTGTTTTGTGGGTTACTTCAGCATTGAGATGGTGAACTTTTTTTTTTTTTTTTTTTTTTTTTTTGACAGGCAGAGTGGACAGTGAGAGAGACTGACAGAGAGAAAGGTCTTCCTTTGCTGTTTGTTCACCCTCCAATGGCCGCCGCGGCCGGTGCACCGCGCTGATCCGATGGCAGGAGCCAGGTGCTTTTCCTGGTCTCCCATGGGGTGCAGGGCCCAAGCACTTGGGCCATCCTCCACTGCACTCTGGGCCACAGCAGAGAGCTGGCCTGGAAGAGGGGCAACCGGGACAGAATCCGGCGCCCCGACCGGGACTAGAACCCGGTGTGCCGGCGCCGCAAGGCGGAGGATTAGCCTAGTGAGCCGCGGCGCCGGCCGAGATGGTGAGCTTTATCTTTGCCGTACAACGGAGTAAAAAAGGAAATTCCTAGCAACAACATGGCTGTCATTACATACCATGTTTGCAAAATAAAACCCAGTTCAAATCAGGTATTTCATCTCACTATTTCTTTTCACACCTGCAAATCTCAGACCTGATTTTCACTCTGCGAGCACCAGAGTGGTACTCAGTGTTCACATGTGCATTCTCGCGGCACCGGTGCTGAAACAGTGCAGCCATTCTGAGTCAGTGTTACGTGGCACAATGGAAAAATCCCATCCCCTCTGATGAGTGTACCACGCTACTCTGTAAACGAAATTCTTCAATAGCTGCAAGGAATTTCTTGAAGTTTTGAAAATTTCATATTTACACAGAAGGGTACCATGAACCCCAAACGTCATCATCCAGACTGAGCAGTTATCAAGGTCCTGCCGTGTTTACTTCACCAAGAAATTTGTTTTTAAGCGTGAAGTCCATGAGTCCAACAAAAGCCGTTTCCGTTCCATTGTCAGCCCCGGGGCATTCAAGGGAGAGGAGTGCGCTGAGAGAGATGCCCTGGCATGCTGCAGGTGGTGGGAGGCTCAGAGGCCTCCACGGGGCGAGAAGAGGGTCCCTGGCCGCCGACCATCTCCACGCCGGGCCTCTGCCTACCGGCAGCTCAGGCCGGTGCTTTCCGGTACCTGCTTAATGGGCCCAACCTCCAGTCTCCCACTCGCAGAGAGACTCCCGGCAACTTAGCGCCAGAACCTGGCAGATGAGCACGCAGGCGACTGGGAGGGGCCGAGGGAAGGAGCTGGCAGGATGGGGTTGCCGCTGGGCAAGGGGCCTGCGTGTAGCCATGAGCACGTCTCTCTTGTTTCCCCTTTAAAGGCACTTGATGCCCCCCGTGAAGAAAAGCCAGCAGCAGCCAAGCCTGATGGAGAGCCTGCAGCCCGGGAAGCCCGGTGACTGGGAGATGGAGGGCAGAAAGCACGAGAGGCCCGAGAGCCTGCTGACGCCCGCGCAGTTCTGTGCCGCCGAGCAGGACGTGAAGGCGCTCGCCGGGCCCCTGCAGGCCATCCCGGAGATGGACTTCGAGCCCTCTCCGGCCGAGCCGCTGAGCAACGTGGAGCGCTCCCTGCGCGCCCCGGCCGAGCTCCTGCCCGACGGCCGCGGCTACGTGCCCGCAGGCTACGAGGAGTTCGAGTACGGCGGCGAGATCTTCGCGCTGCCCGCGCCCTACGACGAGGAGCCCTTCCAGGCCCCGGCCCTCTTCGAGAACTGCTCGCCCGCCTCTTCCGAGTCCAGCCTGGACATCTGCTTCCTGCGGCCCGTCAGCTTCGCCATGGAGGCCGAGAGGCCCGAGCACCCGCTGCAGCCGCTGTCCAAGAGCGCCACGTCGCCGGCGGGAAGCAGCGGCGCCTACAAGCTGGAGGCGGCGGCGCAGGCGCAGGCGCAGGCGCACGGCAAGGCCAAGCCGCTGAGCCGCTCGCTCAAGGAGTTCCCGCGCGCGCCGCCCGCCGAGGGCGTGGCCCCGCGCCTCTACAGCACGCGCAGCAGCAGCGGCGGCCGCGCGCCGCTCAAGGCCGAGCGCGCCGCGCAGCCGCACGGCCCGGCCGCCGCCGCCGCTGCCGCTCGCGGGGCGCCGCGGACCTTCTTTCCCCAACAGAGGTCCCAAAGCGAAAAGCAGACCTATTTGGAAGTAAGGAGGGTAAAGTAAAACCGAGCCGAAACCCACAACGCCGGCGGTCCCGGGCCTAGATCTGCAGGGGCGACCCGAGTTCACCCAGCGTGGAGGGGAGAGGGGCGAGGCCAGACTTGAACTCGGGAGCGCGCTCGGGGCAGGCAGAGCCCCAGCGCCCCTCCGAGTTCAAGGCTCCTGCCTAGGTGACTCTTGGAGGCGAGTGGCAGCGCCGGGTCTCCGGTGCCGGGACGCTAAGAGCATGTCACGCATGCACGCCTATGACAGCAGAGAAGACCGCGACTCTGCACACCTGCTCTCCGTGCACGCGCGCACGCCCGCCACGGTTAGGGGAGATCTCATGACTGCAGGGAGATGAGGAAGACCCTAGGTCTGGAGACCTGCACACAGCCAGGGTCAGGGTTAGAGGATCTCCACACACACACACCCAGAGGCAGGGTTAGAGGACTGCGCGCACACACACACACACACACACACCCAGAGCCAGTGTTAGAGGACTGCACACACACACACACACCAAAGTCAGGGTTAGAGGACTGCGCGCACACACACACACACACACACACAAGAGTCAGGGTTAGAGGACTGCGCACACACACACCAGAGTCAGGGTTAGAGGACTGCGCGCACACACACACACACACACCAGAGTCAGGGTTAGAGGACTACACACACACACACACACACACCCAGAGTCAGGGCTAGAGGACTGCGCACACACACACACCCAGAGTCAGGGTTAGGGGACTACACACACACCAGAGGCAGGGTTAGAGGACTGCACACACACACACACCCAGAGTCAGGGTTAGGGGACTACACACACACCAGAGGCAGGGTTAGAGGACTGCACACACACACACACCCAGAGTCAGGGTTAGGGGACTACACACACACACACACACACACACCCAGAGTCAGGGTTAGGGGACTAACACACACACACACACACACACACCAGAGTCAGGGTTAGGGGACTACACACACACACACACACACCAGAGTCAGGGTTAGGGGACTACACACACACACACACCCCAGAGTCAGGGTTAGGGGACTAACACACACACACACACACACACCAGAGTCAGGGTTAGGGGATCTCTTCCTGCTTAAGTGTGTGGCACCTCCGAGTTGCAGTTGCGCTGTTTTTCAGAGCACTGCATGCAAATCCCAGGCCGGTCTGTCTCTGCCTCAGCCTGCTAGGTGCACGTGTTTGTTTAAATACGCACAATGCGAGAACTGTGCCAGCCTCCTCCGACCCCTAACCCCTTCTTCCTCCCCTCCCCACCTTGTGTGTAGCTAGTGAGGAGCAACTTGCCTATGCTGATGTAGGCTCTGGGAAGTTTGCTACAAAGCTAAGTTCATTACTGCCTGCATTCCTTTTGACCAGAAAAGGATGTCTCACTAATTTGCCAATTCCAATGGGATGGAGACATCCCGAAATAGCCAAAGAAGCTTTCACTCAAAAACACCTTCTTTGGGCTCAGTGAATATCGAGGTATTTTGATGTCTAACATTAGTGTCTGCAAGCTTTGGGGCATTTTAAAAGGTATTTAAATATCCATGAAATAGTTGATAGTTCCTTGGGGAATATATTGCATGAGTGCATGCTTGCATGTAAATGTGCATGTGTGCGTGAAGTGTTAGGTGTATATGTGTGTGTGCACACTTGTGCATGTGTGTGTATATGTAAGGTGGAGCAGGATGGGGATTTTAGTTGCAAAAGATAAACCTGTGAAAAGCCCTATCCCTACTGGTGTCAGTGTTTTGCTTTTGAGATGTGAAAAGCTCCTACTGCTTCATCTCTTCAAATATACTCTGTGTGTCTTCCAGCTGTGCCCAGCAGAGCCAGCTCTGAGAGTCAGGGAAGAAGGCAGTGCCTAGTGCAGAGAGCCCCCAGTTAGGTGTCAGGCGGTCCAGGTTCAAGTCCTGGTTCTGCTGCTGAACAAGCTGTGTGCTTTGGGACAATTCACTTAGCCATTCAGCGCCTCCACTTTTCTCACATATAAAAAGCAAGACAATGCTTATCTGACCTACTTTACAGGTTGTTGTGAGGATTAGGCCAAATGAGATCAAGTTTATGACTAAACCTTGTCAAATATAGACTGCTGTACAAAAGTAAGATACTATGAAGATCATGGTTTCGTGGATTTTCCTTAAACAATTCATACATTTAGTCCCCAAATAGTTCCTAAAAGCAGCTTCTCAAAATGTAGTCCCTGACCTAGCAGTGAATGTATTACCTGGAAATTTGTTCTGAATGCAAAATTTGCACCCCAAACCTACCAAATCACAACCTGCTTTTAAAGAAGATTCCTAAGTGGTATTTGTAAACATTAATTGCAAGTGGACAGACGCACCTTAAACCTCTGGCTTTCAAATCAATGACTGTCAGGTGTACCGGGGCCTGACTGCAGATTCTGATTCAGGATGTCTGGGTAGGGCTCAGAGATCTCCATTGTAGAGACCTCAGCTGACCCTAGAATCCCAGCTTTTGAGAAACCCTGCACCAAGATGTCCACTGTTGCTCTCCATTTCCTATTTATAAATTTTAGAATTGGAGAGAGTTTTTAGATCTGTTACTGCAACCCCAAGTTCAGTTCTCAAAGTCAGACTCAGGTGTTTCCTAAAAACAAACAAACAAACGCTCATCCTTATGCTTTACTTCTGTGTCAGCAAGCAGCCACCCAACCAGTTCATGAAACTCAGGGCATCAGTGGTGTAGTTTTGGCTTTGGTTTCTTAGGTTCTTTTAAGGATATTCAACATCAAGCAGCTGTTTTTAGGTTGCTTTTAAATTACAGTCACTTCAACATGACTATTTTGCTCATGTAGAATGCATATGGATACTAACTTGAATACACATAAATATATATGAATATCTATCAGCATATCTCATATTTTAAAGGGAACTGAAAAGTTCCCCAAAAATACAGCCTTATTTTTAATATATTTTACTTCACACTCCAAATGCCCTGAGTTAGTAATTGTAAAAACTGTACTAAAGGCATGTTTGCAGATTAAAAATGTCAGTTGACATTTACTTCTAAATAGGTCCAACCTCTCCAAAAACTTCTTCCCTCATTTATGTATAAAATGGAGAGTTAGGAACATGATTTTAAAATTAGTATTTCAATTAAAGAACTTTGTTATTTTGCAGAAAGAGAAACCCATCCAGAGATATGAGACCACTAGTAGTTTTCTGGCAAGACCGTACTGGTGCTAGAATAAGATTTTATGTTTCATGCTTTTTAAACATTAGCTAAATTCCTTGATTTCCTTATCTTTAATTATTATTACATCAGATTCGATTCTAGGCTGTTAGCCTTGATAAGTAGAAAATGCTATACTCAGCAGAAAATTTCCTTCCTTCCATCTAGTGAATCCTTCATTAACTTAGGTTTGCTTTAGTGGTGATCGGGTGCCCACCTGTAGTCCTTGGGATGGGGCAAGAGAAAAGTCAGCAGAGCTAAAAAATAAAATCGTCCTGCACTCGGGACAGGTCATGACTTCGAGGAAGAGTAAAAATCATCCTCTTCTGTGTTTTCAGGACATGCATTTAGAAGATTCCACCAGATTCTGTCCAAAGGAAGAAAGAGAAAGTGAACAAACATCGTTCAGCGATCAAAACCCCAGGCAAGACCAGAAAGGGGGCTTTCGAAGCTCCTTCCGCAAGCTCTTTAAAAAGAAGTGAGTAGCCATTAGACAAGACAGCACTGTAACTCGTTTCCCTTTGGGCTAAGTCTTGAGGTGTAACAGTATTAAGTATCTGATAGCCTGGTCTCACACAACTGCTTCAAGTTCAGTGCCTGTACTCAGTAGCCAAGATTCCTGCAGGGTGAAGATGCTTCTCAATGTCATCTCTCAGAGTAGAAGCAAATGGCTCTCTCCCCTGTCTCTTCTGTCTTTTATCCCTCCTTCCTTGTTCCCAAAGTCATGTGTCCTGACAGGGATGCGGAAAGGAGGCCCCCTGGGAAATGAGCTGCCGACACACCCCCTTTAGACTGGGAGGAGTGGGCTCCACTATTGGAGTGGGCTGTGATGAGTGTCCCCCACCTCTGGAAAGTTTTCTAAAGATATCTCAGTACTCCTGCCTTTCAGGGCGTCTAGGTACCCTGGGTTCTAATACATGTTCATTGGGACTTCAGTGTTTTCTCTGAGTCAATGACTTTGACTCGGGCCTTAGGTAAAAGTCACTTCAGCAGAGTTTTCCTATTCCAGAGGAGGCAAAAACAAGTCATTTCCACTCTGTGGTCCCGAGTTCTTTTGGTATGAAATGTAATCCACCGGGCAGTGGCCATTACTCTCCTATAGTCTGAGAGTCAGGGGCAAACCGCAGCATAGAATGTAAGGAAGAGAGAGGTGATTGTTAACATTGGGTTATAGAGGGACTTGCCAGTTTGGCCATGGCCGGCCTGAGAGTTTGCTGGTTTCTGTCTCCACTGGTCCTTGGTCCTACCTCCTTCTCCCTCGGAGAGATTGTCCCTACTACTGAGGTTTCCCTTGGAAAAAGAAGTTCTTGCAGTGGGACTTCGTGGGTGGAAGTTAGGCTAAGGTGTTACCGCTGGCTTTGGAAGCCGCTGCCGAGTGAGGCGGTGCAGGGGCGTCTCTGAGGTGGAGGTGTCTGAGTTAGGTAGTGACGGCTCCCGAGGGAAGCGCTGGGGCAGGCCTCAAGTGAGGGCTTCTTCCTTTTTTATGAGTTGTCTAGTTCTCCTCCCACAGGTAGGGTGGTCCTGAGAGGACTGGGTCTCTGGTGGTTGGTCTCTGCCTGTTGTTTCTGAAAGACGGGGCGAGAGGAAGAGCCACAGCCCCGCAGGCCCCTTGCAGCTCTGCTCAGGCAGCCTGTGCGTGCTGACTGCCCCTGGGTGCTCAGCCCACCTTCTGCAGCGGCCGGGGAGGCGACTGGCCGCCTCTCTCTCTCGAGGGTCGCAGACAGATCTCTCTGGGCTCACTGCCTACCTTTGTCAGCTTTGACGGAGATGGAAGGGCCTGGGAGCACATAACTCTCCAGCCTGAACTTGACCCCAAACCGGAGGAAGGCTCCAGAATGCTTTTTCGCCTGGAGACCTGCTTTATGCCTGTGCTGTGGCTCAGTCTGAGTAATCGCATCTTTTTATCCCCTGAAAGAGGAAATTAATGGCCTGGGGACCTATCATTTTAAAGGCCCACCATGTAGAAGAGCAGGTTTGCTCTTGCGGCGAGCCCCCACAGATCTTGAATAATGTAGAGCACGCGCCATGGGCTCTCCAAGTTCATGCCGGTTATTTGTTTTCGGTCCCCCTGAGGGTTTCTGGGATTCTCCTTGATGAAAGAGCGATTGCCTTAGTTCTCGTCTTCTCTCGTGGACCATCCTCTCCTGCATCCCTCGTGTTGCTGCCACCCCTTCTGGCACTGTCCTTTGCAGTTAAAACTCTGGTGTGTTATCTGAGTGGAAGTAAAGGCGGAGCCACCAGATAGATGGCTCTCCCTCTGGCTGGCTTCCCTGGCTTTTCAGATCTGGCCCAGGACAGTCAGCACCATCAAGTGATAACCCGCATATGACCTTGAACTTAGGGTGCCATGGTGGGCACTTTGGGAACTTGGCAGGGGATGAGAAAGCTGCTGAAGTAGCTTCCGAGTGTTTTCAGCCGAGAACCATGGGAAGACCATTGTGGAGCATGCTTCTCTGTGGTAAAGTGGAGAGGAAGGGCAGGCAGGCCCCAGTGTAGCGCAGGAAGGCCAGTGGCTTGTAACTCCCATGAGAACACAGCATTCTTGCTAAGTAAGCACTCTTCCTTATATGCATGCACTGTGCAAGACACTTGTGTAGGACTGTGAATGGCATGGGTCCCAAGCGTTATACAGGAACTTGCATTCTGAAGTCAGGTGTGTGGACGGGTAGAGGAAGGACCCAGAAAGAGGCATTCAGCCCTTTCTCCTCCTGTGTGTCAGGAGGTCCGTGTGACTTTTGAGAAGTGGCTGGGTACTGGAGCCACCCCAGAGTGTGGACTCACAGGCCCACGGGGGCCAGTGCCAGAAAAGCCGCCTGTGTCATGTCTGGGGCTCGCTGCCTTCCTCCCCTGTAGCCCTCTGGAGGCTCATTCCTGTCTACGCTGACACGCTTTTTGTTCCATAGGGGCTTGTTTGGCTGGTGGCCCCACACACCCAGAATGCTGCTTCGGGATGAAGCTAGGCATGGAGCCAGATGCAGCAGAAAACCTGAGAAAGGGTTCTCTTCCCTCTGAGGCTGGGAGGGCCGAATGCTCATGCCCACACCCACAAGGATTCCAAAGGGAGAGTCAAGTTGACATCACTCAAAAAATCCTGAAAAATGCCCACAATATTTGGGGACAAGGATTACCCTCTGATTGTTTCCATATTAGGCACAGTTGTCCTGGGTAGAGAGACACCAGTTCATGTATCTCTAAAAGCTGGCTGGAATTGATCAGAATAAAGACTATATATATTATCACTTGAAAATATTAATAGTGACTTTAAACATTTTAAATGAGGATTCTTAGAAGCCAGGAACAGACCTAATTTGACGGGCTGATGCTAGACTAAAACCCCCCTGCCTTTGAGTAGGATGGAAGGCAAATGCTCCCATTCTAGAAGGTTCTATATGAAGACTTACTGTAAACACTGAAACCTAGATTACTACGAAATCCGAGGCATGTGCTACTTCATCTTTATATCTAAATCCTCTACTTAGATAAACGTGTAGTCTTGGTTGGGGGTGTAGTGACAGGGAAAGTAGCCGGTGCTCTCTCTTTTTGTCCTTGGATTTGAGAGGAGTGGAGGATAAAGAATACGGCTTCCAAATGACTGATTTTATTTCCTAACCCATCCTTTCCCTCTTTGGCACTTTGTAACTTACATGCCTCAGAGTGTCTCCATCCCGGTCATCACCCTCCCTCTACCAATCACATACAAATCTATTTTCTTAATACACATGGAGAGACAGAGAAAGAGGGAGAGAAACTCCTACTGATCCTACTGATCCTTATATAACTGTGTGTCAATAAATCCTTTTCTTTTGGTGTCTTCTCAGCTGTTTTTGTCTATGCCAAGCCTAGGCCATGGAACAGACCATGTAACAGAAGGCAGGTCCACTAAAGAAACAGTTGAAACTTATTCTCATCTCTTGTCTGCCTCCTTAAAGCCTATCTCAAGTCACTCCCTTATTCTTGCCTACTTTGGGGTTCTCTCTCATTTCCCATTTCATTTCCTAGATAACTTTAAGATTGAAGGTGATGGTTAAAGGATAGACATTTTAAATTACTTCCGCTGATTATAAATATTTCTCAATAGTTATTTGGAGTCAGTCTTTAAGTTAAGGATCTTTGCTGTAGTAGGTTCTGTCTAGCATAAAAGTAATAGCAATACTTGCTGCCTGTTAGGAGCTTGCAGTTCAAAGTAAAGGCAACCTAGCCATTCGTGTAGGACATAGCACACAATAAGCACGCAACAGATGCTTCGTAACGGAATACTCATTTGTCATCCTGGGGACTACAAGCGCTGGCTGATTTGGCCAACAGGATGGGTGTTCCCGAGCCCTTGCTTCTGCACGTGCCAGTCTCTGAAGCTTTCAAGGAGAGCAGTGGTTCCTGTCAGAGGGCCAAGCCTCGATACGGCAGAAGTTGCCGTGGCACTAGTTTCCGCCCTTCTGCCTTCCCCAGCCCCAAATAAGCTTCCAAGGGTTCTCTGTAGCAAGCCCATGCTTGGCGGCCTTTCCAACTTGCTGTTTCCTGTCTGCGTCACGTGAGTGGGAAGGAAGTTAGAGCAGGTTCTTTTTTTGTCTCTCCATCAAGTGCTTTGGTGGCTGCATCTCAGAATGTACTGGCAGCCACTGTGCCCTTCCTGAGTGTGCGCTTACTGTATGTATTCCGATCTGCCCTGTGGTCCGCCAGAACGGCTCCAGGAGCCCCGCAGCCATCTCTGTGTTAGAGAAATGGCACGAGAGCAAACACACTGGCCGTTTCCTAGTAGTTTAGGGAGGCCTTCAGAGCCTTGGGAACAGTCCTGGTGTCCAGGTAAAATGACCTTTAAAAGGAAGCAAATGAGCTTGTAGCCATGGCTACAACAAAATGCCAGATTTTGAAAAGGGTTAGCAAATTAGCCATTAGTTAACTCATAGTTAATATTAAGAAATGCAGAGATATGCAGGCGGTGGAGACACAGGGAAAGTACAATTTGTGAGAAGAGCAGTTAAAAAAGAAAAAAAAATTAAGCCGAGTTTGTGGACTCTGAAAACTAGACAGGGCGATTTTGGCATTTGTTTCAGAAATGGGAACGCAACTGGTGAAGATTTCTGTGGTCCTTGGGGCTGGTGGTGACATCAAAGCTTTCCCATTTCCAGGTAAACTAAAACGGTTGCATGTCGGAACCATCGAAGTGTGACTTCCTGGGTTTTGGAGAGATTAGATGTAGCCAAGATGGGGAAGACTTTTAAGTTGTGACTAATGACTTTCTGATGAGAAATTCCTGGGGGAAAATTCAGAGGACACAGCTCAGTTCAAATCCTGCTCCCTACTTCCTGCCCCTTAAACTTAACATTGGCATTCGTAGTCTTCTGAATAACGGAAGATGCAGAGAAAGAATGGAATGGTCAAACTGCATCGCCTAACACTCAGGCACAACTGTACTAACCGGGGTGGTCTGAGCTGGAGGTCTGCGGGAGTTCTGAGGGATGAGCGAGGCCTGGTGTACGAGGGCAGGGCACGTGGAGGCTGTTTCTAGGGAGAGTGGGGGGGTCTACGTTTCACCCCACCCAGATCCCAGATCCCATCTTATTCGACGAGCACCAGGATGGACCAGAGTTGAGAGAGAGGGAGAGAGTAGTGTTTCCTCTCTTCGCTGGGATCTAGTAGAAAAGTGCTCCTTCCCAAGCAGAAGGAGAAAGCATGGTGGGCAACTATGGCTTCATCTGCAACATCAATAGCATGTTGAAAAGTGAAAATATCTGATCAGTTATCAGGTTTTCAGACATCAGGATTTTAGTCTTCCTGTGGATCCAACTTCTTTCCTTGAATAATGAGTGGCAAAGAGATGTTTGAATTCTGCCCTATTAATTCCGTAACTGATAGACTCACAGTTAATTTACCTAATAAGAATAATGAGGACTCAGCAATAGCATGCCAGCGATAGTGCAAGGACTTGGGGCCACTGATCCTTCTTCGTGGGTAGTGGGAGCATATCGATCTCAGTCTCAGCACATGGAGAACTTGCTAAGTTGTGTAGGAGCTTTGGGCAAATAACTTCAAGTCTAACATCAGTTTTACATCCTGCACGAAGTCTCTTGATATTGGTTCTCAATTACTGGGCTGGATTTACCGATTCTAGCTCAGAGTTTAAGCCAGCAAAAAGGGCCCCAGCCTAGTTTATCCAGAAAGCCTCCTCCCTCCAGGGACTTCTGACATGAACAAAGTGGAAAAGGTACAGAGCTGGAATGGATTACCCAACTGGCTTGCCCAAGATAAAGGAAGAATGCACTCTCGACTGGGGACTCACATGGACTGATTTAAGCTGTTGACGATTGATTGGTTTTGGTCTCCTCTGTGGTGGTTGAGATTATAGTATCTCCTAAATTTATTACTGTACTGATTTCTGCATTCTGCCAAATGTAGCATATGTGTGTGGTTGGCTTCAATAAATCTTTCATTTAAAAATGAAAACAAGCAAAAGCAAGAGTTTGTAATGTGATGCCCAAATTCAGTAAGGCCCTTAATAACCCTTGATGATTTAAGGGCATTGGTAATTTGTGGAGTTTTTCAGTCTTCATTTAATCAAAAATAGAATTTCTTGAAATTTGAGCTTTTATTTCCCCAATTACAATGTTATTACACAGTATCTTACACTGACATATATAGTAGTCACCATTGCCCTCATAAAGCATTAGAAAAATACTCTCTTTATGTTCACTGCCAGTCAGAGATACACATGTCTTGGAATTCAGGGGAGTAAAAACTATTCCAGATCTAGGAGGCAACTGTTTTACAAATGCAAAGCAATTTGGATAGATAAAATATTTGAAAACAATTAAAACCAAATCAACCTGTACTTTATCTGTGTGCTGAGATTTTAGGTCCAGTGGATCAGAATACAGGGAAAAAACTAATGAGAATCCCTCAATGGATCCTTCACCCACCAAACAAGATTTCTTCAGAAACCGACTTGCTCTTGCAAATGACCTTGACCAAGGAACAGCTGTGTAAAACATACTTAAAGTTGTATTGTCAAGTGGTAAGATGAGGATAAAAAGCTTGTATATATCTGTGTAGGAATATATATATATATATCGATGTATAAATTCCTGAGGAAAACTAACATAAATACTTACATATGAAACTAAATCAACATACAAGACATTGAAGAGATGGAGATTAGTCTATTGTTAAGACCTGGCTTTTTGAACCTTAACACTTGGGAAAAGGGAACTGAAGACTTTTCACATCATTACAGAAAAACACAATAAATTTGGAGGAAAATAAATGTTTGTAAGAACAAAAATTTCCATCTTGAGTCATTCCCCAAGTATAACTTTGAGCATGTTCATATTTAATATGGATGTAAATTTTATGCTTGCTAGACATCTAGCTTATTAACTCATCCTAGAGTTCTTAGGTGAATATACACGACGTGAGGAGCCAGGTCTGTCTTGTCATCTTTCAAAAAACCTCATCTCTTAAATCACAGGGTTAGTTCACAGAACTGTTTTTTTTTTTTTTTTTTTTTTCCCAAATGTTCCAAATCTGAGGTATGGAGAATGTGCTTAAGCCATGATAGAGAAGGGTCAGAGCTTAAGGGTACATTGATCCCCACCCACACTGGTTCTGGGCCATGGGAATGGTCATAGGGGGAGGTAGAGGGTGAGGGTACAGAAACCTTTTACCTTATATGGGTTGTGCTGAGGATGGGGACAGCCCAGGGGCCATGCTTCATTGAATACTCAGTATTGAGGATCCACCAGAGATCCTGTCACTCACAGTCAAGACCAGGTGGACCAGCGAGAAGCACTGGGAGCCACATCCTCTTAAGACTTTCAGGGAGGACAGAGATGGCAGCAGCAACAGCGCTTTCATGTCTCCCACACCATGGTTGCTACAAACACCAGGTCAGAATGAAAACTCAGAGTTGCAATACCTGACTGTCATTGCCAAAAGTAAGCTGTAAAGAAACAGCTCTGACAACACAGAGGAATCCATTGCAATGAGGCTTGCCTGGCTGTAGGGTAATAAAGGAGCTGTTTGTACATGGATGTGCCCAAATGGTCCACATCCTTGATGTGCCTAAACCCCAGACTCACAATAGAAAACAGTTAGGGGTAAACGCACCTGTTACTATTGCCAGGCAGTTCCCTATAATACATTTGGGGTATTTGATTTATGTCGATTCAGAATCTTAGCACTCAAACTGACTTCTTTAGACCTTGTTCCTCTAATTTATGCACTGTTTCATTTCTAAGTGTTACATTTCCTTCTCTCTGATGACTAATTAGGAACTTGTTCATTTGTGTTTTAACCAATAGGTGTCTAGAACATGTCAAAGAGCCAAGTTTTAAGATTTTCCAATATTGACGTTTAAGCGAAGATTTTCAATTCCTGAAATTAATGGCTTCATTCTGTTGCCAGACCAGGGAGGTTGTGGGGCAGAGCTAGGAAGCACCTAGCCAAGCCACTGGGCGTGGGAAGTCACAATCTCTTACGTAACAGGTGTATAACAATAAAGTTCCTTTCCCATTCATACCCTGTTTATCTTCAAAATGGTCAATCCCTGGAAGGTTGAACACATCACACACCTCCCAAGTTTCCTTCTGATAGCATGTTCTGAAAAAAAACGTTGATGCTACACTTGCAGTACAACTTAATTTAGTTGTATTTTATGAAACTATTCTATGAAGCTAGTAATTATTAGTGCTGCTATTCTCTGGGTCCCTATCACCCAGGTTTTCCTGGTAGCTTTCTAACCGCCTCCCAACTCTGTTTCCATTCTATCCTTCATGTCTTGAGCACATTAATATCTCCGAATATTGTTTTATGTAACAGTCTTAAAGTGTTCCTACTTGTCTGCAGCCAAAATCCAAACTCTTTAACTACATTCAAGGCTCCCTCCGGTTGGGTTCCGAGTTCTCATTCTGGCTGTCATTTCTCACACTGAAGTTCTAGGTGAACTAACTTACCTCAACCAAACTCAGCCCTTGCTCTTTGCCAGTAAGCCATGCACCTGACCCAGACTCGTTCCTGCTTCATGCCTGTTCTTTAGCTCCGTCGCTGCAAATCATGAGAGCCAGTTTAAGTCCGATCTTCTTTTTGTGACTATTTGTAGTGTAATTTGGCTATCTTCTGATGCATTTGTCTTGTACCTCAAGGGCGAGAACTATGCCCTGTGTTTATTCCCTTATATCTCTAGATGAGTATAGTAGGCGCTCAATAAATGGTTGATGCCAGTCTTCACGGTGGTGCTATAATAGGTAGAGGGCGACAGAAAACGATTTCTGTTTTAGTTTGACAAAATTTTCAGGGGTGTCACCTCCCTTCCTTTCATTTTTTTTAAAGAAAAAAAATCGCAGAAGAAAGAAAATAGTTGTCTTCAGAGGCAGTTAGACACTACTGCCACTTTCATAGCACTAGCATTAAAAAACATTTCCAACTAAAAAAAAGTTTGCTACTCTTTGCTGACCTGCCTTATTTAATCTGTCAAGGTTGCATTGTAAACTGACGGGGAGATATTTGTTAATGATATTTAATGCAAAGTTGCACTAGGGATGAAATCAGGGTGGGAACGAGGTTGATGATTGCTTCATCTGTGACTTCTGGCCTTCCTGAGGAGCGCGGGTCACCAGGAGACTGCAGGTGTCTGGGCTGATAAGCAGTAAGAAGCACTCCACCCAAAGATGGAGAGAATATTTTTGCATAGGCTGGTGTTGTGGCGGGTCCCTTCAGCAGCCCTGTGGGATCTGAATACAAGACCAAGCAAGGAATTCTGAAATTCTGAAAACACAACTGGAACTTTTGAGAACCTGGATTTGGGGACCAACACTGCAAGGTTCGCTCCAGAGGGCTATCTGCCCACAGAGGGTTTAAATTAGCCTGAGACTGAACTAGATTGTTAGGGAAACCTTTTGAATACTGTTTTCCGTAGTACCTCATGTCTCATCCCCTCACCTTCTCCAGGTCATTACTCATCTCTCTCTCTAGGAGAGCACTTGTAAAAATGCAGATGCCTGGGCACTATTTCAGTCCCTCTGTATTGGAATATTTGGGAATGAGGTCCAGGAACATGCATTAAAATTTTTTGTTTTTGAAAAGCACACACACACACACACACACCCAGGGAGACAGAGTGGGGGGAGGGGGAGCACAATCTGCCGACTCAGTCCTCAGATGCCTCCAATAGCCAGGTCTAGGCCGGGTCCAGAGCCAGGAGCCAGGAACTCAATTCAGGTCTCTCACCTGGTGGCAGGAACCCAGGAATGAGAGCCATGACCTGCTGCCTCCCAGGGACCCAGAGCTTGGAACTGAATCCAACTACTCTGATACGGGACATGGGTAGCTTAAACAGGCATCTCAACTGCTAGACCAAATGCCCATTCCAGGAATGTACATTTTAAACTCAGGTGATTGGCCCACTTAAATTTTAGAGCCTCTATCTTTTAGACCAATGAATTAGATGATCTATAAGTAAATTTCAGCACTCAGATTCTATCCACATACTTAATTTTAGGATAGAATAAAGAATTGATAATACTTACCTTAAGACAGAAAGCTAATAGTTCTTTGACATTCCAATGAATATTTTTGTATTCTTCAATTTGTGTTAAGTACAGTAACATTTTGATTAGAAACATACATATACACATGATCAAGGCACTTCATAAATTGGTAACAACGATTTTATGTTTCCTATCATTCAATGTACTTAGAAAAATGACAGAATGAATGTTCTACACTCAATTGTAAAATACTCATAAAATTATTTAGCTTACAGACTAAATTTTTCTTGAAACATTACAATTAATAACTTTAATCCTAAAACAGTCATGCTTCTGGGACATTTGGAATTCCATTTTGAAAGTTGATTTAAAGACATCAGTGCAGAAGGTTGGTGTCTGAGCATCCTAATACTTACTTAACTAGAACAGTGGTCTCACATGGTGGAAAGGGGTTTGGAGAAGAGGAAGGATGAGATACGGTTTTCCAAAAAGGTACACAGGTTAAAAGAATGTTGGGAAAACTGATGGAAACACATATTTTAAGGGAAGAAATTAACTGATGTGTGACACGAGACCTGAGTTTTAAACACACAAGAACTTAAAAGTTTAGGCCATGATAAAAATACCTTTTGGGAAGTTGTTGGATGTTCAGAACAGTCAAGATTTTTATTTCTAAACCAAATAACATTTGTTTTTAAAAAAATCTGTTGTGTTCCAAGAGCTTAGTGCTTAATCTTTAACAGATCATCTAAATTTGTTCCTTATCTATAAAATACTTTTATTTTTACTTCGTTCACTTCAGAGATGGTAGTATTAAATGCTCATAATTCTTAGCGGAAAGATGGAATGTGCTGGTTTTTTCTCATGCATGTAATTCCATTCATCTGAAGGTGGTAGGGCCTACTGCAAAGGACTGTGGGTGGCACTGCTGTGCTTCTGTCCCGGTGGGTTGTTTCCACTTGGATCCCATTCCCCTCTCCTCATTACTGCATTTTCCTTTTCAGCTGGAGCAAATCCTTCAGTGTACCAATATACTCTTATTTTTCTCATCGTTAAAGCAAAAGAAATCCTCTCCTAACCACTCTAGTTATTCCCCTGTTCTCTGCTTCTTTAGAACCTAAAACTTGAAAGAGGAAACTGCTCCACTTCCTTTCATGCCATTCTTCATTAAACTCACCAAGCCCAGGCTTTGCCCACCTACTCCCCCAAACTGCCAGTGTCAAATTACCCATCACCTCCATGTTGCCACACGAATGGTCCATTCTCAGTCATCTTATTCTTCCATCAAGTAGCATTGGCAAGCTGATCACCTCCTTCTTTTGAAACAATTTCTCAGCTAGACCTCCAAGACAACACTAACTCCTGGTTTGCATCTGCCCTCACTGGTGGTTCCTTCTTGGTCTATTTGCTGGCTCCCCTTCTTTCACTTTTTTTTTTTTTTTTTTAAGATTTATTTATTTGAGAGAGAGGTCTCTCCTGACACTTCTGTTTCTCTTATATTCCACCAGCAAACTGGCTGTCTTCCAAATATATCCAGGATCTAACCTCTGCTCACCAATTCCAGAGTTGTCACTTTTTTTTTTTTTTTTTTGACAGGCAGAGTGGACAGTGAGAGAGAGAGACAAAGAGAAAGGTCTTCCTTTGCTGTTGGTTCACCCTCCAATGGCCGCCGCGGCCGCACCGCGCAGATCCGATGGCAGGAGCCAGGTACTTCTCCTGGTCTCCCATGGGGTGCAGGGCCCAAGCACTTGGGCCATCCTCCACTGCACTCCCTAGCCAAAGCAGAGAGCTTGCCTGGAAGAGGGGCAACCGGGACAGAATCCGGCGCCCCGACCGGGACTAGAACCCGGTGTGCCGGTGCCGCAAGGTGGAGGATTAGCCTAGTGAGCCGGCCATGCCACTTTCTAATGGCAGTCACAACCATCCAGTTGAAATGTAAATTAGACCACATCACTCCTTTGCTCAAACCCTCCAAAGACTATTTCTCTCAAAAAGAAGTCAGTCATTTACAAGGCCTTTTAAATCTCTAAGTCATCTTGGCCCCGTTAAACCTCTGGTGGTCTCACCTCCTATTCTATCCACATTCGTTCCTTTCCTGCCACAAGCAAGCTCGCTATTCCTTAGATTCACTAAGTATGTACCTGCTTCTGGGCTTTGAACGGCTGTTCCGTGACTTGGCATATTCTTCTCCCAGACACTTGCATGTCTCACTCCCTCACTTTCACATCTTTACTTATTTATTTATTCTGGGGCAAGACTCTGGCCATCCCATCGACATTTCACCTCCTTCACCCTGACATTCCCAGCCACCTTCTTTTTTGTCCATAGCAGCCATGACATTCAATGTATAAGACACCTATTCACTGTGCTTATTATTGTCCTTGTCTCCTCAGTAGCTTATAAACCCCAGGATGCTAATGGATTTTTGCTCATTGCTATAATCCTAGCATATGTACTTCTTGGAACAATAGGTGCTTACTGACTGCTGAATATTTCAGATAGGCCCTTGTCAAATGCTTATAACCTAAGGTCACTCACACACTAATCTAAATAAACAAAGGATACCAGACAGTAAAGAATCAATTATAAACTTCAGGACAAACAACCAGCCTCTTAAAAGATATCTAAAAGTATGCAGCCTTTTAAAATGTATCCTTTATAACTTTAGGTGCCATTTATTAAGCACTTGCTCAAGACACTATACTTTCCATATCGTCCTTTAAGCCTCACAGTAGCCAAGACAGATCTGTTCATTTCCTTATGTTGACAAGAAACCAACTCAGACCTAAGTAACTTCTCCAGTCATTTGAGTAGCCATGCAAACAGAATGTGAATAGATGATTCCAAAGCACCTGCCGGTTTTACTCTATCACATTGATCCTTTCTTTGATGAGTTAAGGCAGAGAAACTCGCTTCCAAATGGGCTTCAGTTTTTCTTGCCTCCAATAAGTATCAAAAGTCCTAAAATGTTAGGATGGCTAAGTTGTTTCAGAACTGTACTTTATCAGAGCCATTCTTGCCCCTGGAAGCCATGTGCATCTGTCCGCCAAAAGGCAAGCCGAGCTGTGGGTTGTACCAGAGACTTATCAGCTGCTTCTGTGAGGACCCAACATGACTAAAATATGTAAGCGAGCAAATCAGCTGGTTAAAGCTCAAAGGATGTGACACTTCAAAAGCAAATTCAGAATCAAGTTTGACTGATACTGATGTTAACACTATTTTCCTATAACTATTCAACTGATTACTTAGAATATAATAGATGCTTAGAATTCATAGTGGTCTGCCAAATACATTTGTATGAGTCAATGATTTTTGTCACATTAAGCCAGGAAAGAAGAAATCACCAATAAGCTTTAGACAAACCTGAAAGCAGTCCTCCAAACAGCAGGGGTCAGAGTTCCAGTGACTAACCACCACACGAAGCTGGCTGTGATCTCACATTTCTCCATGTCTCATTTGGCTCAGTTTTTAAGAAAGGGGATCAGATCTCTAAGGATTCATCCCTTTTTATAGTCTTTAGCTTGTCTTAGATGACCTTGCATTTGCATAATTCTTCACGTACAACCTTAAATCTTTTCATGCCAGGCCTAGAAAGAACTGCTATAGGTCAAGCTGTCTCACTCCGGCAGGTCTCAGCAAAAGCGTAGTATCTTTTTTTTTTTTTTTTTTTTTTTTTTTTTTTTTTTTTTGACAGGCAGAGTGGACAGTGAGAGAGAGAGAGAGAGAGAAAGGTCTTCCTTTTGCCGTTGGTTCACCCTCCAATGGCCGCTGCGGCCGGCGCGCTGTGGCCGGCGCACCGCGATGATCCGATGGCAGGAGCCAGGTACTTCTCCTGGTCTCCCATGGGGTGCAGGACCCAAGCACTTGGGCCATCCTCCACTGCACTCCCTGGCCACAGCAGAGAGCTGGCCTGGAAGAGGGCCAACCGGGACAGAATCCGGCGCCCTGACTGGGACTAGAACCCGGTGTGCCGGTGCCGCAAGGCGGAGGATTAGCCTAGTGAGCCGCAGCGCCAGCAAAAGCGTAGTATCTTAAGGATTCTTTTACGGATTGCGAATGCCTCAGCCCTGTGAAACTTCAACCAAGTGACAGAGAAGGTCACTTTAAGTTACCACTTTCCATCCCAAGGGTCTTTCTCGACAATCATAGAATATGACACGGAAGCAAATCTGGAACCTCTTTTATAGTAACTGTATTATGCAGGAAAAACTGCTTCCAAATGAAGATCATTAAAAATGCAAAAACATTTTTCTATATGGAAAGTATGAGCTGCCTGAATCACAAATAACTTAAAAAATACTGTCCTCTAAAATAAATACATGCAAAAATAATACACTTGCGGGCTATGTAAGGCATTTTTCTTTATTATTTTCGGTTTATCTTAGTAATGCCAGAAAAATAACAGCCATTATTTTCACTTTAAACGCAAATACTGCTGCACACAGAGTACAAAGATTACCTACGAACATGGTTAGGTACAGAGGCCATATTAGATGTATATAGACCACACTTTGTTCTTACATCAAAGTAAGACTGACAGAGCAATTTTTTTTGACAATTATTTTAGCAAATAACCGTGCTACTACACAAAGGCGAATACACATATTTACACAAACATGTCTCAGCTAATTGTACATGTCACTTTGACAGACAAATTCTCTGGTGGTCTCACCAGGTGTTTGCACCCCCAAATCCCCTGCCCTAATCCCGCCCCCTAATGCTGACTTGATCTGAAGAAAAAAATTAGAGATGTTCTTAATTAAAGGCACATTTGGCAGCTACTGAAAGTGGCATGCATCTGGCACAGGCGGGCGAAGCCGCACCGCACATATCTTCCTTGTGTTATGCATCTTGTTCCTCTGCATGGTAGTCCAATATGACCCACCTTTTTAGCTAACTTGCTTTAAAATTTTGCAGCAATTGGCTACTTAATGCACTATTTTCATTAAAGGCAAAAGGGAAATTTGCTCACAGTTGACAGAAAATGCACTTTACGGTGTCAAAAATGAAAAATAAGGCATGGACTTTACAAAAACAAGTTTACAAGTGCTTTTGTTTAGAATTATCATATAGACTTCATGCTTCTTTTAACTAGAGCTCAAAATATTTCATTGGCTCATGTATAAGGGGTTATGGAATGATTTTTAAAGTTAGTAATGAGATGTTTCAAAAGAGAAAAATATTAAGTCCTCACCTCCCCTTATAAATAATTTTACTGCATAATTCTCTTTCAGCCAAACTGACATTAACCTTGTGATATTTATTTACTGGTAAAGACTAATGTGCATTGCAACAGGACCTGCACTTGTACAACAGTCACACAATATAGGTTAAAAGAGTAAGTAAACTTAGCCACAGCAGCAGAATACCAAGAAATAAATGGTTAAATTGTTCCTTTCTAAATCAGAGGGAAAAGGTTTTCCTCAGTATGTATAACACTAATAAATTGGGACATCCCTCCCCCATTTGTTTTGCTGAGCCATTTAAAAGAATGAACTTAAATTTCATATTAAGACAATGAAGTACAAGATCAAAGTAAGCTAAGCTTGATAATTAAGACAAGATCATAATCATAAATACCAACAAATTTTTGGTTTGCATCAGGTAATTTTTGATTTATGGAAAAAATTAAGGAATAATTTAGAACCATAGTATAGCCTTCCAACTAAATAGTACTTGTTCACTACCCTGTTCTGTTGGTTGAAGCACTAGTGTGGCATGTTCTTTGCTAAATTCAGAATCATGACAACATCCTAGAGTTGTGAGAGAATAGTAACCTACTCAAGTAACACAGAATTGATGCCCAACCACCTTTAATTAAGCAAACTTTTAATGTTGGTATATTGTAGTCTTTAAATACATTTGGAGGACTGAGAAGAGTAAATAACCGTAGTCTTTGAATACATTTAGAAACATACACTTCTCATCTGTTCCTGGTGCTTAGACATGAAGAGCTTCCCTTTCTTTTATAATCCTTATGAAGCCGCTAAGTAAATTCAGCCTTGAGATGTTTTCTTCCATTTGTGATCCAAAGATAATGAAACATTAAGAATATTTCCATTCTAAAAGAAATGTCCCACATTTTGGAATGTGTTTAACAAAAGGTCATGCTGCATTGACTGCTTTGCAATGTGCTGGATTCAAAAGCAGAATTTTAGAATGATGCATTTGCCTTCTTCTGCCACTACTTGTCCCTGATTAAGTGTATGTATTTTAGTTACTGAAAAGGATACATCTGTCAGCTAGTTAATGTTTCACATGAAACGAAGGGAAGGACACACCACCACCATCCAATTGGCATTTTTCTAATCAGTTACCACTGCAGAAAGTATTTTTACCCAAATGCCATACTTCTGAAAAAAAAAATATCCTCTATCCACATGCATATAAAATGGTTGCACAGTGAAGTGGTCTTCTAAAACCACAGGGTAGAAGAATGGTTCCCTTTGGAAGAAATACAATTGGAACTGCAAATCTTTTTCCTCTTTATAGGATCAGGCAGGTTGAAAGGGGTTATCACTTTTTTTGAAGGCCAATACACTAGCCAGAGAGGTATTGAATGGGCTCCTATGTGACTTTTCTCAGTTTCTCATTTGTAGAAGGGTTGGGGTAATTAAAAAAAGAAGTGATTAATAAGCCATAAAAAGGGAAATCCCAGGGACGATAAGGCTGGCCCAATAAAAAAGTCATGGGAGATTCTGGAATGTGTATCACAATTATAGCAGCACTAGTAAATAGGCTTAAATATGTATCTGTTGAATGAATGGTCTTATGGGCACTTTGCATCCAAGAGGGGACTTGAAAAAATTTTTTTTAGGATGCTTTTAAAAGAAGAGACATTTTACAAAGAGAAAAATGGCTACCATAATAGAAATGGTACAGACATTAAACAAAAACAAAGATTCAACTCTAACAAATAAATAAGAAAGGATATGATAGGATGGACTACTTAATGATGATGCAACTAACATACTTTCTGACCTTAAATGGCTAATATACTGTACTATCATGATACACATTAATGCTCTAATAAATATCACAGGAAATTATTAAACTACTAGGTTTCCACCATGATGCAGCACTTCTGGAAATGTCTCTAATGGAGAGGTTAACAGAACTGCTGAAATGTTGCTTCATTATTCAGAGGACACATGCAGATACCAATGAACTGATGACTCTTTAAGGATGGAATACTGCACATTTCATAGACATTACAGTGGACATTAATAAGTTGCATGCATTTCGTCACAGTATCTGTAAGACTCAGAAGAGTGGTACATAGGCTTAATGAATAATCTGTTTTACGATGTTAATGATGCAGACAGATGTTCTATTATGAATAGTTCTGACAGAGCGGAAGATCTCAAGCAAGCCAGAATGTTCAATATAAACCTTAACAAACTGTATACATGTTGCTCAGGAAATTGAAAAACTTACACAGTTCTGTTTAAAAGGTACCCATCCTATTCTAACCAAATATTTTCCTACATGCCAAACTGCAATATTAGATCATTCTTTAAGACTAATACATATATCCAGAACTAGAAACCAAGGCGTACCACAAAACGTGCTTTTATGCTTAGTGTTTTTGTGTGTTTTTCAACTCAAAGAAATAAGAATCAACCATTTTCTCCATATAATAATTTAATATTTGCCAGCCAAACAAAGTATATGTATCTTTATTCAATTAAATTAAAACAGACCTGCCAGGTATATTATATAACATTCACTATATACACATGATTTAGGCAATGCAAGGTAATTCTAGATATGCTGATTCCTCGGCCATTAGTAAAACATGAATGGTGTCAGTGATGCCCAGCAGGTGCGCCTTCTCACATTAGGCGCCTGCTCTTCCACAGTAAGGTTAGGGGGACAGCTACGAGCCATGATGTGGGTTACCAGTAAACCTTCGAGAGAGAAGTTGGGGGGATGACAATCTAGCATAGATTAACAGTCTTCTAAATGTAAATAGTATACTTGACAGTTACATTTTTAAAAAGTTCTTCTGTCATGTTAATGACATAAAATTTCTCTTATTTGAAGGCAACACCACCACATTTAGCTTGTGTGGGGAGGGGACAGGTGGGGGAAATGGTCTTAAAATTGGTAAAATTATTTAAAATAAAAACAACAAAAAAAGTACCTCTTTGGTGAAGCCTCGGTACCCATTCAATTCACTGTAATAATCTGTAAACAGGACTGTAGTACAGTGCTGGGCCTTGAATTCAACAAGGTCAGGTACCACAGCCTTTCCTCACAGTCCTTTGAGTGATTTTTAAGAAAATATTCTAAAGTAGAAGAGTAAAGCAAAGGAAAACAAAGGAGGATATTAAAATCCCTGTTTAAGATTTTTTTAAAAGTGCATAATATTTGGAATTACAAAAACTGTCATCATGTGGACCTGCTGGACGCTAGACTGTTTTCCATCCCTTTAATGATAAAGATCACTTCGTAAAAAGAAGAGTCCTGCCTATTGGCTGGAGAAAGTTGTTTGACTTGATTTTCAGGTGCAATCAGTTGTCCATTTCTTCTAAATCAGTCTTTCCATATTCTAAACTGGAATACCATTTCATTTTATAATTATGTCTAGGTTAAAACTCATTGTCTTATACTGCATCTTGAAGTAGAGTTGTTAGTGTTTGGAGTTCTTACTTTTTACCTCCTCAGCGCTGGCACATTCAGTGCATCCATTGCCAGCAATGGATTTGGGGCTCGGAAACTGTGCATCCTGGTACAGAGGAACTCAGGAAGAATGGGCATTCTCCAGCAGTGGAGGTCCGTCTCTGTGCATGGATGGGTGTGTGTGCTCCCTTTTGTAAGTTTTCGGAGGGAGTTTAGGGATATGTTGAGAAGTGCTTTGTCGTGGAGGAACAGGAGGCCCAGCAATGGAATGGAGGTCCACTTCTTGTGTCAATGGTGGTGACGGCAGGTGCCTTCTCGTGCCATGAGGAGAAGGTGTTTGAGGAGGCAGTGGAGTAAAGGGGGAAGGGCTGTTTGGGAAGAAGGCATTGCCATGGTCACTTTTTTTGCCCAAAGGGGGAGGTTGGAGATGTAGTGGTGAGCTTGAGAAAACATCAGGTGTCCTCACAGGTTCTCGTGGTGGTAATAAGGGAGGGCTTTCAGGAGGGTCTGATACAGAGGTCCGATCTGATATCGAGTATCGTGGTGAATAGGCTTTTGATGTGGGTTGCCTAGGAGGAATGGCTGGGGGGCTGTCCAAGTGCTTAGACATAATCTAACAAATGAAAAAAAAAGGTTAAAACATATTTATTAATAAATTTATGTAATACCATGAGTATCTTAAGAATTAAGCTTGCTTTCAAACAAGCTACTGGCAGAATGCTAGGTGTGGAGCCAGGAGTTCTGCCATGTGTTTTCAATGGGAGGTTCTGCCAATGCATAAGGAAATAATTTCACCAGTGTTCAGTTTTTGCCTTAATTTTTTTTCTCAAAACTTAGTTGTTTGCTCTTGCTTGCTATCATTCATTCTATTTTAAGATCACTTCTGATTTAGCATAAGTAACCTATTAATTTCACAATTTTAAATTTACTATTAATATTCCATAAAGTTCTATAGATTGTCTTATCTTATCCACGTACTCTGCTCTCTGGACAGCTTTAAACAATGAACTAAGCCAAAAAAGAAAAAAAGGAAAAGAAATTTAAACAGCTAGAAAAAAATAGCTATTATGAACCTTTAGGGTCTCTTCCAACTCAGCATTTTTGTGACAATCCCATTTAAAAGCCTGTCAGAATCACTATTCTGGGCTCAGCATATGCTGAGACAACCATTTCCCTGGTAGAGTGCCTTCACACGAAGCTTCAGATCTGTCTCTCCTGTCCTCTGTCTCTGTATGTATTTTTAAAGAACTGCTTGAAACCAAATTACTCTTACTTTACAGATTAAAACGTCATATTTCTTTAACCTTATCAATAGCTTTTGGTTTATAATGGGTTTATAAAAACATACCCAAAACTAACTTCAGAAGAAAAGAAATAAACATGACTACATGAATCCTTATTAAACTAAGCCCAAATATTCTGAGATGTTCATCTATCCCAGTTTAAAATAAACTATATCTAAACAACTGATGATACTATAACTGTATTGATTCCAATTTCCAGATAACAAGATTTTCTACTTTACCTTAGATGGAGAAGATTCCGCTGGGGCAGATTCTGGTCGTCTTCGTGGAGGAACAGGAGGGGGGACAGGCACTTCATCAGTGCCCTTGGTTAAACTTATAGATGATACTGAAGCAGATCCTGTAGGATGTTACATTTTAAAAACAGTTCATGGGAATTTTATTTCATTTATTAATCTTGAAAAGATTTAGCTGGAAATTGATTATATCTATTAAAAGAAATATGTAGAAGTACCCAGTAGTATTTCATTTATTAAAGCAAACTGCTATAAATGCATGCAGAAATTTCTTAGCAGAATTTTTAGAAAAAAGCTGCCTAAGACACTGTTATTTTGATTCTTGAACAAAATAACATTCCCAGTGTCAATCTGTTATTGGGATTTTTAATTGAGTCTGATTCTCAGATTTTTGGGAGAGATAACAAACTATTAAAAAAATCTTTGGAATGGTAATTTTTGTTAAGTTTTGTGATGGGTTCATTTTTGCCTCTGACTTTATTAGTATAGAAATTCCCAGGTCTTTCTGGATAGTTCCTGGGAATAGAGTTTCTGATCCTAACCTCTGTCCCCAGTGCCTCTCTCCAGCAGTTCTCTCAGTGGATGCAAGGGAAAGAATCTACTGTCCAGGGAAGGATTTCTCCGCATTTTGCTTAGGTATAGGTTATCCTTAGCGTATCAGCAAAATCAGCCTCTAATCTAAAAACTGGAGCTGCGATGAAACTATTTAAGATGACTGAGGCAGACACACAAAGTAAAGCTTCTACTGAGAACCTGTCTAACAGACATTTATGGTGACAAGGGCATAATGTAGGTATGTAAATCATTACACTCTGAAAGACAACACATGTGTAAGTTAGCTAGTTTATAAATACTATAAAAATGGACATGAAAAAATACTTAAGCCATCCAATCACTAAAATTATACTTGGTAGGATTTTTTTTCCCCTTTAGGCATTAAGCTTTTGTCAGTTAAATGTTACAAAATAATTTAAAAAGCACTTTGTGTTCTGAATTATTCAAATGATCAACTACCTTTTTCTTAAGAGACTATGTATACTAACTTTAGTGTACAATATTTTCCATTGTATAAATTTTGAAATCTTTTTTATGAAAGGACAGCAAAAATATTAATCTGTAAGCTTAATATAATTAAAATAATGGAATTGAATGGTTAGTTTACTTCAAAAGCAAAGAGCTACAATGCAACTTAATGATAACTACTTGGGCCTTATCATGTAAATAGCTGCAGTTATTTGCCTCCAGCCTAAGCTGTCTACCAAACTATGTATAGTTGTGATTCAGACACTGCTTTAGCTGCCAGCATTCCCATATGCGCATGCATGCTCTTGCTGCTGTTTTCAAAGTTGAGCAGTAAAATATATTCAGAACTCCATAGTGGGAAAAGAGAAATGGTTACATGGGGGAAGCCACTCATTTAATATGTTCTTTTAAAAGAGGGAAAAAAAAGTTTTTAAAAAAGCATGAAAAGTATATAAATTTAAGCAAATCACTTATGATTAAAAGATAGCACAAGTGAGGGCCTCACTTCTAAGATGTTGCAAGCAAGGTACCAATGCTGCCAGACCCAAGACGAGTTTTAGCAGGAAAGGTTACACTTGGTTTGATTTTTTAAAGCCAAAGCAAGAATTATGAGTCTTAAACCAAATATACTAACTTGGGCCATGGGGCAGTGTTACTTGGATAAAGACGGTATCGCTGCCTGTGAAAGGAAACAAGAAAAAGTAGATTTTTCTTTCATTGATATATTCAACCCATATGTAAAAATTTATGATGAAAGTGTTATTCTTGTCATTCTAATTCTAAAGAATGGTGTAACAATTTTTAATAAAAACTCATTATTACTTACTTTTGAGAAGAAAAAACTGAGTTAATATTTGGAACTTTGAAGATGTTTTAGATTTACTGTTTGATGTAATAATTAAATGACAAATATTCACAAGAAAACTATATTATTGTAAGACTAAGTTGCACAGATTAAATCAAGCAAAGAATTCAGGGGGCCATTCAGAAATGTCATTTACTAAAAATTATTTTGAAAATTCAAACTTGTGAAAGAAGTAATAAATAAGAAATTATTTTATACAAATTAAAAAGAAAATGGAATTTCTTAGTACTTTATACTTTCGAAAAGTGTTCCTGGGACAGGTATTCTCATCACAAAATAACTACAGCTCTGGATATTCAAACAAGCTGAAAGTGATACAGCTTTTTTCCTTTTGTGGCAATAAACACTCTAAAAAAATCAGTAAAAGTTTGGGGCTGAAAGACATTTTTTGAAGGAAACTGATAAATTTAAAGTGTCTAATTTCAACAATATTAAAAAATGATGGTATAATTAGTACAATACAGAAATAAAATCACATCCGTTGACTATTACAGGTTGCAGTCTTTTTGAAAGAATTATACAGATGCATACACACTTATAGACATGGATGTAAAGTTGGCTTTGAACATGTTCACATATAGCATGGTCTTAGATTCAAACACTTGGTAAATTTGGGGCACATCTTTGGCCTTATTTCTTTTAACTCATTGGTTGGTCTCGCCATCTGGAAAATATTCTTAAGAATTCTCTTAGAATTTTATGCTGTCTAATCAAGAGATAGGTTAGAAATTCTTGTCAACTGGATGCTGAACAAATATACTGACCATGACTGAAGGGTGAGACTCAGTTAATTTAAAGAGCAGTATCAGTTTATTAAGTACAAATCCCAGGGGCAGATCCATGGCTCTCAAGCTCAGCGGCACATGAGAAATCCTTACAGAACTTGAAAAAATACCGGTGCCCAGAGAACAGCGCCAGCATAGTGTGGGCTGGGCACAGGTGTTTTCTAGAGCTCCCCAGGGGATTACCCTGAAGAGGTAGGGTTGAAATCATCCTTGAAACAGAAACAAGCACTGTCCTAGTGGAAAAAATTATATATTTAAATTAGGGACAGCATCTTAAACACTAACGTCTGGTTAATGGATTTCTAACTCTTCATGTGCAATCTTCCATGAAGCAAATTCCAGTTTGAAATGTTTGTAAAACATCTTCTTGTCAGAGCTTCTCTGCTGAGGGACGGAGATAAGGCTCATCTGCAGCACACAGAGCAGGTGGGCCCTTTGGTTCCCTTCTATGACCAGGAAGGGAAGCACAAAGCCTTGCACCATTCTTGCCTTTGCTACTGCAGCAGAAACAAAGCAATGATCCTGGTGGTCTTTCCTCCTTCTCCAGCCGCTATGAGCATCACCTTACAGGCAGACAAGGGTGTGTGCGTGGCAGCACTAAGGAGGTGGCCGGTTCCTTCCTGCCCTGTGTTTACCAGAAAGCTTTCCATGACCATTTTTGTTCAGTCAGGTCATCGTTTGACAAACTTCCACAGCATTTTAACTATGATTCTCTTTCACCTCTCAATACTGCAAGCTGTCTTTGTGTAAGTGCTTAGTAAGGAGTAAGAGATGCCAAAGACACGCTGGCATAAAAGAGTGCGATTAAAACTGATGAAAGGATTCTAGTGAAACACTGCCTTTTGGAAAATATAAGGAATGGCACTTTTTGCTGCCTTCTATTGAGTGGAATGTGTTCAGATGACGTAAGAGTGCAATCAAGGCAGTTTTTCTACCAAGCCCCAAGAGAAACAAAAAAAGTAGTATTCACTCTGGGGGCGACAGAGTGGTTAGCAAGATGGAGGCTCTGGAGCTCCCCCGGTACTCGGAGTGGACTCAAGAGCACTTGAGGATCTTTGACACACATAAGCTTCTGATAAGTTTTAAGTAAGGCATCAACATGGGTATTTTTATATTACGTTGGCTTATTTGATTTTAAAATCAGTTATTTACAACTTTTACCATTAGCAAACTGAGTGGGAATAGGGATTTTCTTTATCATAAGGAAAAAAGACAGTGAGAAAATCCTAAAGTCTAAGATTATAAAGCCTAAATCCTAGAATGCTGTTTCTCCCGTTGGCTAGCTATGTAATACAGCTCGACTAACACATGTAACAAAGATTGACTACAACATTCCATTCCAGAGTGACTCCTTCCCTGTTTGATCATTTAAATTTAGCACTCATACAGAAACTTGGTTCCTATTTTTCTACCTCTACTGTCTTTAGTTACTTAAACTAAGAGAAGCAGAATTTGCAATTGATGGCTTTCCTGGGGCATCAATAATTAATTTCTTTGGGAATCCTTATATGTATGCATGTATGTATGTGTATGTGTGTGTGTGTGTGTGTGTGTTGTTATATACATATAGTTGTCTTTTCTAAGAAAAAAAATCCTGCAATTAAATTGCTCAGAATAAATAATGATTTTAGGTCAAGTATGCAGAAAAAGTGTTGGTTTCATTTTATAAATTTAGGGAGTTGGCAAGTTGGGGAATTTTTCTTACCTGATGTCTGTTTGAACTTAATCAGAAATATGACAGTTTACAATGTGTACAAGAGTATCTCAGAAACTTTGTGGAAAAATGGAGTTTAAAGATGGTTTTTTTGAAAAGTTCTGAAATCATACATAGTATTTCCATGAACTTTTTGAAGACCCATTGTGCAGCACTGATTCTGATCCAGAGTTGCACATAAAGCCAAAATACAGTATCCTCGAGGCAAACACCCTTTAGATGGTACAAAGACAGGACAGACTGTTGAATAACTTCAAATATATGTACACTACAGGGAGAAACAAGATTCTGGACTAAATCTCAAAACAATATACCTCCAAAGAATTATGTTAAGATTTTTGCTTCTATTCTCTGAGTTGGAAGAAACCTTAAAAATACAGTCTGATTCCCAGAAGGCACAAAAAAATATATTTCATCTAAAATCAGAAAGCTCACTAGCAGACTGTGGTAAGAAACCAGATTCCTAACTCATAGGTCAGTGCTTCTCAATCTCTTCCTCCTAATAATACCATGTAGCCTCCGGGACTGGATTCTGTTAGGTCAGCTACCAGGGTGAAGCTTTGTCAGCACATTGACCTGAAGCAGCCAATGGGGAGAGCATGTGGAAATGGTCACAAGAGAGCCGAGGCAATGGGACTTAAGTTTTGATTTAATCATGGATACTTTTAAAATGGTTATATGTTCTAAAATAATCTTTAAAGCTCCGGATGAAATACTCAATTAGAAAATGCATGGCAATCTGGATTTAAGGGGCAGCCTTTCCAAGGGGCTAGTGCTTGAGCTGTTTGTTGGGTAGCCACTGGCCATATGAGACTACTGGACACTGACTGTGGCTTGTCTGATTTAACGTGTGCTATAAGTATAAAATACACACTGAATTTAAAAGATTTAGAATTTTTTAAAAATGTAAAATATCTCAGTCATACATTTTTATATTGATTTCACACTGAAATGACAATTTTAATATACCAAGTTCAATAAAAGGAACTGGATTGGAAGTGGAGCAGCTGGAGCTTGAACTAGCACTCCAATATGGAATGGCAGCATTGTAAGAGGCAGCATAACTCAATGTGCCAGCCCCAAAATTTATTATTAAAACTATTTTCACATAATTAGTTTTGCTTTTTCTAAAGTGACTACTAGACATTTAAAATTATCATGTTATATACCATCAGGGCACCTTGGGGTAGACTGAGAAAGGGTCAGGCAGGAGTTTGAACCTGATACACTGCAAAGTTAGAAGGTACTGCTGAATTTGGTGGGGAGGCGATGCTTAGACTTGAGTATTCAAATACAATAATTTTGGAGGCAATTAACACATGAGACAAATATTCTGTATGTTTTTTAAGGGTTATCTGTTTCTCCCAGATATGAGGGATGCATTTGGAATACAGTAGTTTAAATCACTAATTTTACCATTAGGCTTCTTAGTAAACTATAATAAATTTAAAGAGGGCTATTCTGGTACATTTTCTAAAAAGAATTCTAAGTTGCTGGAGTTTTGAATTTGTTTTGTATTTTTATAACGATATTTTTAAATGGTAATTGACTAGTCTGAATTCATACACACACAAAATCCAGATTCTTTTTCATCTCTGGTACATTAATATTAATAAATACTTTAAAACATTTAACATTTTAGCACCTACTTGAGTGAAAAGGGCTTGAATGATCAGAATCAAACACACTGCACACATCCGTGGTACTGGAAGCACCAGAAGCAGGAGGAGGTGTCAATGGTGTTCTGGGAGAATTTGGAGCAGATGCTGTACTTTCTGTTTCACTCTCCGGGATCCGACTATAACTAATTTTCCTTGGTTCCTGCTGCAGAGGTGTAGGATGCCTCATGGTTCCTGGTCTTGGGTTTGATGGACGAACACCAGGAGACTTAAGGGGATAGCTATATTTTTTTGGCTGTAGAGATACCAAAAGAAATACAATACTTAACACACCACAGTAGAAAGGAATTTTTTTTCTACATGTACCTGATCAAAGTTAACGAATATCTGGGAAAACCACAAATCACTAATAAGTTACATAATGACTCAGATCAAAGTGTCCAAGTTTAAGCATTAACATTCCATTTTGCTAAAGCCTTGGCTACCTACATTGTTTGGTAACACATTCCTTTAAATAACTGAGTCTGAATCCTACAAATACCAAAATATTTATAATCTTAATATTTTAAGTAGAAAAGTTTCTAAAATATAGCATATATTTCTTTAGTTTTTTCAAACAGACTATTTTGAGCAAATAGAATTTCCTGAGCAACACTTTTTGAGCACTGTACCCCGGGTGACAGTCACCATCATGAACACAGCCCCTTCCTGTGCTGTGATGCAGTGATGCCACTAGTGTCATTTGAGCTCTATACAAACGCATTCAGTTGCCCAGGCTTGCATCTGGGTGTGTGTGTTACTTCTACAGAATTTTCCTTACAGAGCAGTCATTTCTCAGTGATATCAGCATGCCGCATGAAGCAAACCAGGTATCTTTTAACCCATGTAGATCTGCTTCCTGATTGTTGACTGTCCCGGAAATAATAGATTCAGATCGGAGAGTTGATGATACTGGATATACATGGGTATTTCAAAAAGTTCACAGGAAAATGGAAAAGACAGGTTTATTTAGGTACAAAAAATTTTTGAAGTCCACGTATACATGGGGTCATCAAAAAGTTCATGAAAAAACTATGCATAGATTTCAAAATTTTTTGCCCCAAAATATACTTATCTTTTAATTCGATTTTCCATGAACTGTTTGAAGCACTCTCATATATTTGGACACTGACAAGTACTAAAAAACAATGGAAACTTTATTTTCCCAAAGAAAGTATCTCTAGCCAAACCTGGTAATTTTATTGCTAATGATTCAAGGTTAAAATTTAGAATAAATCATTACTTTCAAAAAGTAGCATTTTTAATGTAAATTTACTATAAGTGAATTAGTATAAATTTATTAAATGTCCTGCCCTTGAAATAACTCCTAAAAGTCACTTTGAGTAAAACCAAAAAGAAAAACTTAACATTTCTATTTTCATCATCTATCATATCAAGATTTTCTCCATTAATAAAAATGTTCATTTTATTTGGGACCAAATGGGATATTTCTGGGTATATTTATCTAAAGTACTTTTTGAAATTACTAAACTGTTCCATGTGACTTCCTCACCAAAAACCTTTATACAAAACTTATCTATAAAACATATATGGGTAGGGATGACACCACTAGATGTGGAAGACAACTATAAAAAGTATATAAAATAAATACGAATGCTTACAAATCTTGGGAGAGGCTTAGGGTTTCGTGGTTCTATTTCTAGGGATTTGTGGAAGAGATAGTCTGTGAATTCTTTTTCCATGCTGTTTCCCATTGGATTCAGGTTTTCAAAGAACCTCTAAAATAAATGCAAAGAATTATTAATATTAAATGTTTTACGTTTAGTGAGAGACTCATGAAAATAATTTAAGGAAACTTTTAACATTAAGAAAATTTGAATTATTTAAGCTTTATTTTCATTTTTTCTCTTCTATAAAATAAACCTTCTATTGAATAGACAGCTTATCATCAGAAATATGTGTACACAAATAATTCAACTTACTTTGATATCTGATTCTACTCGTAAACAATAAGGCTGATTTTGGTACTGTTGGATCTCGCCTGTTATTTCTGCTACTTTCCTCCTTTTGCTGAAGTTGATAAGCTCTTTTCCATGTCTTTTCAGAACCTCAGGGTTGCCCTCTTCTGTTTTTAAAATATTAGTGAGATAAATTCCTAGAAGATATAATAAAATTATTTCAAGGATAAAGAAAGAAAAGCCAGTTTTTTCCTTCTCATTAATTGGGGGGATGTTACGCTGTACCATCTCAGTCACCAAAACCAAAGAATCAAGACTTACATTTCCATATGTGAAAAGCAGTAAGCTAAGTAAATGTCAAGAAAATTTTTAATAGGTATCAAATTCTTCTGTGAAACACTTAAATTTTATAAATGGCCAAGAAAAAGGGAGACCAAGTTTAATAAAATTGATAGGTTTTTCATAAAATAATCAATTTCCATACCCCCCCCCCAAACCATTGTTATTTGACATAAGTAACAGTTTTGTTAAATGAACCAAAAAGTAATCCCATTTCATTAATGACATTTTTTGGCAAAGGGGGAAAAATGCTAATTCAGAGTATCACATTTTCTTCTCAGCTCTTGAGGCGCTGCAAGAGGTTGCTATGATTTGCAGTTCAGAAGAAATACTGTTTGTGTAGGCTTACTCATAGAAATATGGAAGCATGTGCAAGCCTATGACACACAGGATTGCATCTAGTTTTTGAAATATTCTGGTCTTCAGCACTTCTAGACTTAGTGGTAAGCTGGTAGTTGTGATGGCTGATACTATTGTTGCATCCTACCCTATCTTCTTATCTTTTGCCTTTCCCCCGAATATTGACTATGATGATGTGCAGAGAAAAGAGGTGTGTGAATACTGAGTTCACTCACTCAATACCCAGGCACTGAATCTCTGCTGTGTGCCAAATACTGTATTTGGTATTGCAGCTACAAAGAGCAAAAAGACCATCCTGACCGCAAGGTGCCCAGAGCTTTGAGTGTGGGCCACTGCAGTACAAGTTGGTAAGTGCTATTTTAGGAGGTGTTGTATTAGTAGTAATGCATAAGATGCTATGAGAGCCCAAAGGAGGTGTTCCTCTTTGCTGGGCTGACGTGATTAGAAAACACAACACAGGCGAGGTCATGCTGAGAATCTAAGTCTCAAAAAATGAATAGAAATTTGATAGATAGAAGAGATTCCAAGCAGAGCAGAGATGTGAACGAAGGTACAGACCTGTGATGAAGCTTGGAAGGCATACTCAGAGATGGCATGTTGTCTGACATGGCTACAGCCCAGAGGCTTGGTGTACAGGGAGGAAGAGGGAGGGATGTCAGACGAGTGGACAAAGGCAAGGACTAAATGAGTGGCTCTACATGCTATTATGACAGAAGCATACTTTTAAATACTAGAGTTTTTGGCAATAGCCTTGAATAGATTAAATGACTCAAATCAGTACTGAATAAGTCATAACAACCAAATATGATTGACATCAATGCCTATTTGATTTTTAAAAGTATAGAGTTATTACTGTGCATTAGTTACTTAGCTATTTCTTAGCACCTAGGCCACTCTTGAGGATACATTCTTAAGAAAAAGTTACATGTGTTTTAGTAGGCATTGGTTTTCATTTCCCATATCTGCCAATCATTTGGCTGCTTTACTCTCCACCACTTATATCCTCCTTTACATAAGCTGCATGATCTACTAAATTTCAGTGTTCATTGTGACAAGTCCACAGGAGTATGCATATTCAGTGACAGCCAAAATCAACTTTCCAAACTGGTCACAAATTGATGGCTCACCTGTGAACAGTTGGTTTGTGGGTAGTAATACCCGGACTGGGTCAGGGAGTGCCTTTTGTTAAAGAACTTAATTTTTATCCAGGAGATAGATAGGGGATTTTAAACATCTTTGTATTCTAGAAGGATTACTCTAACTGTGCCAAATGCCAGATGGGTTGGATGGAGTTCAGATCAGTTAGCAGGCCAACAGTGGTACTGGTGAGATGATGAGGGTTGATTAGGGCCTAAGGGAATTGAGAGGCAGGGATAAATATTTAAAATGCAGACTTGCCAAGAACCAATTAATTAACTGGTTTGGGCAGAGAGTGGTGGCAGTGGGAGGAAGATCTCACTTCTTTGTACTTTGTTGATTAAATTATGCTGGCATAATGATGGACACTGACAACACAGGAGGAATAAGAGAATGCATGTCATAAATGGTAAAAGCACACCTGAAGCTGTGAAAATGCCTATAAGAGCACTTCAGGGAAGTTTCGGATACATTTTGGAAACTATTTTATAACTGATGAATAAAAGAACAAATGATCAAAGCAGTGGCATCCAAACTTTGACAATCATATACTGCATCAGTTAAAAAAAAAAAAAAAAAAGCTTAGGCACATATTCTCCTCCCTCCCCGACATATAGTATTTTTTTTTAAATGCAGAACCTATATGTATGTGTATATGAATTTTTTTTTTTGACAGGCAGAGTTAGACAGTGAGAGAGAGAGAGAGAAAGGTCTTCCTTCCATTGGTTCACTCCCCAAATGGCTGCTACAGCCGGCGCGCTGCGCTGATCCAAAGCCAGGAGCCAGGTGCTTCTCCTGGTCTCCCATGCGGGTGCAGGGCCCAAGCACTTGGTCCATCCTCCACTGCCTTCCTAGGCCACAGCAGAGAGCTGGACTGGAAGAGGCACACCGGGACAGAATCCGGTGCCCCAACCGGGACTAGAACCCGGAGTGCCGACACCACAGGCAGAGGATTAGCCTAGTGAGCTGCGGTGCCAGCCTGTGTATATGAATATTATATACTAGCAAAGCTAAATTTTTTTCTTTTTAAATAAAAAGGTTACTTTCTCAACACTCAGTCCTAGGTCTGGATATTTTTTAAATGAATAAAAGAGCATATTATTCATTAACAGATGGAAGGGCATTTGAAGAATTAGACTAGGGTGTGGGAGACATATAGTCTCTTCCCTTTCTCTTCCCCTTTCCAGATTTATTCATTTGAAAGGCACAGTAACACCGAGAGACAGAGACAGATCTTCCATCTACTGGTTCACTTCCCATAACAGCCAGGTCTGGGACTGGCCAAAGCCAAGAGCCAAGAACTCCATCCTGTTCATGGGTGGCAGAGGGGCCCAAGTACTTGGGCCATCATCCACTGCTTTCCCAGGAACGTTAGCAGGGAGCTGCACTAGAAACCGAGCAGCCGAGACTTGAACTGGTGATCTGAAATGGATGCTAGCGTCACAAGCAGTGGCTTAACCGGCTATGCCACAAAGCCCACCCCAATATAATCAATTCTGATACAAAGCAAAAGTGGAGATGAAGAAAATTTATGAAGACCAGAAGGAGTACACAGATCAGAGCTGCATAAAAGGAAAGGGAAAGCCGATGGTACAAACTTGGATGTTTGTACACCTATGAGAAATTGGGTGAGGTATGTCCTATTTACAGAATGTTAATTTGCCCACATATTCATTTTTCCTTTGAGTAGAACATTTTAATGTATAGTGAAAATTTGAGATATCGACCAGAATTCTGGCAGAGCTCTGGAAAGAGAAATTGCCCTACATTTTCCCCTACAAATGGTGGCAGTATAGCAAAAGACTTCTGTAAGAATTCTGGTGGGGCTGGCGCTGTGGGATAGTGGGTTTGGCTGCCCTGCAGCGCCAACATCCCATATGGGTGCTGAGTCCAGTCCCGGCTGCTCCACTTCCAATCCAGTTCCCTACTGATATGCCTGAGAAGGCAGTGGAGGATGGCCTGGGTACTTAGGCCCTGTCACCCACATGGGGGACCCAGATGAAGCTCCTGGGTCCTGGCTTTGGCCTGGCCCAGCCCTGGGTGTTGCGGCCATTTGGGGAGTGAAATGACAGATGGGGGCGCTCTCCTCTCTCTTTTGTCTCTCCATCTCTCTGTAATTCTTTCAAATAAATAAATAAACTTTTGAAAACAACAACAACAAAAGAATTCTAGTAAGATAATAGAAGAAGTAAAAGTGTCAGCTATTACTTCTGACTTTCCTCCCAGAGAAGAGGGGAAAAACAGTATCCAGAATTAAAGACAGGAATCTGGAAGGAGTTTCGATAAACTACCCTGTAGACGTGAAGCAGCAATAACATTTGGCTCTAACATACTGTGTTAGAAAGACAAAAGCAGCCTAATTGTAGATACGGAGAAGCTTTAGTTTGAGAACAGTAAACATTTTCCTAGAATAGCTGAGCTGACCAGGAACAGTTTTAGATACACCACCTTCTAAGAACAGAGTCTTCTTAACCAGGAAGATGAGCAGAAAGGATAGGGCGGTTGGCAGGTGTGCTATCTGTGTACCTATCAAAATATCTGTACATGTTTATATTCAGTCACTAAATCACTCAGCTTACCTGTAAAACATCTTAATGGAGTCCCACTGCAAATACAGGTCTGAAAGTTTTTTCACTAAACAACATTATGAAATATTAGTTATGTTAATTTGAGACAGAGAGAACTTTTGAAAGGTCAGTTTGTATGACTGAAAACCTACCCATCCATCAGGGAGATGGGGTCAAATAGTATGGGGTCTACCAGTGAGTACAATGAATGGGTTCTGAGGGTTTTTTTCATCTCTGTGTACCAGAGAGCATAGAATATCATGAGCGGCAGAAATACAAGCCCATTTACGTACAAGAATTTCTCACTTGTCTAAGCACCATAGTTCCTGGTACTTAGTAGGTACTCAAAAAATGTCGACATACTGGTTAACCCAAACATTGGCCTTACCTACCCAGATCCTTTCTAGTTCCCTTGTAAGGGATACTTCAATAACTTCATGGAAAACGGAATTAAAAGATAAGTTTATTTTACTGCAAAAAAAAAAAAAAAAAAAAAACTTTTGAAGTCTATGCATACAAGGCATCTTCAAAAAATTCATAAAAATGTGTATTATGAAAAAACTATGAATGGATTTCAAAATTCTTTTACATCAAAATAAACTTATCTTTTAATTCCTTTTTTTTTTTTTAAGATATGCGTATTTATTTGAAAAGCAAAGTCACAGAGAGGGTGAGGGCGAGGCAGAGGCAGAGGCAGAGAGAGAGAGAAATAGAGAGACAGAGACAGAGAGAAGTCTTCCATTCACTGGTTTACTCTCCAAATGGCTTCAACTGCTAGAGCTGGGCTAGTCCAAAGTTAGGAACCAGGATCCTCACCTGGGTCTCCCACATGGGAGCAGAGGTCCAAGCACCTGAACCATCTTTCCAGGCAAATTAGCAGAGCGCTGGATTGGAAGTGGAGTAGCCAGGTATCAAACCGGCACCCATATAGGATGCTGGTGCTATAGCCCAGGGCTTTAACCTGGTATGCCACAGCACCAGCCCCCAGCAGGGGCCAGCACTGTGGCATAGTGGGTAAAACTGCAGCCTGCAGTGCTGGCATCCCATATGGGTGCCAGTTCGAATCCCGGCTGCTCCACTTCTGATCCAGCTCTCTGTTATGGCCTGGGAAAGCAGTGGAAGATGGCCCAAGTCCTTGGGCCCCTGCGCCTGCATGGGAGACCTGGAGGAAGCTCCTGGCTTCTGGCTTTGGATCGGTGCAGCTCCAGCCACTGTGGCCAATTGGGGAATGAACCAGCAGATGGAAGACCTCTTTGCCTCTCCTCTCCCTGTGTAACTCTTTCAAGTAAATAAATAAATCTTTAGGGGAAAAAAAAAGAGTAAATGCATAGGTCTTAATGTTTTATTAGGAAAAAAACATAAATGAGCCTAATTTTTTTTTCTTATCAAGAATTTAGAGAGGGCAGCTGGCACTGTGGCACAGCAAGTTAAGCTGCCATCTGTGATGCCAGCAGCCCATAAGCACTGGTTGAGTCCAAGTTCACTTCTGATCGTGCTCCCTGCTAACACACCTGCGAATGCAGTAGAAGAAGGCCTAATAACTTGGGCTCCTGCCACCCATGTGGAAGACCTGTATAGAGTTCCAGGCTCCTGGCTTCATCCTGGCCCAGCCCCGGCTGTTTCCACCATTTGGGGAGTAAACCAGTGGATGGATGATTGATTGATTGATCGATCGATTGATCTCGCTCTCTCTCTCTCTCTAACTCTTTAAAGAAAATTTTTTTAGGGAAGAAAATGTCCTCAAGAAAACAGCAGAAATTAATTATGACAAAATAGAAATGGGAAAGAAAAGTTGTAAAGAGGATCAATTAAAAACACTTTTGTAAATATAGCTGAATGCAAATAATGAAACAGTTCAATAACAAGACAGTTTCATAACATGATAAAAAAATCTGATCAAGAAAGTTGTATAATTATACTTTTCCATGCTGAAACTGAGTTTAAAACAGACCTGCATGTTTGCCGCTGTTTTTAACCTTTGTTTAGGAAATTATGACTAATTCCTAAAAGCATAACTCAGAAGAAACACTGTCTCATTATTTGTTGGCATGATTAAATATTTAGAAAACACAAGGAAATTAAAACTTGTTACAATTAACTGTATTAACACTATTTACAACCAAAAATGCCCAGGAAAAATAATGAGAAATGCTAAATATCATCAAGTTTTCATACCAAAATAATTGATAGATTGTTACAATTGTATTTGGGACACCTTCCTCCCTTTCACCAAATTATAAAGTTCATTTGGAAAACAGACAAAAGTGGGAACAAAAATACTGAAGAAACACCAAAGAATTAACTTTTATAAATGAAAATGCTTTATAAAGCAGAGTTTCTCTGCCTTGGCACTACTGATATTTTGGACTGGGAATTTCTTCATTGTGAGGGACTGTATTGTGCACTGAAGGATTTTAGCAACATCTACTAGATGCTTGCAGCACCATCGCAGCAGGAACAATTGAAAAAAAAAAATGCCTCCAGAGGATGCTAAATTTTCTTGGGGAGAGGGGAAAAGAGTTAGCCCCAACTGAGAATTACTAATTACAAGATGACAATAATTAAAATTATGGCACTGGTTTAAGAAATCAGTGGGATATAATTTGTATTAAAGAACAAGGCCCCATATATGTAAGAATTATTTTAATGAACCTGGGCCTACAAACAGTTTGTTGGAAAAGAAATTTGAGTATTTCATATGATATCTAAGAGACTTCAGTTTGATTAAAGTTAAATATAATTCTGAAAACCAAATCATAAAAAAGCTAGAAGAAAATATGATTGGATATTAAATTACTAGATTAGATGAACTTTCTAAGGTTGGAAACAAAAGAAAATATAATGGTAAAAATGGACAGTTTAAACATATAAACTGAAAAGGCAGATTGTTAAAACTATGGACATAGACAAGAAGGAATGCAAGTATATAAAAAATGTCTACAGGGATCAAAGAAAGGATATTATTACAACAAATAGGTAGTAGTTTTTACCTATAAAAACAATAAACATTTTATAAAAATAGGTACTCAAAGTTGAAAATACTGGGATGAAATCTGTTTTTGTTATACCCTCATGATGATAGATAGCACCAAGGAGCATAAGCCTGAGGCAAGCATTGGACACCGCCATTAGGATGCCACTTGGGATGCCCCCAGCCCACAGAGTGCCTGGGTTCAAGTTCCAGCTTCACCCCCTATTCCGGCTTCCTGCACACCACCTTGGGAGATAGCAAGTGAAAACTCAGGTAGTTGGGTCCCTGACACTCACATAGGAGACTAGACTGTGTTTGGGGAATGAACTAGTGGACAGGAGAGTTCTCCTTCTCTCTCTTTCAGTCTTTCTTTGTGTCTCCCTGACTTTCAAATAAAATAAAAATAAATTTAAAAGTTTAAAAACAGGTATAAACCTTTCAGAAAACAAGCTGACAATATGTATCAAGAGTTAAAAAAAACTGATACCTTTTTACCTATGTAATTCCTCTTCTGGTTATCTGTCTCAAGGTGTTACTCTCAAATATAGGAAAAAGGTATAAATGAAGATATTAATAATAACATTATTTAGGAAAGCAAAAAAGCTGGAAATAAGGTGTCCATTCACAGCATAATGGTTAATACACTGTCATATTCTTTTTTTTTTTTTTTGACAGGCAGAGTGGACAGTGAGAGAGAGAGAGACAGAGAGAAAGGTCTTCCTTTGCCATTGGTTCACCCTCCAATGGCCGCCGCGGCCGGCGCGCCAGCAGAGAGCTGGCCTGGAAGAGGGGCAACCGGGACAGAATCCGGCACCCCGACCGGGACTAGAACCCGGTGTGCCGGCGCCGCAAGGCGGAGGATTAGCCTAGTGAGCCGCGGCGCCGGCCCACTGTCATATTCTTATGGAATATTATGTAGCCACTTTAAATTATTAACATGAAGATTATTTGCTAAAAAATAAAAATATACTTAGGTATGATAAATGAAAGAAGTAAACCATAAAATGTACATGTTATACAATTACAATTATATACAATGTATACAAAGCAAAAATATTAGAAGTGAATATAAAAGTGGTTGACTATAAAATCTAAACAAAAAAAGTGACAAAATAGGTCTTAAATGGAAAAAATATCAGAATATAGCATTGTTCTATGAAGTATAACTTAGAATCATATATATAAAACTAGATATAAAGGAGGAAAAGGCTACAAGCAAATACACCACAGGCTAAAAAGACTAAACACAAGAGAAACAATGGAGATCATCATTTCTATAAGCAATCAGAGGAAGGATCACCAAAACATATGCACACGCAGAGAAAAGCCAGTGTTAAGGAGATACTGAAGGAAGGAAATATAAGGAATAAATGATGGAAGACAGAGGAACCTACAGAAGAGGATAAGAATCAGATGGTAGATTTAATCTTAAAAGGAAGAAGAAGGTACTTCCCTCCCCTGATGTAGAGGGGAATCCAAAGAGTGGGTGAAGAGAATGAAATTTTGACATGCTGCAGGTGTAAATCCAAAGGCATATACACAACAATTTTTAGCCGTCTACAGTTTAGCTGTCTAAACTGTCTACAAAGAAGATAAGTTTGGTCATGCTTCTGTAGAGTTTCTGGTTTATTAAAATTCAATTTAAGTGTTTTTTATGAATATAAAAACTTAAGTATTATATAACATCTTATGGCTGCTCAAGATGAGCATGGAAAGTGAAATGCACACACAGGTAGATTACTCCTTATCTGAAATGCATACAGCCAGAAATGTTTCAGCCTTGGAGTATTTGCATATTACTAACAAGATATACTAGGGATATGACCCATGTCTAAACCTGAAAGTCATTTATGATTCATGTATATCTTATATGCATAGCCTGAGATAATTCATACAGTGTTTTTAGTATGCTTGGATTTTGACTGCAATATTCACATGAGGTTAGATGCAGAATTTCCCACCTGTGACATCATCTCAGAAAGTTTCAGATTTTGGAACATTTTGCTTTTTCAGAATAGAGATCTTCAACCTGCATCTTTAAAAGTCCTAATTGAAAAAAATTCTGAGGGGATTCAGGTGCTAAAATATGTGTTAAATCAGTTTTACCTACTGGTATATTATGCATGCTTATACTCATTTATAAAATAAGTGTCTTATTTTATCCCAAATACAATTAAAAATTTAGGAAGAAATACTTACCAAAGAAAGGCACACATGGTGGATTAATAGACCTGAGTTTTGCCAAATATTTCTTATAGTGATCTTCACTCAGTTCATGAGCTTCCTCTAAAATTTTCTTTTGGCGACTTGGTATTTGCTACAAGGAAAGAAAATGTTTAGGAGTCATAAGCTTGCAATCACAGCTCTTGCTAAAAATTGCCAGGCTAACAATAAGGCCCAAACACAAGAGTATTAGTTTGATTCTAAGACTGTAATATTGTTTCAAAGAAACTATTTTCATAGGCCCTAGTAAAAACTTAAAGGGATGTATATGTGTGTGTGTGTGTGTGTGTGTGTGTGAGAGAGAGAGAGAGATCTAGTTTATTTTGCTAGTCTTCACACAGTTATGAGTATTTAATATTTTACATTAAAAATTAAATGTACTGCTTTTCCTTCTTATAAAAAGCCAGAACTTTTAATGAAAATGCCTAACTTTAAAAGAACAATCAATTCATTATAAAATTCTGATTTTTATAACAGAGAATGGAAGTTCATGTGAAAAAAAAAGATAATCAACCCTACCTCAAATGTGTGGTCTAGTCTGTAAACAGGTGATGAGTTCATAGCACTGACAACCTCAAGGACACCATTGAAGTTGTTCAGCTCTTGAAAAACTTGCAGAATTTCAATTATTCGACTCACCACAGCTACTCTTTCTTCTAAATTTTCAGTTTCTACAATACATCTGGGAATCAAAGACAGAAAAAAAAAAGAATTAAAAATTTTAGTTTTTCCAACAAAGCTATGGTTTAAAGGACTTAGTAAACGATGTAGATTGGTGGTAGGAGAGGTGGCTATAGTGTAACTACAGAGAAGACACGCTCAGAGTGACTGACACATGGAGCCTGGAAGATGTTTATCTTCCAGTTTCTCCAGTGAAGCATTCTGCTCTCTCTGGTTCTCTAGACTGGTACACTTACCCAATCATTTTCCTATTATATTGGGCACATCATCTTATCATCATTAGAACTACTTTATGAGACTCACCTTTTCTGTTTTGTGTTTTGGATTGACTGTGAGAAATGAGGGAATCCAGCCCTTTATTTTGTAATACAGAAGGCATACCAGGGCCCCAACCCCACTTCCCACCCTGCAGTTTTTAAATGTTTACCACTCTAGGAGACCCAGCAATCCCCTTCATGACCTTTTGAAGACCACTGAACTGGAAAATTATACCCTTTCTTCTCTTAGAAAGGTTGACAGCATTACTTACAGAATTCATTTTATATAGATAGCAAGAATTATACTAAAATTTTCACTAAACTGACTATTTTCCTTGCTTCAATTTCACTGCTAAACATCTTCAGAATGCCTTTTGGTGATGAGATTCATCTTACTGAATGTATTTAGGTCTTTGTATTCAAATGTGTTCTAGTGGATTTTATTCTAGAATTCAAGAATTTTGTTGCATCCAATTCTTCACTGAATTGAGGGTTTTAATTTCTTTCTTTGGCATAGAGAAATAATTGGGTATATTGCTAGGAACAGCTCTTAAGGTTATAATGAAGTCAGTTGAAGTACCACAATTATAAATAAAACATTACTTAGAAAATGATGAATGGGTGAAAACAAAAGCACTTTATATTTAATTATCAAGAATCCTTGGTATTTACGTATTTATATCCTGAGTGCCTATATATAATATACACTAGTGAGTAGCTAAAAGGAAGTGTGCTATGTTTAACAGAAAAGTCCTTAGAAAGTATTTACTATTTCTGGTATTTAAAGAATTTTTATTGATTGATTACTTATCAATAAAAGAAAAATGTTTTAAACTTGGTTATCAATATTAAATGGCTTATAATCTAAAAAATGAGGATATAAATGAAAATATTAAATCTTTAATAAAATATAAGCTTACAAATTACATTGCCCTCAGATGAACCTGTCTTAACACTAGGAACACTATACCTAAAACCGTCAAAATATACATAGCTTATTATCAAATTAAACATATGTGCATCTTTTAAGCATTTTAGATGTCTACAAATTTATCATATTCCAGCTAACTGGTTAGCTGGACAATTAAAAACATGTTACACAAGTATAACTCATTTGCATCCTTTACTTAAATATTTGAGTTGTCATCAATTGGGTGTAAAAACTAAGATCACTCATAGAGCTTTGATTAGAGTGTGTATGGCTAACACCCGCTATGGAAATGCCTAAGAATCTATCCCACTAAGTAAGGTGGGAGATGGCCTGCAACTAAATAACCTATGAAAAAATTGCACAGAACTGAGAAGAGACTGTGTGTCTCACCAGTTATGTTCCTCTTCTCAGATGTACATAATTATTATAGTGGGAAAGGGCTTCTGCATCTGAAGTATACAGAGATATCAGGAAGCAACATTGGGGGAGAAATTCTAAATTTAACTTTTTAGAGGCATATTATGTTGAATAATACAAATGGAGGGAGATCAAACTTTCAGATAATTTGGAATGCTTATTTCTCTTTAGGAACCTAGCCCAAGTTCCAATTATTCCCTATGTCACTGGTTGCTTGTTGCTATAATCTCAATATGATTTATAGAAATCTCATTTTACCTTTACAAAATATTAGCCAAGTAATTATATTGCTTTAACTCAGAAGAACTATGGCCAACACACAAAACTCTAATTGCTTGCCCCAACTATAAAATAGCATTGAGATTCTGGACATCGACACGATGGTAGGAGGAGCTCCACTGACCCACTCCCTACTGAAACTGGGGAAGTTATTTTGAAAAACCCAAACAAACCATAACACTTAGAAGTCTCTGGAAATGGCATCTCTTCAAGAATATCTACAAAAAGAGTCTCTAAGAGAAGGGAAAGTCTGTGGTATTTGAAGCAAATGTGCTCCCTCTCTTCCCCATCTTCCCTGGACATCTGCTACAGACTACCGCAGCCAAGAACACTTAGCTCTGAGCTGGAACACTTGCCTCCCTGCAGAGGGGAACTCCAGCACTTCCCATCCTGTCCATAGCTGCCTGCTGCCGAGACTGGGTCCTAACTGAGCACAGTTAAGAAGTGGGGACTCCCTTTGCTTGCCAACTCTCTTTATGGAATGGAGACTACTCTGGGTGTGGTGCACTGAGAATACTGAGAAAATAGCCCCTCCTCTGAGTGCCCAAGACAGTAGTTTCATGGCACAAAGGTGAGTAAGAGGACTTCAGGTGCTTAAGGAACTGCCTGTCCCTAAACCCCCTCAAGCCCTGCTCCAGGCTGCTAAGCTAGCACAGATCTCTTAGAGCAAGATCGTGGCTCAGAGAAGCTTGCCAATGTCCCAGGCCCCAGAGCCCTATTTCAAATAGGTAGCTCCTAAAATGTGTTATCATTTGCAGCAAGTGTGAAGATTAAACTTAAGAGTGCTCAAAAGAAGAGTGGAGTTTGTGGTGAAAGGCATTTGGGAGGAGATTCATACATATAATGAAATACAAATAGAATCTAGACTGCAGGTCCACCAGTTTGTAGGAGACCCAGGAAACAAGAGAGCTGAGAGGGGTCCTCCTAGGGACAAAACAAATATCAAACAGTGGCCTCAGAAACCAATTTGATTAGTTTAGCAGAGCATTTTATGCTGCCAGGGAATTGTTGAAAACAACAGGACAATCAGCTGCCAACTAGTGGAGTTTGGGTGTGTGTGGTTAGGGAAGAAGTCAAATGAGCCCCACTGATACCACTGCCTTCCCAGGATGACTGTGGAGATATTCAAATCTAATCCTCTGCGGGTCTCATCCCGACCCAACAGTGTGTGTGTGTGGTGTGTGTGTGTGTGTGTGGTGTGTGTGTGTGTGTCTTTCTCTAAGAATAGGCTTCACTACAATAACCCTGCTAGACATTGGACAAATTAGCAAGTAACAGTAACAAGCCCTGGAAAGGCCAGGAGTCAGGGAGGATAACAGTACTCAGGGTTGCTACAATATATTATCTACATGTCAAGTTTCCAACAAGAAATTACGAGGCATGTAAAGAAATGGAGAAGTATGGGAAAGCCTATATATTGGGAAAAGAGCAGGGAACTGAAACTGTCTGTGACCAGATATCACATTTAACAGAAAAAGATTCCAAAATAGCCATTATAAATATGTTCACAGAACAAAGGAAAGCATCATAAAGAAGTAAAGGGAGGTATCATAACAATGTACAGTAAGGAGAATCTCACTGAAGAGATATAAGCTATAAAAAGATAATTCTGGAACTGAAAAACACAATAACTGAAATAAAAAACTTGCTGTGGAGGTTCCATAGTCAATTTGAACAGAAGAAAAATTAGTTGACTTGAAGATACAGCTGTTAAAAAATGAAGGTAAAATAGATTTTCCCAGATAAAACAAAAACAACATTTGTTGTTAGATAACCTGTTAAACAAGAAATATTAAAACAAGTTCTTCAGGCTGAAAGCAAGTGGTCCCAGATGATATTCTGAATCTCTACACCAGTAGAGGTAATTATGTAATTATAAAAACTATTACATACAGGTTTTCTCTTTTTAATCGATTTAAATACTAACTGTATAAAATAATGGGTATAGATGTATGATTGGGTCTATAATACAGAGGTGTGTAAGAGGAGAGTTGTAATAGGCTAAAAGGAGGACAGCAAATGGTAAAACAATAATTACAATAATGTACTGTTGGATTCCCATCACTAATTAGGCTTATTGTGTATTACAACATCACAAAAAGAGGAAAAAGGAAATAGAGCTATAAAGGAATTAAAATATTCCTATGTATCATTGGAATTAAGCGACTATAAATGTGAAGATGATTCTAATAAGATAGATATGGCAAGCCCTAAGTCAACTACTAGAAAATTTCAAAAGAAAAAATATTAGTGAAATTAAATAGTGCATTAGAAAAATATTCACTAAATGTGAAAGAAAGGAGGAATAGAGGAACAAAAGGATATGACACTTATAGAAATAAAACTGCACTGAAATGCAGCTATATTTTAGGAATGTCAGGAATACTTACTTTTCAAACCACAAAGTGAGATTAGTGGTGTGTCGGATCATTTTCAGAAGATTAGGAGAATTAATTTCTTTGTCTTCTTTTGTCCACACACTTCCAACTAATTCTGATGGCTGCACAGCTCTAAAATAATCAATACATAAATGCTATATACTTTATAAATGCTAATAACTTTCCCTCTAATGAAGATACTTTATTAAATAAATGAGATAAATTAAAACTACACTCCTACCAAAACTTTTCTCTTACACAAGAGAAAGGCCTATGAGAACAAGATAGAACCAAAAATTTATTATGCATCTTTCTCTCTGGATTTTTAAAAAACATTTTGCTCTGGGCAAGTGTGAGATTTTCCCATATCTGTCCCAGCGCTAACAAATATTACTCATTGATCCAAAAGAGCCTCCTCTTTCTCTGGCGGGTGGGGGCACTGGGAAATAAATAAAATAGATTCCAAGACCATAACTTTGGGAATATTATGTTCTTTGGGTGAAGGTGATCCATAAATACAGTTTCTTTTCTCATTTATTTAAAAATAAATGATTTTCTAAGTAGTCTCCATTTAAAGTCTGATAGACATTTTTGAGATGATAGTTGTCTCAATGTAGAATAAGCTACAAGAGGCTACAACTAGCCATGACTTAAAATTATAACAACAGCAATAGTTACCAATGATTAAGTTTTAATTTTATGCTAGGCAGTGTGCTAAGCATCATAGATACATTGATCACCTTAAGTCTTAAAACAGCTACAGAGGTGCTATTCATTGGCTTCTTCTTGAGGTAACTAAGGGGTAGAAGGATAAAAGTTAAAAATGAGGTTAGAGGGCTGGTGCCGGGTTCTAGTCCCAGTTGCTCCTCTTCCAGTCCAGCTCTCTGCTGTGGCCCGGGAAGGCAGTGGAGGATGGCCCAAGTGCTTGGGCGCCTGCACCCGCATGGGAGACCAGGAGGAAGCACCTGGCTCCTGGCTTTGGATCGGCGCAGCACCGGCCATAGCGGCCATTTGGGGAGTGAACCAATGGAAGGAAGACCTTTCTCTCTTTCTCTCTCACTGTCTATAACTCTACCTGTCAAATAAAAAATAAAAACAAAAAAAGGAGGTTAGAGTTGCCCAAGGATACCAAGGTAGCAATTGGTAATGCCAAGATTTGAACCTAGCTTCACCCACTAAGGCTGACTACAGAAAAAGAGAAAGTATAAATTCAGACAGAGCAAGAGGGGCCAAGGGAGTGAAAGAGGGAGTACCTGCCAGGCCCTACCACCTGACATTATATGTCCTATCTTATTCATGTCTTGTGATAACCCAATAAGGCGGAAACCAGTATGCCATTCTAAAAAATGATACTTTTAAAATGGTATTTCAGTTTGAATGTCAAATTACATACCGGTATAGATCTGATTCCAGTAAAGTGAGTTGTCGAGCAATTTCAATTGGGTGTAAGGTGAGCAGGTCAAAAGTCTCGATGTGCCCGGGTCTGCTTATATGCCACTCAACTGCGGGAGGTGAGCTCTGAAATGTAATATTATGACCTGGTCCATTGTCTCTTGCAATTTTTTTCCTTTGAATTATCTTAGTGATAGATTCAACCCATTTTTTCATTGCTTTACCTGAAATACATTATATTTTAAATAATATTTAAATACTCTTCAATATTTAAAAAATGGCTTAAAATCACATAAGTAATAATCTGAATCTTTTTGCTATAAAAAGTTCCAATGAACAAATAAAAACTGTACATTCCCCTTCATGCTTTCCTGGCACCCCCTATCCCAATCTCACTTTTTAAACATGGGTATACATTTTTCCAGATCCTTTCTAAATAACATTAGAAAGTAACTTATTTGTAGAAATTTTTCATCTCTATTGTTCTTTCAGTTCAAAATATTAGTTTATTATTTTCCCTTAAAAATGTGCATTCTACACAAATCACAAGATATATAAGGATAGCTCATATACACTATTGATCTAGTTAGCATTGCATTTTTATAAACTAAACAATGCTGGAGAATGGATTCCTTATTTTAGTGTGATTTTTCATATGGCAATTTTGTACTCTAGAGGAAAGTATTTCATTTAACCTGCTATTTTCTGATTCTTATTTAGAGTATATCATGGAAATAAAATAACTTTGGGACATCCTTACAGTCATATATCCATAGAATCTTTAAAACTAGACAAGAAACCCTTGAGATGATCAAACCTAGCTCCTTATGTTTCTGCTAAGGAAACTGAAGTCTAAACCAGCACAGTCACTTTATCTGGCTAGTGGTGGTGTTAGAAGTAGACTCTCAGTTTAAAATGTTCTGCTGCCTCTGCTTCTCCTTGTTCACTTAACTGTGGCCCACTCAGCCTCCATTAGCAGTGTTATAGTGGCCAACAGTTCTTAAATGTCTTTGGGTACACATACTTATAAATAAGTGACTTAGTTTAAATTGTGACATCTTCTAAGCAATTCTAAAATGCTAAATGGAAATATTTTGTGTCAACAGACTGACTGATTACTGAGCAACTTGTAGGTTTGAATGTCATTTCATGAAAATTTTTAATTTTTTCAAATGGTTGTGCTGGCACTATTACAAATACCTCAACACTGAGCAATAATTACATCAATTGGTAGTAACCATAATGGTTCTTTCATTTCATAGAAAATAAGGCACTTTAAAAAAATCATACCTCTTACTGTTCCAATAAATTCCTCCATTCGCTGCAAAAGGTCTGCATCTCTTTCAAAATCATAGAAGTGGTGTTCTACCCAGTGCCGACATACATTTAATACTCTATGGTATTAACACAGAATTGAATTACAGGCAAACTCAAACATAAAAGTTTATCACAATGAGTGGTACAAATAAGAACAGAGCAACTCTTATCAAGTTAAATAATCTTATCAGTGGCTTAACACTTTAAACATTCTACGTTAATTAAGACTCACACATGATTTCTGATGATTCCCCTTAACTCACTCATGTCATTTGTTACCTCCTCCTTGCTTGGGAAAGGTCTTCACAGACTTCAACTTACCGCAGCTGTACAGGCTGTATATATTCTTTTCTAAACCTTTTTAGTTCTGCGCTCAGAGGTTGATCTCCATTCTCTATAGCTATGCGATCAGCTTCTGTTGGCTCAGGTTCTGGAATTTCAAACCTAATATAAAATAGAACAAGTTGATGAAAATACTAATTGCACCAAATTGTATAAATAGTGATCCACAAACCTTTGCACTAGGCAGCACAATCAAGAGAATACTGGAAAAAATTACTAAGGATATACACATTAGTGAAAACAAGTGAGCCTTCTGTAATGTAAAGGCTAACAATATTACTTTAAATTTCAGAAAAAGATATTAGTACTTGCTAACAGATAAGACTAACTAGAAACATAATCAAGAATATATGTAAAATCTAATAAATGTGACTATGAAGTTATAGAACTGATATTCTTTTCTGATTTGTAAGGTTACTCTAAATCAGCTGACAATAATTTTTAAGGGTAATGCTCAAAAAGTTCACTGCTCTTTGAAACACTTTTCTTCATTACAGTATTTATTAATCAACAAGCTCCATTTTACTCAACATGTGATACATCTGGAAACTTCTAACACATCTGAATCATCAAAAACTTGAATCTTCAGAGTTGAATTTATACACTTCTATATAGTTCTTTAACTTGACATTCCAAATACTGAGTTTCCATATTTAAAAAATAGTATTTTATGTTTAAATAATCAAAGCTAACACTATGATTATATTTTAAAATTGCTCATGATCTGCAATTTAAAGCTCATCTACCATATTCCTGAGAAACATATAAAATCTTAGCTCAATCTCTTTCAAAAAATAAAGATTAAACATTTTTAAGTTGTCAGACCTTTCTATTATAAGACTCAGTAGTTCTTGAGGTTTGCAAAAGGATCTGTATGTTGTAAGAAATGTCCGAACAAAATTGGGATCTAAGAAGAAAAAGGAAAAATATCTTATTAAATTCTTTAATTCAGAATGAATAAAGCTATTATTCACATTTCCAAAAGATCAAATAATCAATTTTAAAATCCAAAATTGTTTTAACACATAGAAAGAATGCCTTGGACTTTGTAAGGCACTGTTAGCTTTAGTGCTTCCTAAATTAGTGGCAAAAACATTCATATTGAAATACTGTATCAGCTATGACTTGCCCTCTGTACACTCTGACCAACTGGTCTTAAACTCATCACTGGTCAGAGAATGTGCAAAGAAGAAAGGCAAAGGCAGAGCATGGAGCCCGGCTCCCCCCGCTACAAGAACTGCAGAGCATCACCAGTAATCTCCCTGGTAGACAAAGGCCAAGCAATCCGCCATTACTTTTCCTAACATCCAGATTAGTTATCCAGACTTCTTTAAATCATGTTAACAAGAGAACACAAGTAGAAATCAGTGATAAAGTAACAGATTAAGTTAACCATATTTCTAAATTATTTTATTGGCTAGAGGCCTTACTTAGAACTGCTAAAAAAAAAAAAAAAAGGCTTATCTATAAGCCTCTCAAACTATTACTGCTAGAATATGTTGTTTTGTCCACTTCCCAACCTCGCATTCCTTTTAAATATCAGGTGGTCACAATCAGAGTTTAATCCCAAGAGCAGAAAGTCTCCAGTCCCTTACGTGAAAGGATACACTTTGCATTCACATTTTCATGAAGTTGAAACAAGAGGCATACTGAGTGTGATAAATTCTCCAGGCTTGCCTGCCTCCCTCCTCTCCTAACAGTATTCTCCTCTAATTGTGGAGAAGGGCTGCTGTCATCAACACAAGAGACTTGTGCATAAAGAGGGGGAAACATTTCTTCCCAGGAAACAAAACACCACTCACTTCTATAACTGAATTTCATCAAGGTCTGCATTTAATTTTAAGAGAAAAAAATTCATTTGCTTGTGTCTTCTGGAAGCAGTTTTTTTTTTCCTGTTTACATTATGGACTAGTAAACTCTAATGATATCTCATTGAGGGTAGTGAACACCTTTATTTTTGCTAGGCTAAACACTTTGAATCAAAATATTTTAAAAGATATGCATTGTCTTTTATTAGCACGGACTTAGCAAAATCAGAATGTATTTGGAAAATTTCTATTTAGATTGATTCTAAATATTTTAGCTTCAAAATATTTCTGATATATCAACTTTTCTACTAAAAGGCAAACTCATGGATTTATCACAAAACAAAAATCTTGGGGTCAGCACTGTGGCACAACAGGTTAAGTTGCTGCCTGCAAAGCTAGCATCCCACATGAGGGCTGGTTTTTGTCCTGGCTACTCCACTTTCAGTCCAGCTCCCTGCTTATGTGCCTGGGAAAGCAACAGAGGATGGCCCAAGTACTTGGACCCCTGCCATCCCCACAAGAAACCCAGATGGAATTCCACGCTCCTGGCTTCAGCCTGGCTCAGCCCTTGCCATTGCTGCCATTTCGGGAGTGACCCAGTGGATGAAGATCACTTCCTCTTTCCCTTTCCCTTTTCCTCTCTGTGTTAACTCTGCCTTTCAAAAACTCAGTCAATCAATCTCAAAAAACAAAACAAAACAAAAAACCTCTTTCCAATCTGTTGGTATTTGTTGTTACCAAGATAATGAACTAGGGGCAGGTGTTTGGCGTAGCAGTTAAGATGCCAGTTGGGACAACGCATCCCATGTTGGAGTACCTGGGTTTGAATCCTGGCTCTGCTCCCAATTCTAGCTTCCTGTTAATGTGTAACCTGAGAGGCAGCAGGTGATGAACCAAGTAAGTGGTCTTTGCCACCCATGTGGGAGACCTGGATTGAGTTTCCCAGCTTCTGACTTTGGCCTACCCCAGCCCCAGCCATTGCAGGCAACTGGGGAATAAACCAGCTCTCTCTGCCTCTCAAATAAATACATAAATAATTTTTAAAAGATAATGAGCTGATTTAAATATCAGACAACCCTGAATTTAAAAATATTACTTTTTTAAAGTTAAAAATATACAGAATAAAAATACATTGGTTTTATAGTTTTTTCAATTCTGTTTGTTTTAATCTACTTGAAAGGCAGAGTGACAGATAAGATGGAGATCTTCCATCCAATGGCTAGGCTGACACCAGGAGTCAGGACCTCCATCTGGGTCTCCCACATGGGTGACAGGGCCCAGGCACTTAAGTCATCATCAACTTCCCAGGATACATTAGCAGGAAGCTGGATTGGAAGCAGAGTATCCAGGTCTTGAATCAGCAATTCAATATGGGACTCAGACACCCATAAGAGACACCCACTGAGCCACCAAGCCTACCCCCTAGCTTTATTCTTTCTGAAGCTAAAGTGGGTTACTGATAAAAGTAATTTAAATACATTTAATCCTTTAATAATTTCCTCTCTGTTGGTATTTTATTGTTTGTCTTCAGTTACAGAGATCCTCAAAAGTTAAAGACTAATGTTTCATCCAGAAGAAAAGATTTTAAAACAGAAGGATGTACAAGATTTTAAAACAGAGATTTTTATCGGTTTCATCACAATCCTCCCTTTCAAGAATCTTCTTCCTGTTCTGCAAATCTATTTGTAAGGTGAGGCTACTCAAAACAGCACATGTTTAGGAAGCAATAACAGTGGCCACTATGGAGATGCTGAGCTATTGCTGTTGGAGAGAAAGCCCATCCTCAGTAGTGAATGCTCTAAGCATCCCTGAACTGTGTTCCAAATTTAGGGTGTGCCCTCCCCCTTAAAAAAGCTTATTCCAATCTAAAAATTGAAACCAACATCCAGATCCATTTCTAAGTAAAGCTAAAAAGTATGGGATAGCAAAAGGTAATTTTAAGTTGAAAAATGAGATACAAACCAGTTCTAAATGAATTAAAGTATGTTTTTAAAAACCCAGTTATTTTTAAAGGCAAACTATTTTAAAATGGACTTTTCATCTTCTTTTAGAACTTTGGTAATCGATGGTAATGCTGGGAAAGCCACAATGTGCCTCGCTGCCCCATCAGTCAGATGGGATCACAGTAGTTCTGATGTCTGTTATGTAATGTTCTCAGAGACCTTTCACATAGTTTATTCCATATGAGGGCAGATGAGAGAAGTAACCAAGACGTATCTAAGGTCACACAGTGGAATGGTAGACATGCATCCTGAACCTAGATCATGTAACCCTGATTTGGTGCTTTTTTTCCTACCGTATTACGTAACCTTACTGGATCAAAGGATCACTTAAGGTTTCCAGAACTGTGAGATCTAAATATAAAGAATTAATCCACGAATTATATAATCATGATAGACATTTATATAAATAATTCAGAATGTAGTTGCACCTATTAATCTTGGCTTAAATGTACCAGAAAGTCACTGAAAAATTATCCGTCTAATTATGATTCTATAACTCTTGATAAGCCTTCTACATTCTAGGAAGTAGCAGTTGTACCTTTCTGTACACTGTATTTAGAAGAGGAGTTTGAGAGCTGGCATTAACAATAATCACTGTTGTATTAGGTTCTAAGGTAACTCAAGTTTAAGTTGTTTTTAACTTGACTGGAAGTAAGAGCAGTCTTGATAAAGAGAAAAATCCAACAGAAAATAAAAATATACCAAGAAAATTTGGCAAAAGTTCAAGTGAGTACTTTGGAAAAATATCTTAAAGATTGTATATTATAGATTTATGTTTGATATAAAGCAATGGAAAGCTAATAAAGACATAATACCTGTATTTTAAATTTTACATGAAAAATACATATTACAGAAATTATTTTTATTTTTATTGCATTGATTTCTCTATTTCAATGACCATAACATATACCACGTCACTCTAACCACTGGAGAACTTTATCTTACTGATGGTGCAAAGAGCTAAGATAATTTGGTAATTTAAAAATATCTCCCAATAAGGACAAGTTATATGATTTTGCTAGCAAAGAAAGTACTTACTTTCATTGATCAGGCAATGATAAAAACTAAGATAATCTGCCTTTGTTGGTGTGGAGCACCAATTATCTACATATACTGTGAAGTAATGTTTCTGACAAATGGAAGGCAAAAACCATGCTAAGTTTGATTTAAAACATAAGCATGAGCAAATATTCATAGCAAAAATTTTAAATGGCTTGTTTTGATATCCTCTCTTTTTGGTTTATCAGTTGCTTATGGAGGTGATTTCACAAACTTCTTTCTCAAAAATGAACCCTGTAACATGGATTTAAGTAGGCAAGCAAAAATGTTCTCTGCAGCGTTTTCTTCCTTAGCATTCTAGGCCACATTACGCTTCTATTTGACTCTTAAATCCCAACACAAAGATTTTCACAATCTTCATTAGCTTCTCTGTTTCCCTCTCTTGATACAGCTTCTCTCAGAAAAAACCTGCCAACGCCACGTAGTCAGGGTCCAGACAACTTCAAACATGAGCTGTATTATTTTCTGCTGGCCTTCTAGCTGCCTCTGTCATTTACTACATATAAAATCTTTATTTTACTGCACAATTCTTCAAAATCCAAGGAACGCAGAATATATCTACATTAGTGCTCGGAATACAGGGTACTAAATTTGAGGAGACAAACCCAATCCTTTTACTTGTGTCCCTATTTTGACTGACATTTGATAAGGTCAATGAGATTTATGAAATATTAATTACGTGAAAAAGCTGTTTATGTAAAGAATACCTAGAGAAACACTGTTAATCAGGATGTGTGCTCATGTGATAATACTCCCTTTAATACAGTCATTTAAAAAGCTACAAGGAACAATAAACTCCTCCACAAGGATTTATAAACAATCACTTTTGAATTCCTTAAAAAAGGAAACAGACGCTATGCTGACGCACAACACTTTAAAAAAAATCAGAGAGTTTAAAAATAGAACAACACTGCCCAACAGATCAAAAATTTTTGAAAAGATCAAAAAAAGTTTAAACACCCAAGCTGAGTTTCTGTAGGACACAAACTCAAAAGAAGTCTAATGCAGGTTTTTGAGTATTTCATATACTCAAAAGTAACAAAGACAAAGTAACAGTAAGTACTTTAGAGTATCCTCTGTAAAAGAAGTTTACTATGGATGTATATCTTTTTGCCATATTTCAATATGAAAAGCTTTTATTTTCCACATAATGTCAGTTCTGAATTACCATCCTTAGCCAGAAGTCATCTCATGTTTTAAAAATAAACTACCCAGCTGAACATACCACCAACCATTTCTCTACCCACATTGTTTGGGTTTCAGAGATTGACCTGTATTTTATAGCCCACAACAACTCTGTGAGGTGAAATCCTACTCTCAACATCTTTTCTTTGTGCACATTGTTCTCTGCTTGCACTACTCTAAGGAAGAACTCTCTTCCTACTGCTACTAGATGCAGAATGAACTGTCCACCAGGATAACGATCCCTCCAGCATTTTGGATGACTCTCAAAGTTCTAATGCAGTTAGTGTAATACTGTATGTCCACAAACACTGAATCTGAAAGACAAGTTATAAATTAGGTCCCACATAAGATCCTGTTGCAGTCTTTTAAGCGAGAGTTCACTACTTTCTAACTTACCTAAATTTAATTTTTCCAGAAAGCTTTCTTTTTATGAAATTGCACAAAAGGACTAATGATTGGGCTTTGTCAAAAAATAAAATGTTAACCAATATCTAACTATACACTAAAATCGAACTTTATCTACAGTCAGAATTACCCAAATCCTCTTTCAGTAATAAAGAAAAAATTACACTGACTGTATCTTCATAGACTTGTATTTTCCCAGAAACAAACTAGCCAAACCAAGTAATTTGCTTACTTTTTATTACTCAACACACATAATAAAAAACTGCATCATATTCTAATAGTGAAGAAAATTCACCTCATGAGTCAGTGTCACATGGCAAAAGTATACTGAGTCAGGAAACTGAACTTCCAGTCCTCCTTCTGTAATTAACTGTGGTGACATGATTTCTGGAAAATCAGATAAACTTCAGGGGCCTTGAGTTTTTACCTGTAAAGTGAGGGCTTGGACATCACCTCTAGCACTAGAGAGTTCTGTAAATTACTGTTAAAATGCTTGAAGGATGGAATTAGCTAAAGCCAAGTGAAGTATGAGTTAAGTTTGATTAAACAAGTTTCTCTTGTTTTTATTTTTGTTTTTGTTTTTGTTTCCTGAATGTCTGACCAGCCTATAATAATCTAACAGATGTCTTTAAGTGGTATCATATTATTAATTATCATGTACTACATATAATGTCTTTTACTATAATTCTACATAATAAAAGTATTCAAGCTAAATTTAGCTTTTTGTTTCAGTGTAAGCCACACTTGTATTGTACGTTATTCAATAAAAATACCTGCTAACTAACTAACCAAACCAAAAAGCCTTTTTTCTTTGGGGAGGCTGAAGAAAGGTGAGAGAAGAGCAGACCAACCATTCTTAAAACAAATAACTGGATCTGTGATCATTGTAGTGAGGATTCAAAGTTCATTTCAGCTAGAAGAGACCTTAAAGATAACTGCTTTCATGCTTTACAAGCTCATAGATGTACTATTAAAAACACATTCTAAATTACCAGTAGTAAATTCAGTAACAGACCTTATAGTCACCCAAATATGCTACTACTTAACTATGCTATTACTTTGTGTGTACCATAAAACACAGCACATGAAAACTACTTGTAGATTCCAGTTACACCAATTAACATATTTATGACATAAAATATTAAACTAAACTTTAAAAGAAGCAGAACAGAAAACATGTCAAATGGCAAAAAACAAAAACCTTAGCCATAGCACTTCTAAAACCAACACTGGCATTTTATGTCTCAAGAAATTACTAGAAGGAATTAAAAAAAAAAAAAACTTTAACTTAAGAGGAAAATAGTCTCATCATTTAAATTTCAATATATTTAACTTTGGCAAAATACTATGAACCTAGAAACCTGTTACATTAATTGTAAGTAAAACCATTCAAAACTATTCAAAGGCTAAAAACTAATATAAAAAAGAGCAATTGTCAGAAATAACCAATAAAGGCTGGCGCCGTGGCTCACTAGGCTAATCCTCTGCCTTGTGGCGCCAGCACACCAGGTTCTAGTCCCGGTCGGGGCGCCGGATTCTGTCCCGGTTGCCCCTCTTCCAGGCCAGCTCTCTGCTATGGCCAGGGAGTGCAGTGGAGGATGGCCCAAGTGCTTGGGCTCTGTACCCCATGGGAGACCAGGATAAGCACCTGGCTCCTGCCTTCAGATCAGCGCGGTGCGCCAGCTGCAGCACCATTGGAGGGTGAACCAACGGCAAAAGGAAGACCTTTCTCTCTGTCTGTCTCTCTCACTGTCCACTCTGCCTGTCAAATAAATAAATAAATAAAACTAAAAATTATATTTGTTTATTTGAGAGGCAGAGAGACACAGAGAGAGCTTGCATCATCTAGTACACATTAAGAAAAGAAGACTGCCAATACTATAGAAATGCTATCAGTTTTTTCAAGTTAGGTTCCTTTTAAAGTTTCATTCAAAATTTCATTATTTTCAATCAAAAATAAATAAAATTTACAGTTTCTAGAAAAGAAATATTTGATTATGGTTCTGTAAGTGCTTATTAATAACCATTAATTAATTCAGTGAAATACAGCTTTTAAAGAAAACTTTCATAATTAACAACCAAGCCTTACAGAAACAATGAGGTTAAATGTTTTAGAATGTAAAGGTATTTTCCAATCAAAATACCACTGACTTGATAGTAAACATTACTAAGTCATCTTCAATGGTTGCCACTTACATTGGTCTATACAAAAATAAATACATAAACTATCTTCAAACATAGATAAAAATGTAAGGATTAATTTTACTTTAATTAGTCCAAGAAACTGAACAAAAGTATTTAGGGTGGAATGAACAGTTGAGAATTCTTATATTTTAAAAATTCTGTGAATTCTCTAGAGACTTTAAAACCAGGGTAATATGGTAAGAAGAACAATTTTAACTTTCATAACCTTAAAAATTCCTTAAGAGGTAGCAATGAAATAAATATTTTGTGGATCCAAATTTTGGGTCATTTAATACATTTTTATAGTTGTATTTATATATTATAAAGAATACATAGAAGGTTGGTGATGATCAACTAAAGAGGTAGTTCAGAATAACTACTGTGAATTGTACCCCTTAAAAACAGCTTTCTATGTAAAAAAGATAATAATCTGTTCATGGAAAGTGTTAGCTGGTTATTTAGCTTTCCTGTGCTTTATTTATTTTTAAAAATTTTTGGCCGATAAAATGAATATTTTGGATACAGAAGTTTCTAGATGAAAAGTAATGGCAAAATTGGCATCCCAGACTAAAACTGTCAAAACATTTAACATATGTCATGGCTAATGCCTTCTACAACCAAATGGTATGTGCTGAGAATCCAAATTGCTTTTAAAATTAGCCTGTGGGAAATACTTTATTTTTTTTTTAAACTATAAAAAAGGCCAGCAAAAGAACTAGAGGCCAAATAAAAACTGAAACTGAAACAAAACCAAACACTTGAATATTTCTCCTAGAGATATGCAGAGACAATGAAATGATTTGTTTGTAACATACTCTGAAATCACTGATTAAAAAATACTATTCCAACTTAATTTCATTTCTTGCAAGGCACCCTGATAGTTCCTAGGCAATATAAGTAGTTCCGATTATACATCTAATAAATTGAACAGATGAACACTGTTGACTACTATTCCTCTTTACTAAAGTAAGTTAGTAAGAACAGTTTCGAGAGACATCTGAAAATCCATTTTTAGGATTTTAAAAATAGAAGAAAAATTTCCCTAGAAACACACATTCCTTAATAGGAATATATTTAAACAAAGAATGGGCATGCAGATTAACTTTCACATTCAAATACTAAGAACAGCATTTATAGGAGCTACATTTGATTTTAAATCATATTCTGTGAAAATAAGTTTGCACTTATATTGACAAAGAACTTTCAATCCAGTATTTCATTTATTCTTTCTAAAAACGGTGTAAATTCTGAGATTAGAAGCCAGGGGTCTGAGACATTAAGGGGCTGTGATCAAGCACTAAATTCAGTGCTCTTCAAAACACCACAGTGCTACACTATTTTACAATCTTCAAACTCCCTGCTTTGTAGAGAAGTTGAAGACCAGAGAACAGCTTGTCATTAGAAGCAATAAAATTACTTAGAAAAATGAATCATTACATTTGTTCTTTATCTCAACTCGATTCTGCCTACAGCGATCATCATAGATGGTTTAGACAAGTTTGTCTTAAAAACTGCCCTGCTAAGCTGAAATAAGCAAACAAAAAAAAACAACATACCTACAACTAAACTAACAATATAAATGGCTTCCTGGATTGCTGAATTTAATAGGTTTAGAAATGGAAATTTTAAAACATCAGTGCTGTGTGGTAAAAATAATGTATGTAGATTTAGTAGAAAAAGTAAAATTTCGAAGAAATAAAAAATGGAGGTATTTTTTCATCATGCAGAGGCCTTTGGTGGTTGCTAGTTTTCTATCTTAGGCACAATAACCCACAGCAAAGATCAGCTTGAAGGAGGAAATGACAGTGACAGCCAACCTCCCATGTCTTACCTGCATACATATGGTACGTAAGCCTCTCTATAAGCTTAATCACAGTTCCTGCTTTGATAATTGGAATTCCAGCCTTGGGCTGCACGTTCTCTTCAAATAGAATATTCTCTTCAGAGTCAGGCTCTGCGAATCTGTAAACATCAGCACTAGGCAGCCTCATCTGCTCCTCCTTCTCTTCCTGTAGCATTGTTACATCAAGCATCCTTTCCAGGGTGCTCCGGTACTGTAAAGATATCAGTGCTGCCATCCAGTTGTTTTTCTCTTCAGCTGACTTCGCAGAAAATATAACACTATTTTCATCTTTTAAAATTATTTCAAAAGCATGCTTGTATTCACTGGTGTCATCTTTGTCATTAATTTGTACCTTTCGCATAAAAAACTTTTCTTTAAGACGGTATTCTGCATTGCTAGCACCAGGGAGTCTTGGCTGCCCGTGATTTGATTTACAGCAAATCATTAAGCCGTCAAAGAGAAAGATGTGTCTCTCATGTTTGGCACCTACGCGTGTAAGAGTTCCTTCCATTATAAACTCATTGCAACACTGTCCAATGTCTTTTCCCTCCCAACCATCAATATTCTTCTGAATTTCGTTCATTTTCTTGATTGCTAGTTGTTTCCCCTTCATTTGCTGACTATAAAACCGACATGCAGATTCACTAGGATGAAGGAAATGACACTATTAGCACACAGATGACAGAGAATCTAGAGTTCATGTAAACAAGGGATAGTACAAAATATATTTTTACAAAGTCACACTGGTAAGGTATTCACCAACTCTCCAAATATATTAGTGTTACACAATTACACAATTTTGGAAATTACAGCAACACAGAAATTTTTTTCAGCACTCTGAAAACAACGACTACTGACAAAACTACATCATAAATTCAGCTACAGAATGATTATTTTTATTTTGGCTACTAAATATTTAGAATGACAAATACTAAAAAGTAGCCCAATAGAATGGGAAAAAAAAGGTAATTTAAGAGATTAAAGTAAGTTATTTACAAATGCTGAAATGGAAAAGACCCAAAGCTAAAAACATATAGCATATATTATAATTAGGAAAGTGGAAGCAATGTTATCTGAATTAATGTCTCGAGTTATATAATCCCTAAAATAATGGACGTGACTAGTTTTACTTTGACAGAAACAATGATGCTGACATAAATCTACCCAAGACATTTTGCTCTATCTCTCCTTTAGCTTACCAGTTGATTTTCAGGAGGTCTTGTCTGGGAGTAAGCAAGGAAAATGCACAAATATGAAAGGTTTCTCAAACAATAACAAATTCTCTTGGCTTTGATGTCACTTCCTCTGAAAGACCAAGCTTGTCACTAAAACTATTTTCTTCATTGTTTACTTGAAGAGGAAACCGGGATCCCTGAATTTATACCACAATATTCAGGTTGAAAAGGAGGATATTTTAAAAAGTGAAAATATTCACCTCAGTCTTCGTTTTGCAAGACTTTTAGAACATATTTTTTCCATACCACTCTGAACATTAAGCAGAGCTGTTATTGCCTGTTTCAAGCATTCCTTGTCTTCTTGATCCTCACTCTTTTCTTCTAACTGCTGTAAAGCCAAAATGACAAATGTGAACAAGAACACTCCTGGATAAAACAGTGAGGCCATTCTATTTAAGAATAAAAATAACATTTTTGCAAGTTTTTCTACCTCAACAATTTTTTTTTTTATTTTTTTTTTTTTTTTGACAGGCAGAGTGGACAGTGAGAGAGAGAGACAGAGAGAGAAAGGTCTTCCTTTTTGCCGTTGGTTCACCCTCCAATGGCCGCCGCTGCAGCCGGCGCACCGCGCTGATCCTGGCAGGAGCCAGGAGCCAGGTGCTTTTCCTGGTCTCCCATGGGGTGCAGGGCCCAAGCACCTGGGCCATCCTCCACTGCACTCCCTGGCCATAGCAGAGAGCTGGCCTGGAAGAGGGGCAACCGGGACAGAATCCGGCGCCCCAACCGGGACTCGAACCCGGTGTGCCGGCGCCGCAAGGTGGAGGATTAGCCTATTGAGCCACGGCGCCGGCTTACCTCAACAATTTTAAATGTGTCATAAAAGGTTTTTCTTCTTTATTACTATCTGTATTAACAAGTAACCAATTTTTCCAAATTTAGGAAAAAAGTCCACAAGAGTAGGGGTGTTAGAAGATGGGCTGTATCTATGAGAAGTAGTAATGTGCAATATCTCAAGTTGCATATTACTGAAAAGAAATGAGGCTTATACACCATCTTTTAACTATAATAAGACTTAGCACAGCAATAGGCACACAGATGAGATTATTTTGTGGGTCATTTGGATTAGGGTTTCTGATACCTGTATTACTCTTGCAGCGTACTGGCATGATAAGGCAGATGAACACACAGAAAAGGATGCACTATAATAGAGAGGAATTGAACATAAAAGCTGGGATCACATTTTGACCCTGCCTCTGTGTGACCCTGGGGCAGGTTCCCTGATGTGAGCCTCACTTTTCCCCTCCCACATGAAGATTATAAAAACCTGTCCTGCCTGCTTTGTGGGGTTGTTATTAAAATCAAAGTACTTGGAAAATGGTAACACACACAACATACATGTGAAATGTCTTCTTTGTAGTACTACAGAATGAACACTACTAGCGCCATGAAGAACTGTGTCAGTATCCTCATGTAAAGATCTTTGAGTAAATCTAGGAATACATATATCCATAAATTCAACCACACATATTTATGTATAGCAGAAAGTCTGTAGTTAACAAGAACTAAGTTATCAATAACTACTAATTGCCAATACAAAAAATGATTATAATCCAAACAAGCAATTGACTGAGGTATGACCAGAGCTAACCTTCTAAACCTGAGTACCAAAAAGGTAAAGTTAAGAAGTAACATTTTATCAATACCACCTTCATGCAATTAAGATTACCTACTCACTACCATAAAAGAAAATATTTAAAGTAATTTATAAAAAAGCTTACTTTTCAAAAAGCTTTATTATTCATTAGTATACTAGTACTTTAAGGGTTTTATGTTCTTAAGAGGTATTCCTTAAGATTCAACAACACATTCCTTGCTGCTTCAATTGATAAAAAGGGTAATAAAAATAGTTTCAAAGGATAAGAGACTTTTGAAAATACCTATAATAAAAATAATCAAATATCTTCTACTTACTTTGCACTATGGCCAGCTAGATTAAAGAAAGCCAATGGTCAGGTATTGACAGACTTTTACTTAGTGAACATTACTGGTAGGCTGAAGGCAGGATTCTAGGTAATCTCTCAGTACTTTCCAACCCTATCATTCTACACTGTATGCCAGAATTATGGGAGACAAAATGAAACAAAATAAAATTAACCTAAGCTTAAGCTTCAAAGGCAGCAGAAAACACAGAAAGCAGATAACACACCTATAATACATGAATATATTATAGGAATTATAGATAAGCTTACTATGGTGCCAAAAAATACCTTCTTTTTTTTAAGTCTGTGCATAAGAGGGGATCATCAAATATTTCATGGAAAAATGATTGAGCAAACCATTCACCAATTTAACAAATTTTGGCACCCAAATAAAAATAAATAATTTTAAAAAACATCATTTAATTCCATTTTCCCACCAACCTTTGGAAGTGCCCTTGTATTAAGTAAAAGCAAATTTACAGGGCAGATGTTTGACACAGCAGTTATGCAAACATACTGCAGTTCTTTGAGTCTGAGCCCTGCTTCCAGCTTCCTGCTATTGCACATCCTGGGAGGCAGCAGGTATTTAGGTCCCTGCCACCCACATGGGAGATCTGGACTAAATTCCTAGCTCCTGGCTTTGGTTTGGGACAGCCTCAACAATTGCAAGTATTTGGGGAGTAAACCACAGGAGAGGAGATTCCAGTTGTCTGCCTGTCATCCTCTGTCTACCTTTCAAATAAATAAATCATTTTTAAAAGGCAAATTTAATAAAAGTACCACTGAAGAATGAGCTAGTTCATGAGTTTTTGAGAATTTAATCATTCAAAAGCAAAGTCCAGGGGCTGGCATTGTGGGGTAGCAGATAAAGCCACCTCCTGGGACACTGGCATCCCATATGGGCACCAGTTTGAGTCCTGGCTGCTCCACTTCCAGTCCAGCTCCCTGCTAATGCTCCTGGGAAAGCAGTGGAATATGGCCCAAGTCCTTGGGACCCTGCACCCACATGGGAGACCCTGAAGAAGATCCTGGCTCCTGGCTTCAATCTGGTCCACCCCTAGCTGTTGCGGCCATTTGGAGAGAGTGAACCAGCGGATGGATCTCTGCTCTCTGTCTCTCTGTAACTGTGTCTTTCAAATAATTAAAATAAATCTCACATTAAAAAAAAAAAAAAAGCAAAGTCCAGAAATATTCAAGGCAATATTTCAGTCTTAAAGAATTGACATTAATATATGGCAGGATACTGAAACTTTAATATTTAAAAATTTTTTAAATGTATCTATTTGAAAAGAAGTGAAGAGATAGAGAGAAACAGAGTTCTCCCATCCACTGGTTTAACTCCCAAATGCCCACAACAACCAGGCTGGGCTAGGATAAAGCTAGAAGGCTGGAACTCAATCCAGGTTTCCTACATGAGTGGCAGGAACCCATGTTCTTGAGCCATCACCTGTGCATCCCAGGGTGCACATGAGCTGGAAACTGGACTACAGGGTAGAGCTAGGACTCTAGAACCAGGCACTCTAAGATGAAGGCAGTGTCTTAACTGCTATACCAGATGCCTTTTTCCCTTGAAATTTTTAAATGTTAATCCAGGTAAATATACCTATTGTCACACAAATACACAATTCTAGTACACATATAAATATTGTAAAAGAAAAATTCATTTAGACATGGATTTGACTTTCTATTCTGAGTTATTTATCTACAATCTAACTGTAGCTGTTTTGCCTACAGAATATACTAGTAAAGACATTGCTAATATTTTTAAAATTACAAATCCAAAGTACATTTCAAACTTTTCTGATAAAATAATTTTAAAATGTTATTTTTATAGCATTAGGCACGCATTTTTAAATAAACTTCAGTATAATTTATTACAATGAACTTGTCAGTATTTTTTGTTTCTTTTACTTAACACGGCTGACTTACACTAAGCACTGGTATAGAATAATTCAAGCTAACTCCCATCAAAGGGGTGAGTTAGTGGCTACAGTAGTAGCACTTAATATGTAAATGAGACTGAACAGAGCAGTGTCCTCTTATTACAAAAGTGATATTCAATATATATTTATTTTTATTTTTTTTTTTTATTTTTTATTTTTTTTTTTTATTTTTTGACAGGCAGAGTGGACAGTGAGAGAGAGAGACAGAGAGAAAGGTCTTCCTTTTGCCGTTGGTTCACCCTCCAATGGCCGCCGCGGCTGGCGCGCTGCGGCCGGCGCACCGCGCTGATCCGATGGCAGGAGCCAGGAGCCAGGTGCTTTTCCTGGTCTCCCATGGGGTGCAGGGCCCAAGCACCTGGGCCATCCTCCACTGCACTCCCTGGCCACAGCAGAGGGCTGGCCTGGAAGAGGGGCAACCGGGACAGAATCCGGCGCCCCGACCGGGACTAGAACCCGGTGTGCCGGCGCCGCTAGGCGGAGGATTAGCCTAGTGAGCCGCGGCGCCGGCCTGATATTCAATATATAATTTCTATATGTTCCTACTGAACATTGTATAATAGCAATAATTTTATAAGTGCAACGTATTTAAATGATTTAAAAATTAGTACATCCCAAGATTATACAGCTTTATATGAGATTGTATTTAAACTCATCTAGGGAATCATATCCTAAAGCACAGTGAAAACTTAGACGTTCCATAGAGACCATAAAATTTATCTTTTTACAATAAAGGAGCCACTTTCACCAGTGCCTGTGTCCTTGGTCCATGAGAAATAAGCAGATGGGCAGTAGTCAATACGGTATAAAGCATATACAATACACATATGCAATGTGCAAAATCTCTCTCCTAGAAAATCCTGCAAGATATTTAGGATTAAATTTAAGGAGTTGTCAAAGGAAAAAGGTAGGGCCGGGGCCACGGCTCACTAGGCTAATCCTCCGCCTAGCGGCGCCGGCACACCGGGTTCTAGTCCCGGTCGGGGCGCCGGATTCTGTCCCGGTTGCCCCTCTTCCAGGCCAGTCCTCTGCTGTGGCCAGGGAGTGCAGTGGAGGATGGCCCAGGTGCTTGGGCCCTGCACCCCATGGGAGACCAGGAAAAGCACCTGGCTCCTGGCTCCTGCCATCGGATCAGCGTGGTGCGCCGGCCGCAGCGCGCTGGCCGTGGCGGCCATTGGAGGGTGAACCAACGGCAAAGGAAGACCTTTCTCTCTGTCTCTCTCTCTCACTGTCCACTCTGCCTGTCAAAAAAAAAGGAAAAAGGTATCCAAGGGAAGAATAAAACTCAAGATTGTTTTATATTAAAAAGAAATTGTTGCATCTGATGCATTTTGAGTTCATTTACAAATATATTATGTCTTCCCTTTCTTTAAAAAAGGGACCACCTTGAGGCTAGCACTCAGTCCAGCAGCTAAGACACTGGATAAGACACCATGATCCTGGATCTGGAGTACTGTGTTTGAGTCCTG